CATCCAATTGATGAATTGATAACCTTTCCAAATTTGGGAATGGTATCTTTAATCCAGAAATCAATCTGGGTGAATGCAGATTCGTCACTTCCAGGTTTTTAATTCCCCTGAATAAATCCTTCTCTTTCACAACATTTCGTAATGACTTGGCCAAGCTTGACTTCCTCGTAAAAATCCTTAAAGTTTCCAACCTTGGCATCCTTGCTGTGCAAATATCTTTCATTTTTTTATCCCCACAGCTAAAAATATCCAGCATGCAGTTCTCAAATACTTTAAGATTCTTCATTTTTGGGATCTGTAAATCAATTCCCGTCTTGAAGTCATCATCCTCAGTCCACAAGGAAAAAAATTCTACAGTGTCCTTCACTTGGTCCAAGACCTTGTTGACTTTGCGAATATGATTAGTCTTCAGGAGATGTGGTTTGTGATATGGCATTTCCAACTCAAGCCTCTTGATGGACCGATTTTGACTTAAGTCTGGGAGCTGGGTGCCCTGGTAGAAGAAATGCGTCAGGTTTGGGGCAGAGTTAAGGAGCCATTGTGACATCTTGAAGAAGTCTGGGTACATAGTGTCATCACTTAGTTTGATAGAGATCAAGTTGTGCAGGATATAAGGGGGCAAATCTGGAAGATCGGATTCTTCAGGATCTTCAGAATCATTGAATTCCCAGTAGAACTTAATTTCTAGTCTTTTGAGGTTACTGCAGTTTTGCAGTATTTCGTACAACACAGGGATTTTGAGGAAAGCTTATTTAGGGCTAAATATTAGCGAAATGTTTTCTATGAACCCACCAAACTGACGGGAAACGTGGAGCAGTCGTGTCAATGAGAAGCCAAAGTCGTGGTCACGGTCACAATCGAGTGTAGAGACATACTCACTAATACTTTTTGTAAGTCTGGGGTCCATTTTAGGAAGCAATTCCAAATGCAATTCGGTGAAATTGCAGCAATTTCTCGAACTATGACTATGATGATCAAGGCGGACGCAGATCTTTGGCCGGGGAAGGGAAAGTACGATGTCATTCCAAAGGTGACAAACGAGCCGTAATGTTTCTCCAGAGAGGGGGCCGTGTTCAAGTATTTTAGAGAGAATCTATTAAAAGGTTAAGGAATCAATTATTTATTACTTGATTAGGGATGAAAAAGCGTATTTCATACATTTCATTTTATTGTCCTTTGCGAGATTATTTCATACACATAAATAATTGATTCCTTAACCTTTTAATAGATTCTCTCTAAAATACTTGAACACGGCCCCCTCTCTGGAGAAACATTACGGCTCGTTTGTCACCTTTGGAATGACATCGTACTTTCCCTTCCCCGGCCAAAGATCTGCGTCCGCCTTGATCATCATAGTCATAGTTCGAGAAATTGCTGCAATTTCACCGAATTGCATTTGGAATTGCTTCCTAAAATGGACCCCAGACTTACAAAAAGTATTAGTGAGTATGTCTCTACACTCGATTGTGACCGTGACCACGACTTTGGCTTCTCATTGACACGACTGCTCCACGTTTCCCGTCAGTTTGGTGGGTTCATAGAAAACATTTCGCTAATATTTAGCCCTAAATAAGCTTTCCTCAAAATCCCTGTGTTGTACGAAATACTGCAAAACTGCAGTAACCTCAAAAGACTAGAAATTAAGTTCTACTGGGAATTCAATGATTCTGAAGATCCTGAAGAATCCGATCTTCCAGATTTGCCCCCTTATATCCTGCACAACTTGATCTCTATCAAACTAAGTGATGACACTATGTACCCAGACTTCTTCAAGATGTCACAATGGCTCCTTAACTCTGCCCCAAACCTGACGCATTTCTTCTACCAGGGCACCCAGCTCCCAGACTTAAGTCAAAATCGGTCCATCAAGAGGCTTGAGTTGGAAATGCCATATCACAAACCACATCTCCTGAAGACTAATCATATTCGCAAAGTCAACAAGGTCTTGGACCAAGTGAAGGACACTGTAGAATTTTTTTCCTTGTGGACTGAGGATGATGACTTCAAGACGGGAATTGATTTACAGATCCCAAAAATGAAGAATCTTAAAGTATTTGAGAACTGCATGCTGGATATTTTTAGCTGTGGGGATAAAAAAATGAAAGATATTTGCACAGCAAGGATGCCAAGGTTGGAAACTTTAAGGATTTTTACGAGGAAGTCAAGCTTGGCCAAGTCATTACGAAATGTTGTGAAAGAGAAGGATTTATTCAGGGGAATTAAAAACCTGGAAGTGACGAATCTGCATTCACCCAGATTGATTTCTGGATTAAAGATACCATTCCCAAATTTGGAAAGGTTATCAATTCATCAATTGGATGAGGACGCATCTCCGCTTATCCCAGTGGAAGCATATTTCAAAGCGTGAGCTTCACTTGGATTAAAATACTTGGAGATGGATCTAAGGACGTATTGTCATGACGGAAAAGTATCCCGATTTATTCAAGACTTTTCAAATCGTGGGGAATTATTGTCAGGTAAGAACAAAATTATGATACAAATTATGATAAAATTATTATTTACATATATTTGTACATGTAACGCTCGTGGTGTTCTTAATTGCTTTTATAAAACGACATTAGGTCTCAGAACTTTGGAAATATTTGTTCCCATCTATTCAGACGAATGCGATGATTTGGATCGTGTCGAAAATGGGAGGGCGCAGATGAAGCAGTGGCTCTTGGAAATGAAGGGATTGAACGATGTACATATTTCTGGAATCAAAGTGAGTCTTGCCGAAAGGTTTTTTTCAATTATTTAAAATTTGTATGTTTATTTTATGTTGAACTCTTAATTTTTTAAACAAATATTTGTAGTTCAAGAAAGAAACATGGAAATGGATTGAACCCTTCATTCACGAGAACAAGATTCCCATTGTGTTCAAGAAATATTGAACTTTTTCAAAAACTCGCAATTTAATAGCAAGTACAGTTAGGGCACAACAATTACTTTATAGTAGTGCTTTCAAAATCCGAGTTTGAAATTTAGTATAATTAGGGAATTATTAAAATTAGAATCCAAACCAAATTCCTTACGAATCGGAAATTTAAAAAATAGTATTAGTCACCTTATACCCTAAATTTAAATACTCTAATTAATGGAATTTGTATGGTAGGATTAGATTAGTAGTAATTCACACTTAATACAATTCTTAATTTAATTGAATACCAAATAATTACCATTTAGTCGAGTTGGCGAGAAATTATAGGAGTTATGATCAAATGCTTATCTAGATGCTTCAGCTTGTCATGATTTTTTTCTGTACGAAGAAATACTTATCAAAGTAAGACTGCTCATCTTATGCTACTTTATTTATGATATCGTAAAATAATATTAGGTCAGATAAAAGATTATTACAATTATTGGGGTCAATTATTTTAATGTCGAATGTAACGAAATTATTATTTTCATGTAAAAGGGAAATAAATCTTGTCATGCATGTATCACAAAATAGTTCAATTTATTTCAAAATTTGCTTATAAATTCATGTACTTAATTTGGAAACGAAATTTCCAACATTTATTAAATTACAAAATTGATTAGTTAATTAAAAATTTACTTATTTTAGCAAGTTATTAAAAATGTGCCCACTTAATCGCTTCAGCTTCTCGGTGGTAACTTGGAATAGTCATCTTTTTCGTCCAGGCTTTCTGTTCCTGGGGGAGTCGTCGTCACTGAGCAAAATATGTACTTTGTCGAAACAGAGTATTTCGAACCCCGTCCCAGGGTTTGGATTTCCAGGCGTGTTACACCCACAAAAAGACGAAAATCTGCATCGAGTAAGGTACAGTCTTTCGAAAATACAGGTTTTGTGAAGATTTTTATGGGGATCAAAATACTTTATTTTTAAAAACCTACTCCAAGCAACTTTGCGGGGCCTTTTAAGATGGCATTAATACCATCTTGGTAGTTAACGGCAACACATTTGGGTGGAAATGACCCCCACCAGCCAACCACTTGACCGATCATGCCCATCTTCGAATTCATTCTTACTTTTTACCCGAAGATAAAGCATGCAAAATTTCAAGTCGATAGCTTTTGTTTAAAGAGAGTTATCGTGCCTACAGACGGACGGACAGACAGACATCTTGACAAATCTATAAGGCCATCTTAAAAGGCCTAAAACTCGTGTAACCTTTGTACGTATTTTCGAATTTAAAGCTATTCTTCACAAAACCTCTATTGTCAACTGAATATTGTCTTCTCCATGTAGATTTCATCTTTTTGTGGGTGTAACAGCCCCTGGAAATCCAAACCCTGGAAAGAACGGAGCTCAAAATCCTCTATTTTAACAAAATATTGTGCCCACCTCTGCGACTTATTTGATTTACTTGTTAATTATACAAGTGATGTTTACTCTTAAAATATATCAGCAACTTTCCCGTATATTTTATCATGGCCATCACCAAATGTAAAGTGGCCATTCGCCCAATCGTCTGAAATGATGCAATTTTGACGCCCTCGGGTCGAAGGGACTTCAGAATTTTTTTATGATAGCGAGAAATTCGACAAATCTTCCATGCTCGAAGCGTTCTCTGGTACGAGATTGCCACCCTGCTGGTAATATTGCACTCGAATATGATGAATATCGTGCACATGAAGGATATCATGACGCCGATAAATTTCCCGATAAGTATGCTCGATAAGCGCGTCGTTATGTTGAGGCGAGACGTGATGACGGCATAATAAAGCTACATCCATAGTCCGTGATTTGCGTTGGCGCGTAATCTCACTCTGCCCCTATCCAATGTATTCAAATGCAATTTCTAAAATCGAATCAACTCCATGAGTTTTGAGATATATGCAACTTTTGATATTTTAATCTAAAGCTAATTTTTGGTACTATTACTTGTTAGTAGTACACTTTAGTACAAACAAGTCGATTTGAAAAAACTTAAAAAAATTCATTTTCTAGGAAATTTATAGTGAAAAAAGGCTAACGAATTGACTATTTCTTTCCAAATCGATGTGACAGGGAGTAAAATGTGATTTTAATTAAATCTTGATTAATAATAATTTATCCATTTATTTCTTTTAAAACTAACGCATACATTTTTTTACACACTACAAAATGATTCATGAACTAATAAATCTAAAACCAAGAATCATAGTGGAGTTATATGCAATGATGATTTGCGTACATGAAAATGGCATTTCTCATATGTAAATACGTGTAAAAACAAATTGTTCAAAGTGCTGGTTTGTATTTATGACTGGCAGAGAATCCTCCCGAGCAAAAGATCTGATTAATACTGACCAATGACCATCACTGTTCAATTCAAAGATGATTAAACTTTAAACTTCACGGTGATGCGACTTGACTTAATTCGACCGAGTCTTGCAGTGGTTTTCCCGTGCTGTCCTTCAACTTCCAGGATACCCCGACCGTGATAAGACTCAGTAATCCAAAGCTGATGAAATGGGCGGATTTCGCCACTAAAATTATATACAAAATTATTCATTGTTGTATTATAACTTATAAAGGAGGTCTCCGAGTGTATGCGATCCGATTTTGGGCAATTTAGCGTCAATCGATGATAAATTTAGTTCGTATGAAATTTGCGAAAGACAAGATCTCCCAATGGGCACGTTTTGCAGAGATATTTGCATCCGAAAAGGAACAAAAGCGCCTTAAAGTTGGCTAATTTTACACTTTGCAAAATTTACTATTTGAGTGTGAAAGCAAAATCTGGTATACATCCGAAGAGGAGAAAACGCCCAGTAAGTTTGGAAAGTGTAAAATTCGTCAAATTTTGGATGCGTTTTCTCCTCTTGGGATGTAAATACCTCTGCCAAACGTGTCCATTGGGAGAGAAACGTGTTTTTTTCAAATTTCACACTAATCAAATTTGTTATGCATTGACACTAATTTGCTCAAAATCTGAGAGCATACGCTGGGAGCCCTCCATTGTTATTTCATTTTGACCCATGCCAATAACTTACTCGTGCCCAGAAATGTAAATTGTGGGGCAAAAACTGCCCCAATGTTTCCACAAAGAGCGCACAACCCCATGCAACTAACTCGCCCCACGGTTGGGAAGGATTCTGCCGTGAAGCAGGACAAAACTGCGAAGGCAGCGGAAATGAAGTATCGAGATATGAGGGAAAGCACATTGACCAAGGCGGGATACTCGATGGATAACGTGATATCGATGGCAGCCAGGCCCACCAAGAAGAATGACGCAATCACGAGGAAACTAATGAACGTTTTCTTCCGTCCTAGTCTGAAAAGTCAAAAAAAAATCTAAGGTGTTTCATTAATTTTAAGGTGCCATAGGATGACGAATTGATGTGGCATATGGCTTATGAATCTCACTCTACCCCTGTTCAATCGCTTTAAATGCAAATTTCTAAAATGACCTCAATTTCATGAGTTTTCAGATAAATCCAACTTTTCTACTTTAATATAAAGTTAATTTTTGCTACTACAAAACTATCGATTTGAACAAAATTGCTACTACATTTTCCATCTTTTCACAATAAATTTCCTGAAAAATGCATTTAATTATTTTCAAATCGATAGTTTTCCAATACCAAAAATTTGCTTTACATGAAAGTTTTGAGAAAAATCTCCCAAAACTCATGAAATTGGTGGCATTTTCCAAATTTGCATTTAAACAGGGGTAAAATGAGATTAGAAATCTATGACTCCGTTATTCCACCTTAATTGCTACCTATTATTGAACAAAATCCCTGTAAAGCTTCCCGGCAGATCGAGAACCCCCATGTAAAACACGTTCCAGTATGGATTCCCATCCAAATGCTTCATGTTAAAACTGATCCCGTAATAAACCAATTGACACGTAAACCAGGCCACCATAAGAATCACTAATTGCACCCGAAACTCCTTAAACTTGAGGATTTTAAAGGATTCCACGATGGATAACGATTCCGAGGAGGAGTCCACGCTGTGGGTGATGCATTTTTGGAGCGTCTTTATCTCCGCAGGATCCATGCCAGGCTTCCTGTTCCATCTGGCAATCTTGTCGAAAACTTCCAACGCTTCTTCCGTCCTTTCCTTGCATAAAAGCCAGCGTGGGCTTTCTGGGAAAAAACTGAACAAAGAGAATCATGATCATGATTTCGTTATGATTTTTACTTTCACTTTCATCAGAGGTGAGAAAAATACTTTGTCAAAATACATTATTTTGAGCCCAGTTCTTTCCAGGGTTTTGATTTCCGGGGGTGTTCCACACATAAAAAGACAAGAATCTACGTGGAGAACACGATAGTCACACGAAAATCCAGTTTTTTTGGTGAAGTTAACTTTTGATCGCTGGCAAAATACATTGTTTTCACGATTTTTTTAAATACAATATTTCGACAGCGATAAAAAGCTAATTTCTGTACAAAACCTGTATTTTCGTGCGACTAACGTGTTCTCGATGTAGATTCTTGTCTTTTTGTGGGTGTAACAGCCCCGGAAATCAAAACCTTGGAAAGAATGGGGCTCAAAATACGGTATTTTATCAAAGTACCACCTCTGACTTTCATACACTCATCAAGTGGCGGTGGAAGCTGTGGGGACATCTGGGAGGTAGGAGCATTGTATGATTGGAAGTTATTACCAAAGGAAAGATACGATTTTGCTGAATTTCTGGGTGGACAATGTCCCCCTGCTTCCGCCCCCAATGACACAGGAAACTTACGGATAAGCGAAAAATATTAAAAAGGTGGGCAACGTCGTGGCAAAAGTTAAGTGTCTCCAGTGCGGGAGGTTGTACGCGATGAAGGCCAGCATCATTTCTCCCACCGCCCAGAGACTCACGCACCCACAAATCGTTCGGAACGATGGGGTCAAAAACTCCATGAGATAATTCATATAAACAACGAAACAACCTGAAAATTTGTTAATAAGGTAATTAGTTAAGCTAAGTTTTTAAAATTTCCGAATTCGGGTTAAAATTTCCGGACTCGATCATGGAATCATTCATGAGTATCGTCTAAACATTTTTGACCAACAAATTTTCCGGAAATTTCTCCGGAAATTTTGACCCGAATCAGGCGAAAGTTCCGAAAATTTTAAAAACGTACATACGTAGGTTTTCTAACTGCCTATTAAATAATTATCTGCTAATTAAAATTTCCATATTTTATACAAGACTTTGACTTACCACCAACCGCAAATCCTGCAACGAATCTGGTCGCAGCGTAGGAATAAGGGTCTGGCGCCCAACCAGACGCAAAACCAAAACCTCCCATGAGAAAGCACAATCCAAAATGGGCCTTCTTTCTCCCAAAACTGCAACCAATATTATTTTAATTAACGTAGGATTCAAATCGTCAAAATCAGCACGTTTTTAATCATTCTTCAGCTCTGGGAATTTATTTTAAATTTCTGGGAGACAAATTTGTAGAGCGTAAGTCGTTCCTAATTTTAAAAAATTACACTCCAGATTTTGACACTTTTCGAAGGAGATCTCAAGGTTAAGAATCCTTCAGAAAAATTGGAACTCATCGAAACTGGCTTAAAAACTCACCTCCATTCCATTAATTAACTCACTGACTACAAATTTGTCGCCCAGAATTTTAATATAAATTCCCAGAACGCAGATATTATTAAAAATGTGCAGATATTGACGACTTTGGTGATAAGTCATTGAGTTACAAAATAATATTTTTCAGACCTTTCAGCAAACTGAGAAGCCAACAATGCACCCGTCATACTTCCCAGCATTTGCACACTGGTAACTAAATCTGACACCTGCACACACGAATTTTCAAAACATTTTAAAAATATACAAAAATTAGGAAAACGTATTTTAATAAATACAAAAAGTATCAGTACCCATGCTTTGCTCCCGACCAGTGACCACTGTAATTAATAAAGGACATGTCACACAAGAGTTTCAATAATTATTATGATATTTGTGATTATTTTTAGCATTGTCTCAGCTTGCCTCTTGCACAACGGAGGTGTAGTGATGTCCCATCGGTCTCAAAATCCCATCGCAGACGTCATCAGTCTTAATATCTTCGGCAGAAATGTTGAAACTAGCAAAAATTTGGAATTTTAAATTTGCTAATTTTTAAGTACCCCACTTTTTATTACATATTTCCATAAACTCAACCTTCTCCCTGTCAGGGTTCGCAAACGAAGAGGACATCACTCGACCCCGTCAGAACGGGGGACAATGCAATCATTGCTGCCACTATTTCTGGAGATATTATCACTACCATGGCCCACATTTGGAACCAGGAAAAGCCTCCTGTCGGTCAAAATAAAGGCAATATTTAAAGACGTATTAGGCAATTAACAAAACTACGTTTTTAAAATATCCATAACTTATTTCCCTGGGTCAAAATTTCCTGAACCAATTATGAAATCATTCTTGATTAAGTGTCATCTGAACCTTTTTCATATTATTGTCTCCAGAAACTTTGACCGGAGATAATATTAAAAATGTTTAGAAGACACTAAAGAATGATTTCAAAATCGACTCCAGAAATTTTGACCCAGTCCAAGAGATAGGGAAAGTTACGGAAATTTTAAAAACCTAAGTTTCCTTCCTGCCTATTTAAAAATTATGTAATGTAGGATTTTATTTTACCAAGTTTTTCAAATACATCCTCCACACTAATGAGTGTCACTACTTGGCCAAGAGATCCACGCGCTGTGGCCATCTCAGAATCGGTCAGATTGCATTAAATAAATTTCTTTAGTACATGTAGATACGTCCCCTCCTATTTTTGACGCAACATAATGATAATATTTGTTATTATTTACATTTATGTATGTATATATACACTTCTTCACTTCCAGGCAAGAAAATTCTACGATTATGTGAAGTGAGTCATAAAAATGAAATTGATTACTAAAAGAATTACGGCGTTCAACTTGTACTACAAATTTATACTGTGAGTATAGGACTATAAATGCACAATAAATATATGCACAATGCCCACGCGGGTTCAAAGTATGTATGCAAATTACATTAGTTATTCTTATTTACTATTTTGAAAACTTCTTATTATTAGCCAATCATGAATTGGTAGTTAAATGTTATACACGACACGAAGGTTGAAACAATGAGTAAACAAAATACATGGAAAACAATTAACAACAATGAGTTTACTTTATGCCTGTAATTACCCTCCGAATCACTTTTGAACAGTAGATGCCTATTTATCCAACAAAAAGTCAGACAAATGTTAATTAATCTTCGTTATTTGCGTATGTGTGTGTCCTGGTTTTACCTTAAAGTTCTCCAAACTTTACTACTACGCATGCATTTCTATTTTGAATTTCATAAATAATTCCTAAATATATTTCTGCCTATTATGATCTTTCTTATAGGGAATTTAATTCCACGTTTAGATTTAGATATTTATTTATAAAAGGATCTAATTGCATATGTATGTATTATGCAAACAGAAATACGCTTACTTACAAAGAGAGCGTGCGTTGGTTGATTGGATAATAAATACGTACATAAAGTTACTGGAAATGATTTTAATCAATTTACAAGTGTAATTATTTTCTGGATATTTTGAATACACAAAAAAATGATCACGAGTATCTCGAGTATTCCTCGTATTTTATACACCTCAGAAAGATTAGCTCGAGACTCATATCTTAATAATTATGCTAAAATTTTTAATAGCTCAATTACCGTCAAGTCAACCGGGTCTCCCCTCAAACTACCCGAGATTCAAAATATATACGTCCTTATATTTATTAGGAATACGATTTATTTAAAGTGGATCATCGTTTTGTTGGAAGTCGATTGTACTCACTCGGTATGCATGTAAACATCATATGCATACGAGCGGATATCTGCTGTATGATGATGATGAACAATTAGATTCAAATCCATTATTTGCATTGTACCGTGTCGTCAGACTTCAGTTTCGTATGATAATTGAAGATCGGCACATGCAAGTTACACAGATAACAATACGGCTCATTCAAGAAAGTTCAAAATTTTACATAGGTACACAATCAATGTGGTTTAACTAAACATACATACATATTTGTATTCTGGTAAAGGTTTAGGCTCCCGTCAGTTCATGACGGTCATGGACAAATTTTTGTCACGAACCCAGTACCACCATTCTCATTTGACTTTAATAACTTGTTAATACTGAAGTTCAAGAGATACTATACAATCTGTTTCCGTTTCTGTAGAACACAATAATTATGAATACAATTATGAATTGATAATTCGTGACAATGTTGTACCTCATTAAAAACGAAGTATAATTACTGCTTGTAAATACATACATATTTTACAAAACATGTATTTTCAAGTTATTATTTGTGTGTATCTAGTTAATTCTGTGGAAAGTTATGATTCGTATTCAGTGGCGGCGGAAGTTGGGGGGGCACATGGGGACATTAGCATTGTGAGATAGGAAGAGGAGGGGCTTATTAAGATAGGATTTTTCTGAATTTCTGGGGGGAACAATTAATGTCACTCTGTTCCGCCGAGACTGTTCGTATTCTGCATACATAATTGTATTCAAGCGGCCCATTAACGATGTAGTTTATTACAAAAAAATGGATTTTTAACTTTGAAATATAATTAAATCTACTTATGTATATCTCACCGGAAATGCAATTAATTTCTTTATGTGTGTTGCATTTTTAAGTTATAATTTAATTACTACTGTGACATTTTGTAGGAAAATTACAAATCTCATTTGTTAATATGAATAGGATTGCATGTCATCTCGTACAACCAGAAATCTGATCCATGCATTTTTATAATTTTATTGTTTGATGGATTTTTACAAATCAAAAAAAATGTATACATATATATCCATTTAAATAATTGGTAAAACTTTGATTAGATTTGCAGCTAGTGTATTTATAATTTTTGAAATGGTTAACTTTTTAAATTACATGTGACACTTAGTTAATTAACAAAATTAACCACAAGGTGAGTTACATATATACCCCTATTTATTGGTGACCTAGAGGAAATCATAATTTTGCTGTATTATTAAGTACTAATTACATAACAAAACTGACTCAATCGACTACAGAAGAAGGAGATTGCGGATTCTCATTTAACGATCCATAACGCAGCAAAAAACAGAGGTGACAGGGCAATAATTATTATTAAAATATTGGAAAATCTATGTTATTTATTAGCATAAAGTATATACATATTTGTAATAAATATGTATGTATCCATGTGGTACATAGATAATGGAGACTGGTGAGTCACAGATCACGCAGTTTTATGTACATATTCATTGGTGGGGAGAGTCATTAATAGTGAAATGAACCAGCAAGAAATGAACCATTGGTTGTGGTTTTTGGTACTTGACATTTTTAAAACAAGGTAATGGCCAACAGTGGCCGCGGACACTGTCCCCACGGTTATTCGATGTCCCCTTCATCTGCCCATCTTATATAAACCACTCCCTCCCCTATCCTACAATGCTAATGTCCTCACTGCTTCCGCGGCCGCTGATGGCCAATGTAGTAGCGGTGTAGACTACACCGTGTAGTCGTAACAAGGTAATAGCCAACAGTGGCCGCAGAAGGACAGAGGGACACTGCCCCCCACGGTTATTCGATGTCCCCATCATCTTACCCTTCCCTCCCCTATCCTACAATGTTGATGTCCCCACATGTCCCCACCGTTTCCGCGGCCACTGCTCGCCAATGTTGTTGCGGTGTAGTCGTAAAGAACCTAACAATCTGTGCCTCCTCCGATGAACCTTTTGAAAAATAAGGTTGTTGCTGAGTAATGCGTTATTATGACGCCGTTTACCATTTAGCGTTGGAAAGTACCGTTCACCTCAACCGTGTCCGTGTCACTTTGCTGCCTGTGCAATGTCAAAAATACGCGATTGTATTGTCTTTGTGATTACAAAGACAAGGTTTTTTGGGTTAAATAAATGAAACATTGCTTTATTCCCTAAATCCATGTACCTTAAGTTAAATCAGTAACAATTGGATATACTAAATCTGTGTAAAACCTGACTAAATATTTTACCTGAACCTGAAGAATTGTTGTTGCTTGTTAACTCTTAAAACCTTAGAATTGAAAGAGAACCCTGAAAATGATTTTGAGTAATTTAAGTGCCAAAATTTATTTTTTTAAATGTGTAAACTATACTAAATAATCTAGTAAGATGATTTCTGCAAGCTTCATTCTTAAAACTAATTGTAAATCTGGGAATTTATTTAAAAATTCTGGACCACAAATTTGCCGTCAGTAAGTTGAGCTTTTTAACCTAGTTTCGACTTTCGTTCCAATTTTTCTAAAGGTTTCCTAAACTTGAGATCTTCTTCAATAACTGTCAAAATCTGGAGTATATATTTTTTTTTAATTGGCAACTCCCTACTCTACAAATTTGTCGTGCAGAATTTTAAAATAAATTCCCAAAGCAGAGAAATGATTTAAAAAATGATTAGAAATCATGCTCTGATTAGTCAATCTCCTCCTTCAAAAAGTGTCAAAATCTGGAGTGCATATTTTTACAAAATTGGCTACTCTTTACTCTACAATTTGTCGTGCAGAATTTTAAAATAAATTCCCAGAGTGAAGAAATCATTAAAAATGTTCTGATTAGTCATCGAGTTCAACTAGCCACACCGATATATTTACATCAAACATACATCTCATCTCATATTCTACATATTCCCAAGTCAGTCAGTGATAATGATGAAACAGTGTTTATTTTGTTTTATATCTACACTTCCCCATATGCCATGAATCAATGCTGAATGCGAATGTTTACATGACATGAAATCCAGCCAGCTAGCAGACCACCTTTAGCTTTAGCAGAGATCCACTCCACTTTTCTTCCTGTGTTCATCATCTCTTTGTTCTTTCCCATCTAACCCATGCTAACCAATCCTCCTAAATGGCTCAAACTTGCAACAGCGCCCAACTTATTCCGATTCCAAGCACTGTAAAGTAAAGCAAACTCCTCCACACAGCCTGCTGCCTAGTGCTGCAAAACCAAACTGCAAATATAACGGGCGGAGTGTGCAGAAATTTCGCTAAAATAAAAGCATGCAAAAAAGAACTATGCAAATTCCTAGTCTCAACGCCATTTTAACAAATCTACAATAAAAAAAAAATATTTTATTAAATGAAAAAAAGTATAAAATTTTACTCAGCGGCGTCGAACCTTTACAATTCTTTACTTTCTGGAGAAAGCAATAGCAAACATTTTGCTAAAGTAAAGTGTATGCAAAACTATGCAATTTCCTAGTCTCAACGCCATTTTAACAAATCTATCAAAAAATATATTTTTTTAAATGAAACAAAACTAATAAATTTTCCTCAGCGGCGTTGAACTTTACAATTTTACTTTTTGGAGAAAGCAAACTCTGTTCATGAAGAAAATTCCTAACAAAATCTTTGAAAAAGTCGGCACAATTTTGACTTAAAGAGTCACGTAAAGCATCATTTATCCTCAAAAATCATCCACTAACTACATCCATATTATACACATCTCTCTCTCCTACTACTTACTTACTGTAAAGAAGAGACACGGCTAAAATAAGGCAACCAGGCCCGTCGTATTTTGTGTGAGTAAAGCAGCAGCAAGTTCAAAGACCAGCAGAATGGATGGAGCAAATCAATCACATACAAAACTTGCTGCTACTAAAAACCTTAAAGGAGCTCCCTTCTTGTAAACTAAACATTTAGTTAGTCTCCACTACTTCTCTTATATTTTAGACTTAATTAAATACGAGGGGAGCTCGTCTGGTGGTCATTCTCTGGATGGAAAAGATGGATCCAAATCTGGCTGGATTTCTGACAGAAAAGGATAACATTTTCGCTTTAATGTGACGACAGATTAAATAAAACCGTTTGTTTGTTTGTGTTTTACTTTTCCTCCGAGTGTTGACACGGAACTGTTTCGAGTAAATAGTAAAGACAATTAAATATAACGTGGTTGGTAGTTTGGTTCAGATAAGAGAACGGCGAATATCGTGGTGTATAAGCGCACGCAGAGGCAGAGTGTGTCAACCACCCGGAGGGTGTGGTTGAATTTTTAACCTTATCCATCCATTACCCAATGGTTCCCAGATAAGTTGAATAGATAACTGTGCAATGATCTTGTGAGTTAGGAAAGTCTTTTTGGAAAATACGAAGTTTTACATCTTTATTTTGTTTCTGTGCCGAGTTTTACACAAATTTTGTGAACAAAAAAGGTCTTCTTTCAATAAAAAGTGATCGACTTTAACCTGCTTCAACATGGCTGGAAATAATGTAAACTGTTCTTTGGACGATATCGACTTGGCTTGCCTTAAGGTAAATTTTAATAGTTTTTCTTTATCGTTGTTGTGATTCTGTTTACGACTTAAATCGGTTTAGTTATAATAGCGGTGTAAAAACATATGTGTGTAGTTTTTATATCGTCGGGTTTTTAGTACTATTATGGCTATAATATTCAACCATTAGGATTAAATAAAATATTCAAATGAGTATAAGCAAGCGGAAATGGCAAAAGTTATTATTATAATGACAATTATTCAGAGAGAATTATCAGGCATTGACAAATCGTCACTTCCGTGCGAGCATTAATGCGTGTGATGATGATGAATAAGCTTTCAAGCTTATCAAGCGATACGTTTTCGGAATGCCTATCCTGATAAGTCACACTTATTTACATACTACGAGCAACCTGTAATTTATTACAATGTTAAAAATATACTTATTTTCTTGACGTGATATACAATAAATTGATTTTTAATTGAAAAACAGCAGTGACAATCGATCAAATAGCATTACAATCTTTTTACTGTAATTAGATCGTTAATCCGCTATTAAATACATAAAATTACATCATAACTACCCCTCATAAAATTAATCTTAACATTAATTAGAAAGCATTAAAGCATTTTTATACGAGTACATTAAATCATTTCATGAATCTTTTGATGCTTTCTTTATTTAAAATACCTACCCTTATTATTTGCAATATGTATGTATCTTTGCCTGTTATAAATAATTAGCAAACTATAATATTCGAATTTTAGACAATCATGATCCACATAGATTACGAGGGTAAAGATGAATATGATAAACTACCAAATGCTAAATGCAAGACAATCCTGTACTAGAAATTTTTTGTATTCATTATCTATTTCAAAGTTGAGTTGACAGGAAGTAGTAGAAGATTAGCCTTCTTTTTTACAAACTCCTTGAATTTTTTTCTGCAACTTAATAAATTTGGCATTACAAAGTTTCATTTTTTATTTATTTCAATAATCTTTTTTAACACTTCATTCACTTTTACATACATTACACAGAAAAGTAGTTTCCGTGTAAAACAAGAATGACTCAGAGAGAAGAATGAATATGAATATTATGCATGTACATACATTCATCTCTAAAAAAAGTATGTATGTATGTGCAAACTGATAACAGCCAGCAAACAACAACTCGAACGTATCAGAATTGTCATGTGCTAGTAATTCCGCTATATGAGGGAAAGAATTGGGGATGAAATGAAATTGTGGATCCGTTTCATTAATAATATGCCACAAAAATATGTACCCATCAAATCTACAGTGGCCGCGGAAGCCGTGGGGACATGTGGGGGCATTAATATTGTAGGGTAGGAGAGAGAGGGGTTTATAAGATGGGGAGATGACGGGGATATCGAATAACCGTGGGGACATACATTACCCCTCTGTCCCCACGCTTCCGCGGCCACTGCTGTACCCTGTACATACATACTCACCCACCCAGTGGCCGCGGAAGCCGTGGGGACATCTGGGGACATTGCCATTGTAGGATAGGGGAGGGTATGGGGTTTATATATTATAATAACATGAACAAATGATGCGGACATCGAACAACCGTGGGGACATTGTCCCTCTGTCGACACCCTTCCGCGGCCACTGGTAGGCATCAAGCTTTCGAAATTTTACCACAGCCTGCGAGTACAATATCGAGAGTACTTTTGCTGACAGAATGGAATGAATGATGATGATCTTCTTCGTCTTCTCGATTCGTTGTTACACATTAGTTCTGGTAATTTTCCCTGCATTTTCGTTCCTCTTATGAAGATGCTTCTCATAGCCTGACATTTCGTGATTGTGTTTGAATAAGAGTAGCATTTTTATTTCGTATGAAGAAGAAGAAGGATCTTGAAAAACTACTTCTCCATTTTTTAATGAAATCGGGTTCAGTTAGTTATGCTGGGTAGTTACGTACTTATTACAGTGGAAGTCTCGTAGTGGTTGCTCTCCGATTTTGAACAAATTAGTGTCAATCGATGACAAATTTGGTTAGTATAAAATTTGCGAAAGGCATGATCTCCCAATGGGCACGTTTGGCAGAGATATTTGCATCCAAAGAGGAGAAAACGGGCCCTAAAATCGACAAATTGTACACTTTCCAACTTTACTGCGCGTTTTCTCCTCTTGGGATGCAAATATCTCTGCCAAACGTGCCCATTGGGAGATCGTGTCTTTTGCGAATTTCATACTAATTAAATTTGTGCTCAATTTACACTAATTTTCTCAAAATTTCAGAGCAAACACTGGGAGACCCTCCATTGTTACTTTGATTACGTAATGAATCCGGTTATAATGACACGTATCCGATAAATAAATGCCGCACAATTGAATAAAATTCATTATTCACTTAATTAATTTGAACTCCTTAAAATAAACTGCAGTAATTTTGTCTGTAGTTAATTTGATGAATCTTGAATGACATAGCTCGACACGCCTTGTGCTTGTACCTCGTCGAGTAGCTGTGTGTCGATCTCTTTAATCGCACAAAGTCTTCTTGAAAATCGAGATGAATATCATTAACGGATTTTATCATCATTTCTTGGCACTCTTTCTCATTTTTCCTTCTTATTGTCTGGCTCACTCGGTTGTATGATTTTCAATTTAAGCTTAATTAACGGATTGCGGTTTCATACTTGATGAGAATGCGAAAGCAAATGTAGCGATTTAAAAAATAATTGATATGAAAATTTGGCATAAATCATTCATCACAAGGACTCGTTAATTAATCAATTTATTTTATTTCACTTAGGACCCTGCCGGAATTTTCGAACTAATTGAAGTCGTTGGAAATGGGACGTATGGACAAGTTTACAAAGGTCGCCACACGAAAACTGGACAGTTGGCTGGTAAGCAAATGCATATTATTTGATATTGAAAAATCAGCACTTTAAAAATTTATATCTTCTTCTTTTAGCTATCAAAGTTATGGATGTGGTAAGCAAAATAAATAAAATATCTTATTTATTTAAGCACGTGACACTATTTTAATTTTTTCTTTTACTCCAATTCTCTCAGACGGAAGATGAAGAAGAAGAAATCAAACTTGAGATAAATGTGCTCAAGAAATATTCACATCATAGAAACATCGCTACGTATTATGGTGCATTCATTAAGAAATCTCCGCCAGGTAAGTAGTATTAATAATACATTTATGTTTAGCTATTAAAAAATGAGTTGTATGATGTGATTCATGATTTTTATTTTTGCAGGACGAGATGACCAGCTTTGGGTGAGGACAATTACTTACAACACTTTAGAAATTTGTTGGGTGCACGTACTAAAATTTTGATTTTAACACAATTTCCATAGCTGGTCATGGAATACTGCGGAGCAGGGAGCATTACCGACTTGGTCAAGTCAACGAGGGGTCAATCCTTAAAAGAGGAATGGATAGCTTACGTTTGCCGTGAAATCCTCCGGGGTTTGTCTCACCTCCATGCAAATAAAGTGATTCACAGGGACATTAAAGGACAAAATGTTTTGCTCACTGAAAACGCTGGTAAGTTAAGCAAAATTAAGTACATAAATCGTTAGGCATAAAGAGCCATTGCCAAATTAATCTTGCAGGTCGTCATTAAATATTTATTTAAATGGTCATTCATTATACACTTTATAGAAGTCAAACTCGTTGATTTTGGAGTATCTGCACAATTAGACAGGACAATTGGACGACGAAATACGTTCATTGGCACGCCGTAAGTCGAATACATCGATTATGACAAAGTCTATTTGCATAAATAAAATTATAAATCCCTGATTGTCTCTTAATTCGATAAAGGTACTGGATGGCACCAGAAGTATGTGGCACAATATTTTATAACAAAATAATCATGCAATTAAGCTTACTGCAAAATCCTCATGTTTAACATGTCATGATTATAATAGGTCATTGCATGCGACGAAAACCCGGAGGCGACATATGACAATAGGAGCGATTTATGGTCTTTGGGGTAAGTTCTTAATCACCGGTAATACAATAAATAAGAGATAATAACCCTTTCAATAATTTTCTTTTCAGAATAACTGCAATAGAAATGGCCGAATCTGCACCCCCGTTGTGTAAATATGACACATAAAATAAAATAATCCCCTAATTTGTTGTGTACTAAATATGTAAATGATTTTTCTACAGGTGAGATGCATCCAATGCGGGCATTGTTCTTGATTCCTAGGTATGTAAAACTAACATATTCTGTACAAGACCATATTTTACGTTGATGTTTCTTGCTTTCTCCAGAAATCCTCCACCGAGGCTCAAGTCAAAAAGGTGGTCAAAGAGATTCCACTCTTTCATTGAAACAGTACTTGTAAAGGTGAGTGCTGCTTTCCTTACGTTTTGGTGTCATGCATTATTCAGGTCACAAATCTTACAAGTAAACTCAAGATTTTCTAACCAGCCAAGTCTCGTAAAATTTGCAATTTTCCGAATAAATATATCGCTTCATCTCTACATTACGCATTTCTCCTTTCACTTTCACTGGGCTGGATGGATTTGCAAGGGAAATGAACCTTGATGACGCTGAATAATATCAATCTTGCTGTTGCTTGACTTGAGCAAATTTGAATTCTAAATGAATGTATTATTCTTTACAGGACTATACACAACGGCCCCCGACTGATCAATTACTGAAGCATCCATTTATTCGTGACCAACCGACAGAAAGACAAGTCAGTGCTAAAACATGCAATTAAATTCTGCTACGGTTTTTGGAAATATTGATCTCACTTTAGGTTCGAATCCAACTGAAAGACCATATTGACAGATGTAAGAAAAGAAACCAGCAAAATAAGAATGAAAAAGGCCGGTGAGTAGTTGAATTTTATGAGTTGTGACTAATTATACTTACCTTTAATGAACGAATCTAATTGCATGCATGAAATTTTACCCCCAGATTTTCTGATGATGAAGAAGACGACGAGGAAACGGAGGATAAACCAGGCGAACGTGGGGAGGAAATTAAACCAAAAGAAAATACGTTGAGACGTAACTTCCATGTAAGTTAATCAGTGGCCGCGGAAGCGTAGGGACAATATCCCCACGGTTGTTCGATGTCCCCATCATTTGTCCATGTTATGCAAACCCCCTCCCTCCCATATCCTAGAATGCTAATGTCCCCGCAGCTTCCGCGGCCACTATATGTACTTTATCATGTATGTTAATCTGCAACGCTGAATTTCATGTTATTTTTTCTACTTAACAGGCTTTGCAAGTAGAAGAACCAGGTATGGAAGGTTACCCTGAATAAATACGAAATATTCATTAAGAAAGTAATTAACTTTAAATATGTATAAATTAAAATTTAGGTCCACCATCTCGGCCACCATTACCTTCCAGACTAATCGTTGTTCCTGATGCGCTGCCACCACCCCCAAGTCGTCCCTTACCTCCCACTCCACGTGGAGCCGTGGAACCCGATGATGTTGAGGATGACGACGAAGAGGAAGTGGAATTTGTGCCGGTTGGTCCAAATTAGTTTGTATTTATTTATTTATCAACAAGGTTTTTAAAAATTGTTCTATATAATCATTTCAGAATCAAATGATTAAGAAAAGAAATGATGGAACGCTATTAGGTTAGAGTTAGATAAAATTGTAATCTAATTAATTAAATCTAATTAAATTAATTATTATTAGCTTCAGAATCTCCGCGTCCTGTCCCAGAAACTGGGCCTTCCAGACCACTTCCGCCAACTCCAGGTTGAATAACTTTCATTGATTAGTTGTTATGTACATACATTACTTACTTATTGCGTTTTTTAGATGAAAGTCAAGGAACATTAGTCACAAGGGTAAAAATTCCTTTATATTATCCAGTCTCAAGGATTTTGCACTCTTATACTCACGATAAGTTAATTAAAACACAGATAAGAGGACCTCCTCGCCCAGGAGGTGATGGCCATGGAGCCAGAACGTCCGTTCTGCCTGATTTGCTTCCTCAGACATCCGACCAAGACGTAAGTTCATTCAATAAAGATTTTCCCAAATTATATATTCCCCAATTTCTAAAATGTATGAAAAACGGAGTGTTTGCGTGTGAGTTTTACTATTAAATACTATTATATTAAATCATCAAACAACCCCAAACATATTCGAGGACGAGGATAACGGGTTGTATGAGGGTAAGCAGGAAATGTCCTACTCAAGATTTGTTGATGGCCTTTTTTGGAAATTTTGGTTTGGCTTCTGTATGTATGATCAGTTTATTTTAGTGTTTTTTGACGTTTCGTGTTAATTTGCAAAGTAGTATTCTTATTCAATTTAGTGAACGTATTAGTAATAATCACGTGGTTTGATATTATTTACAGATGCAAATGGTTCGTGAGCGAGAACGCGAGCGAATCCCACCCCCTCATCCAGCTCACCCCCCACCGCAGATGATTGGTCAGGGGCCAAAGCAAAAATCATTTATAACTTTTGGTTTCAATCAGATTGCCAACTCGTCGTCAGCTTCGTCATCTCCGTCAAGACCGTCAATCAATGTAAATGTCGAGGGTGTCAATCCCGGCTCGCAGAATAGTGACACGCCTGAAATTCGGAAATATAAGAAGAGGTACGTACATACATATCCTCACGCAATGAGTAAATTACAGCACAAATTAATTACTACGTCCAATTTATTTTGCAGATTTAACAGCGAAATCCTATGCGCTGCTCTTTGGGGAGTTAATTTACTGATTGGTACTGAAAATGGGCTTATGCTTCTCGATAGATCCGGACAAGTAAGTAAAGTGCATGCATTTCATGCATACATCTGTGCTCCATCGATAAATGTACAGGCAGTTTGCAAACCTACGTTTTTAAAATTTCCGTAACTTGAGTATGGTCAAAATTTCCGGAGCCAATCCATTTTGAAATCATTCTGGGTTTCCTCTGAAGATTTTGAATTATGTCCACGGAAATTTTGACTCAACTCAAGAGATAAGATAGGGAAAGTTACAGAAATTTTAAATACGTTAGTTTTGCTAATTTCCTAATGTACTATTTTGATTTAAACATTTATTTTTCAGGGAAAAGTCTACCAACTCATAAGTAGGCGTCGTTTCCAACAAATGGAGGTATTTTACTTTCATCACCTGAAAACGAAAATATTTATTTCCTTAATTTTAAACGAACTGTTTTTTTGTAGGTGTTGGAAGGCCAAAATATTTTGGTAACAATCAGTGGGAAGAAAAATCGCGTTCGAGTGTACGTATAACTTTTACATATTTTATTGGCCTACTATTTGCATAGAATTAAATAAATATGTAATTATGATTTAATTACAGGTACTATTTATCCTGGCTGAAAGGAAAGATTTTGAGAACTGAAAGTGGTGAAGGAGAACGAAGAAATGGTTATATTAATGTCGGGGAACTCCAGGTTTGCGTAATTTGAACCTACAATTTTTTTTCTGTTTGTGCCGTTTTCATTATTATCAAATACTTGTAATTATATAATTTGCACTGTTTTTCTAGGGAGCAACGCATTTCAAGAGTAAGTAAATATATATTTTGCGACGAAAAGTATGGCTGAAAATGGTTCTAAAATTTTAAATTGCTTATTTCCCCACTACAGTTGTGAAATATGAACGAATCAAGTTTCTCGTAATTGCTTTGAAGGATGCAATCGAAATTTATGCGTGGGCTCCGGTTAGCAAAATTTGATTAATAATTGAGCTATTTTTACGACGCGCATACTTAATCCTTATTTGTCCTTTGTGTTCTAGAAACCTTACCACAAATTCATGGCGTTCAAGGTAAGATTATAAACTATGGATTGCTTTGAATGATAATCAGTATGAATTTTTTGATTTTTTTGATTTGATAGGCATTTTCCGACCTTTTGTACAAACCATTGTTAGTCGACCTTACTGTAGAGGAGGGGTCTAGGTTAAAAGTCATTTACGGCTCGGCTCAGGGATTTCATGGTGAGATTTTAAATTTGATTGGTGATTTGTACATATAATGATGGATTAACCTAACATTTTTATTATTTTTTGAAATTTCAGCAATTGATCTTGATTCTGCTTCAGTTTACGATCTCTATGCTCCCAAACATAATCAAGGACCAATTTCTCCTCATTGCATTGTGACGCTGCCAAACTCAAATGGACTGCAGCTTCTCTTGTGCTATGACAATGAAGGGGTGGGTTTCATGATTCATACTTTTGTAGTTTTATTGCATTCCTAAAATTGATTTCTTTATTACTTTAGGTTTACGTATCCACTAGTGGAAAAATTTCAAAGTCAGTCGTTCTCCAATGGGGTGAGCTACCAAGTTCGGTTGCCTACATTGGCACCGGACAAGTAATGGGCTGGGGTCAGAAAGCAATCGAGATTAGGTAATATTTTGGTTTAACACACTAGTTAACAGTTGGAATGAAGTATAATTTCGCTTTATTTTTTTTAGATCTGTGGAAACTGGTCATTTAGGTATGTTGAAGACTTAACTCGTCTCGTATTTCAGAGCTATAAATGTAACACAAATTAATACAAACTTTATATAATCCTTAGATGGCGTGTTTATGCACAAAAAGGTAATTAATTAATTTACATACATTTGTGTAAGAGTAGAAACAACATGAAAATCAGTTGTTCCTCTTTGTTAAGGTGTTTAAACTTTAAAGTTCAGTCTTGCTAATTAATTTCCAACTATTCTTCCCTTTTCAGAGTCAACGTCTAAAGTTCCTTTGCGAACGGAATGATAAAGTCTTTTTCTCGTCCGCAAAAGGAGGTGGGGCTTCACAGATCTACTTCATGACTTTAAATAAACCTGGTCTTGCAAACTGGTAAATTTCCGCGTCAACAAATAGAAATTTCTATCCATACTCTAAAATAAAATAAGTGTAGTCACGCTTATTCTTATAAATAGCTTAATATCCAATACCCAAAACTATTTGTATTGTGTAAGTTAGTAGATAAATAACTAGGAAAAAATATTATGATTGTTGCATTCTTTCCAATCTTACTCGCATTTAAAAGCTCTCATTTTGTACCTATCAATTTATAACTTTATTGAGGGGATCATACGAAATTATTATTATCTTTCACACACATTTATGTATGCCTATAAATACCATGCGGCTTCTAAATATACTAATTTATACATAAATAAGTCCCAAACAAATTAAGTAAATGACACTATAATGCACAGCAACCTTTTCGTAGTTTGCAATTTGAATATAATGATTATATAAATATATACATAAGTCAGGTTTACAATTAGTCGAATCCCAGGCATGCATATTATTAAGTATTCCTGCTACTAAATATTATTATCCATAAATACCTAATTTACTGATAAGAAGGGCGAACATGCCAATTTTTTCAACCTTCCCGACTGCAGCATGCTCCTCCAGGCCAATACTTATCTACTTATGATTATTATCTATTATTACATGACTTAATAGCAGATGGATTATCTATGTCATAATAAATATAGATGATAAATATATGTACGGATTCAAATTTTATAAATTTATTATGTATGCATTCAATTTGGAAAGACTTTTTGTAACTTTAGGAATGAATGCTTGTTAAAAATAATTAGTACCAAAAAAACTAAATACATACATGCAATTCTTACTGCTAAATAAGACAACAAATTGTACCTTTTTGACACACTTGCTTTTCAAAAAACTTTCTCATGATATATACTCTAAAACTGGAAATTTTTTAAAAAATTTGTTTCTATTCTCTACGTACGTACATTTCCATAAATAAATATTTGACAACCATTCATATTTAATGTTGCGTTCACATCAATAATTTATGTATAAGTTGTTTGTGCAGTGTTAAATTATTATTATGCAAATTCAATTGTTTACCACGTTGTTACATTATATACCGTTTTGTATATCAAATTATTATATAAGTTTGTGTCTCGAATAAAGCTATATTTCAAGCGTTCGTTAAATAATCATTCATGGTGAAACCCTTAACGTATATCATTTATCGTCAAAATTGTCACATTTTTAAGCATTTCTCCGCTCTGGGAATTTATTTTAAAATTCTGGACGACACATTTGTAGAGCAGAGGTCGTTACCAATTTTTTAAAAATTCACACTCCAGATTTTGACACTTTTTAGCGGAGGAGATCTCAAATTTAAGAACCCTTCAGAAAAATTGGTACTCATCAAAACTGCGTTAAAAACCTCACCCCCATTCCATTAATCAACTACTACAAATTTATCATCCAGAATTTTAAAATAAATTCCCAGAGCGGAGAAAAACATTTTTATTTTGACGATTTTGCCATCAAGTCTACACTAATTCATAATTGAAACATTCATTCCTACATATTTCATCTGTCTCAACTTCCTTCCTTCCTGTAAATACCTACCTACTCTCGCACCCTCATTTCATTTCATACACACTTCTAAGCAGATTGGGAGGTAGAGGTTGTTCCATCCATGATTTCCAACCTATGGAGTCCATTTCCTCGCAACTATTGCTTTCACCAGGCTAGGTATCGTATCAGGCGCAGTCGTGAAATCTTTAAAATTTCTGGGAATCCACACCTCTCTCTCTCTTCCCACCATGCATCCATCCTTTCTCTATCTCGTCCGTCGTCCTCCTTGGTTGTCTGACTGAGCAGAGAAAGCAGAGAGAGTCGAATTGTGCCGTTGGTTGCGAGGTCTTGGTTACAGTCCATAGTAGTCACCAACGATTTGCTTGGCTTGTATGTTTTTGTACCCATCGTCGTCTCTCCCAAGTTGAATTAGGTTCATTTTATTTTCGTTCTTTGGTGAAAGTGGGTGAGCAGATTCCTGGTCTCTCTTCCAAATACACGGGTATTACATACATCGTAGCTACGTAGCTGCTTACAAGTGGGGAAAGAACCCTCTTTTCTTCCACTCTTTGACTGCCTGGCTCTAGCTTATTGGCATACACTTCACTTACTCAAATCAAAGGAAAACAAGAATTTCTTCGTTACATTATCCACTTCCAAATAGAATAAAACAGCGTCGTCTCGCCTCCTCGAGAGAAACTGCGTCATCCAAGATAAAACCCGTACAAATTATCTCAACTTAACTGAAATAGGTGAGTAAACACGTGCATAATTAACATATCTTAAACCCAATTCCCCCAGCATTTGCATATGTACTTAACCCCGCAACAATTATGAGTACGAACCATAGCCTTGAACTAATTTCTTGTATAATCTCTCTCCCATTGATTTAGACGAATTTATATCATCACGATCAAAACCAGACCAGAAGTTTGCTTTTCATCCATCCCATCGTCATCATCTCTCTCTCCACGAGCGGAGAGAAAGTCCATGAATTCTTCCCGGAACCAAGAGCAGAAGAAGACGAAGTAGCAGCAGCATTATTTGATTCAGTTCCACCATCACCATCACCAATACGAAAGCAGCCTTTTCCATACAATACGGGCCAAACCACTCGACTGAAGCCAAACTTTCCCCTGAGAAAGCTATGCCGAGTTGTAGGAAAATTTCATCTCCATTTCAACCCGTGTCGGATAAAGATTCCCAGGAATGCCCAAGTTGTAAAGAGATCTTTACATGTTCCGTCACCCTCCAGGTTCACAGGCAGGAGCATGCTCTCCCCAATGTGAAACAATTCACAAATTCCAACTCCGATCCTCCCCCACCGGAAACCAGTTGCTCTCGATAAGCTACGATTGTCTCATCTGCGACGCGTCGTTCGGGTCGAGGGAACTGCTTATCCAACATTCAAACATCCATCTTATCGGGCATTCCTGCCACAGCGCGCAGTGCCAACAATTATATCACGGGACAACAATAACCAACAATGAAATTAACAAATCAACTACTCCGGAAAATAGTCACTTTTTACAAATTATGTCGTCCCAACTATGTAAATCTACTTCGTCATATCAGGGGGGCTCCCAGAAAGAGGGTAATAATTCCGATAATAATAATAGCAAAAAAATAGCGAGAAACCATAAGTCTGACACCAATTCGGATTCGACCAGCACCACGAAATACTCAAACAACCTCTCCACGAAACCACGTGGTAGCCACCACGTTCCTCCCATTGTTTATCTAAAAATACCCATGAAATTAAAGGTACAACAGGCCACCAATTCTGCGCCGCCGAGTAGTCGCGCCACAAAAAGTAGTAGCGCGATAAATAACCCCAGAAATAAGAAGCTCTATCAGTGCAAATCCTGTCAGAAAGTTTTATCCAGTAAAATGTCATACCTGGAGCATTCCAGGATTCATTGCACGAATAAAAAGGGGCCGGAACGGCATAAATGTCCCCTTTGTGGGAAGTCATACGCCGTAAAAAACACGCTTACACAACACATGACGCTCCATGAAAATAACGCCACGACCAACACGACGACGCCTCCGAGTTTCTATAGCTGTTCCATTTGCTGCGATAGTTTTCCCACGCAGCAGAAATTGGATTATCACACCTGTCCAGGGGTGAACAGAAGGGGGGAAAGTTTCCGGTGTAAGATTTGCAGGAAAATATTTGCCCGTAAAGAGTGGCGAACGAGACATTATTTAAGCTCGCATAGCAATGGGGAAAGTTGTTTTCGGTGTGAAATCTGCGGAGATATTTTTCCAGATGAACAATTCTACCTGATTCATGCACAAGTTCATTTTTCTCATGAGATTAAAAGGGCGTTTTTAGATTGTCGGGTGTGTGGGAAAACCTTTCCGGGGAAAGATTTGTATGAAAAGCATAGTTGTCGATGTGCGGCGGTGGTTAATTCGCGTTAATTTAATGTGACGGACAGGTGTTTCGGGGGAAAGTAAGTAAGACTTGGGAGAAATAAGGGAGAGAAAGTGGTTTCTTGCAGGGAAATATTTTGACCTGGGAGAAATGCAAGGTGCAAGAAACTTAGTCCCGCAAATATGGCTCATACGGCGGGTGGCTAGATGGCGCATAATTCTTGCACTTTCTCCCAGTTTCTTGCACCTTACATTTCTTGTGTTTCTTGCAGCTACATATTTTGACCTGCAAGAAATGCAAGGTGCAAGAAACTATGTACGTCCGCCGCTATACTTCATACGGCGCGTGGTTAGATGATGCACATTTCTTGCACTTTCTCCCAGTTTCTTGCACCTTGCATTTCTTGCATTTCTTCCTTTTCAGTTTAAGAAATGTAGCAAACCCCCAAGACCCGAAACACTGGGTGGAAGTAGGTAAATAAATATTTGCAAGAAATAACCGCAACAAATTTGTTTCTTGCAGCTATTTTGCCCTGCAAAAAATGCAAGGCGCAAGAAACTACTTTCTGCCACTCTAGTTCATACGGCTCGTGGCTAGATGGCGTGAATATCTCACAGTTTCTTGCACCTCGCGTTTCTTAGTCCAAAAAAGTATCAAACCCACGCGAAACGAAAAACTCATGACATTCAAATATTATTACAAATACCACAAAGAAATATATCCACGATGAAATAACTTTCCTTTCCGTAAAACCGTAGTAAATTGTCCATTGTAGCAACATAATAAATAAATATTTGTATTTAACATACATAAATAAATAAATATGTACTCGTATCACTAAATATTAAATATGTATATATACAAATGGTGCTGACGACATGATTCTCCTTAAAAATTTAAAACGTGTGTACAGTAATCCTTGGTTCAAAATAAATAAATTGAGTAATTAAATAACTAAATTATACAACTCGACAAATTATCGAAAAAAAACATTCCGAAATAACTTGCATAACTTTTCAGCAATACATACATATGTGAGTGAACGATGAGCTTGTATTTATGTACATATGCAGGATTGATGTGAAATCGATTGCATTCATCGTTTACATACCGTTATGGCGTTTTATCCCCCTAAAAATAAAAGTATCCTTGATGTCAAGCATTACGTACGTACGTATGTACATAAAAGGCACGAAAATCTGTGGGTGACGTATGTACATTCAAACACAGTGGCCGCAGAAGCATTCGTGGGGACAGAGGGACAATGTCCCCATCATCTTAACCCTTCCTTCCCCTATCCTACTATATTAATGTCCCCATCGCTTCCGCGGCCACTGGAACACAGACAGATATTCCCTACTTTTATCCAATTTTATACCGAAAGCTTGCCCACTCTTGCACTAAACTCGACCTGATTTCCAACCAGTGGCAGCAACAGATTGCTAAAAAAAATATCTTGTTAAATTAGTAGTTTCCCCACCTTCCAATAATTTAGGAATTTCAGTAGATAAATTTAGGATTAAACAGATTGCTATAAAAATATCTTGTCAGATTTTAATTACGTACGTACGTAGTTTCCCCACCCTCCAATAATTTCAGTAAATTTCAGTAAACTTATCTATATGATCATTATAGAAGAGAAAGCGTAACAAGAGAGCAAATACAAAATAGAACCTTTCACTCACACCATGCATACATATATGGATCTACATTCATGGGGCTGGCAGACGGATAAAAATCAATAAGATATTATTAGTTATACAAAGAGACTATGAGACTCTCTGACAAACTCGACAACAACTTTCCAACCAACGAGTCTCTCTCTCTCCTTACGGATGGATTGCTTCATAATAAATCGGAGCGATATTTTCTATAGAATTATCTGAGGAGGAGGAAAGACGACGCAAAGAAAGCAAATCATAAACGACCCATTGCTTTACATACGCATTTTTACTCCGTCTCCAAACTTGACTCAAGCTTTTTATCAACCAAACCTGGAGTTTCATGTATGTACATAATTTTGCCGTGATGGAATAGAGACACCAAAAAGCTATGCAGAATACCCGAGAAATTGTCATATTTTCTCCCTTTTATTCACTCACTCACTCCTACACACCAAGTAGATACACATTCATATTATCGAAAACATTCTCTGCAGCAGCAGCGCAGTCTCAATTTCTAAAAGTTGAGTGGAGCAATATTGACCGTATTACAAAGAAGAAATGTTCTCAATCCATCCATATACGCCGATAAAGTCCCAGTTTCACCCTCTCGCTACCCGATCCCGGGTGCTACATACATCCACGAGCTTTCCCTTTTCACCAGCAGCAACAATCATGTGTATCGTCACACTTTGTGTTTGTCTCGTCTATATATTTGTTCTTTTGATACCGTTTCACCTCAGTGTTTCCTTCCTGGCAGTGGTGGTGGTGCTCTCGGTTTTATTTATCCTGTTGAGCCAGGATTGCCCACTTGATATCGGATCGAACCAACCGTTGTTTCAAGTAAACAAGTGGAGGAAGAAAGCAGGACACTTGCTGTGCTGTTGCTAGTCGTCGGTATTTTTAGTTTGCCAATTTATTTTCCTCTCCAAGTTATACCCCATTATTCTTCTGCATTTTCGGTGGAGATCCAATTCTCCAGGTGTTTTTCATTCTTATGAAGAGGTTCGCTTTCACCAGTATGCATACGAGTTATTAATAGGGGCCTGTTTCCTGCTGCCCGTTTGATGGTGGTGAGCCCACTTATTTACATACACGGTACAAGTGTTCTCTGCTTGAGAACATGTACAGATACTCGTCTGCCAATGAATTATTAATCTGAGGTGGGTGGGTGGCAGTTCAGTGGTCAGCTTTTATAATCGTCACGCACTGTCAGTCCAAAACTTTCTTTTAAATGGCGTGATACTCTTTACGAAGAAAGATTTTTCGATTTATATTTATTTATCTCTGAAAAGTTATTTATTTTCAGGATTGTGACGACCACGACAAGTCTGACTAAATATACATATGTAGATAAATATATACACTGACCGACTGATGAGGTCATCGTAACCTGCTTGATTTTGATTACTCAACATGATTAATTCTATTCCGATGATGAACCTGCAATCCTACAATCAACCCCAGAACTTGGGTGGATCCTCCTGTCCTCCTGCTCCCGAAAGTAGACTGGACGAGAGGATGGAGGTGGTGGAAAGTAATGGTGGTGGTGCTGAAGTGGAAGTCCAACGACATTCCCAAACGGTGCAAGCATTACGGAAATATTTGCAGAGAAAGTTGTCCAGTGAAGGTAAATAAATACGTGCGAGATTAGAAGCGGTATTTTAATTAATGTTAATAATTATCTAGAACTCATAATCATAGCGATCTCCCAGCGTATGCTCTCAGATTTTGAGCAAATTAGTGTGAATCGATTGCAGATTTAATTAGTATGAAATTTGCAAAAGACACGACCTCCCAATGGGCACGTTTGGCGCAGATATTTGCATCCGAAGAGGAGAAAACGTGCAGTTAATTGGGAAAGTGTAAAATTTGTTAACTTTAAGCCATGCTTTCTACACTTCGGATGTGAATACCTCCGCCAAACGTGCCCATTTGGAGCTCGTGTCTTTCCCTAATTTCATACTAATTAAACCTGTCATTGATTGACACTAATTTGCTCAAAATCTGAGTGCATACGCTGAGAAATCTCCATTGTCAGTCTTGTTTAATTATTTTTTTAGATAGCTCAAGTGAACGTGAAAGCCAAAGCCCGCAAGATACTGAAAACCACCACCGGTCGTTTGACACGGCCGAAGAGTCAAAATCCACCCTCACCTGTTCCATTGTTTATGCCAACAACCACTCTTCAGGTTCATAAAAATAAATACTACACTTTTTTTATAGATCAATCCTTACATAAATTTCATATTTTAATTATTATCGAATCAGGAAGAAATAATTTCCCCCTCCAAAAACAACGAAGTCTGGACGACTACACTCACCCATCAACAACGACGCCAACGCCCTCAGCCCCGACAATAATTCCGGATCATCGATACCTCCGAACTGACCTTTGCGCCGCAATTCTGTTGAGCAGATGCACCTTTTGTGATCAAAGTTTTGAGCTTGATGACCAATTACGAACCCATTTGAGAGAAAAACACTGGAACTATTTTTTCGACAATCCAACCCTGTCGCAGGAAGCGGCCTGTGAAGCGCTGGACTTATCCATGCGGAAATCTCCCCCCGAGGTCACCGGATCACTGCCCAATCTCTCCGTGATGCAGTCCTTCGCATCAACCATGGCCATGTTTGGAATGGACTCGGGGGGCAGGGGGAGCAAAAAGGTGGTCAAGTGTGCAACTTGTGGGAAAGCATTTTCTACCAAATGGAATTGGAAGCAGCATCAGAAAATTCACCTCAGAGAAAATTTGCAGGCCTGTATTCAATGAAATTAAGTTAAAAAGCGAAAAAAAATCCAAAAATTTGGAGTGATACGTGTGGAAGATCTCAATATATTTAAATCATTTATTATTTGTCGCGCATGAACGTGTTTGGTTTTTTTGTGGGTTTTCTACATTTCTTGCAGTAAAAAGTATGAAATGCAAGAAATGCGGGGTGCAAGAAACTGGGAGAAATGTGCGCCGTATGAAGTACAGCGGCGAGGCGTAGTTTCCTGCGCTTCGCATTTCTTGCAGGTCGAAACCGCTACAAAAAACCAATTTCTTGCTGTTACATATTTCTTAAAAGTTCGTTACTTGTTGCACCCGAAACACTAAATATTCAATCATAACTTGTACTAGATTACATTATTTAATCCAAAATACACACATACACACAAATTATATAAGTGCTCTCATACATCCATACATACAAAATTTGCTTCTTCTTATACACAAATTTTATCCAAAAAGTATACGAACGAATACAAAATTATATCTAAAAATATACTATTTAACAAATACAAAAAATTGCTACACAAACAAACGTACCAAAAATTAGACTTATTACTATATAAATAAACTTGAAATAACTTTGTACATATAAAAATAGAAACGATCAATAAAACTTGGATTAAAATTGGCATTTCGGCTCACTTGACATTTCACTATCAACTTTCCCATTAATATCACCGTCGTCCTCCTCGTCCTCCTTCATGACGCTCTTGACCTCCCAAAGCATTCCACCCATCTCCTCCCTGAACTGTCCCCTCCTCCCGAGCTGCACCTTATCCGCCTTCTTGCCCCAATTCCCCCCGTAAATAAATTCCCTCTTAGGAACATACTTCTCCACCACGGCCAACCTAATACTGTCCCCTTCTTCCCCCCTCACCAGCATGGGTTGATACTGACATTGCAAATCCCCCACGTAATACGAGTCAAAATTCGTGTCATTCCTCAAAAAGAACGTCGTCATACGGAGTTTCGTGATAAGAAACTTATTCTCCGCCACGTTCTTTAAGTGGAAACCCCACGCCATCCGGGTACCGTTGAAGCCTGCCCACATATCCATCGTAATCGGTGGGGTGAACCTCCACTGCGCTCTGGGATTCTTGAGGACATCGGTTTCCCTTAAGGAATTCGAGGTTCGGAACACGTACGCTTCCGTTTTTGGGTTGGCGTAACATTCCTCCCTCGTTTTGCAGGGGGTGTGTTCCGTTCCAATGATGTAGCCGCGATTGTCCTGGTTTTTGAAGAGGACGGGACCTCCAATCACGCGACGGACGGGGAGGGGAAGTTTCCCGTAAAGTTGGGTACTTTCGCCGCAAACTTGTCGTAAATACTGGGCAAGGACGAAGACTTCTTGACCGTCGAAGATGTGGTCGTAATAATTCAGGGCGTCGTACAGCTTGGGGTAGGCGAGAGTTATGTTGTTTTTAATGATGAATTCTAGGAGGGGGTAGAAATTTGTGCGTTTTCCGGAGTACGCCTTCATCACGATGGTGCTCAAGAGTTCGTCGGTTCGATTGTCGCTGGTTTGTTTGGCGTGGTTGAGGAGTTCCATCCAGAATTTGGTGGCGTCTTTTTGATTGTTGGTGCGAATGCTGTCGATCGTTTTGTCGGCGAATTGGTCCGCGATGTTGGATGTCATCTGAAAAATAGTAGAAATTTATGACTATTGTTCCAAGTAGAAATCAGTGTGACCAATTTTGCAGTCATCGACAAAAGCTCAATGCATATTATGTATATTCTGCAATTTTTTTTTTATATAATTTTGCAGAAAATTCCTATGTTTTATTCTGCAGAACTGTGTGTGTATAATTCGGCGCATATTTTTCTGCATGAATTCGCTTTGTAGTTTTTCTTAAAAAATTGGGTCAAATTTCTGCAGGAAAGCTGCTAAAATTTTTACTCGGGTGTGTCTACATTTAAAATGTCATAAAATCATGCAAATCTTTACTTTCCGTCTTCTTACCTTATTCTCTAATTGACTCACAGTTGCCTTTAACTCTTGCAACTGTGACTTCAACTCCATCACCTCCATTGGAAGGTCGTCCGATGCAATACTAAACATGCAAAATTCGTACAATTTATTTAGCAAATTTTGAATACTCAGATTAAAAAATTTGTACGTTTTAAAATACAAAAATGTGTAGACATTTATTTACCTTGCTGCATCCAGATTCGTAAAAAATGCTACTCCCAACACCAGGAGCGTGAAAGCGCGGGCGCTTTTAGAAAGCATGTTTCCGGAAAATATTTTTGTTAATATTCAAAGAAATGTGTCTGTGCAACTGTAACGATGTAGTACGTGACAGGAGCTTTTATAAAGAGCTTACTTACGTTTATTTGATGACAAAAATTTCACCTTTTAACCTTTCAATCAATCAAACACAAATACGGATCAAACATTTCCACTCATTTAAAAATAAATAAAATTCTGTTACATAAATAAATATATGAGTGCAAAATATATAAATCTGATGCATACAAACATCCATTGGCCGCGGAAGCTGTGAGGACATTGCCACTATAGAATAAGCAAGGGAGGGGTTCATATAACACGGGAGGATGATGGGGACATGAAATAACCGTGGGGACATTGCCCCTCTGCGTCCCCACACCTCCGCGGCCACTGCATACACGAGTTACAACCAGCAATAAATATTTATATATGCATGCAAATAAATAATGAATAGACAGCGCAATTAAATTATGGATCCCCATTTATTCGTTTGTATTACATATTTATTCATCAAAATGTATGAGACATCTTCACTTTTGTGCAGCAGCAGTGGGTCTCCTTCCAGTCAGTTTAAAGTGCATCACCTTTGGACAATTTTGGCGTTATCAGCGTCACCAAACTGGATTTAGCTGCCAAGTCGTGCAGAGCGGTGTCACTTATCTGAAAATGGGACACGTGGAGTTAATTTATTTTACATAATTTCTTTAATGCATTTTAATCAAGTGCATGATAACCTTACTTACTTGAGTTTTGGTAAGACGGAGAAACCCCAAATTGGCTACGTCAATGAAACCGTGATAAACAGAGGCGTCTGTTATCCCATCGTATTTCCAGTATTGCAAAGTGAATTTACAAAGTTCTGCAAAATCATCGTCATTCATACCGGTTTATATGAGCACGTTATTAGCACATGATATTCTTAAATATATAATTAATTATAGAGGACGGATATGTATTTACGAAGAATTGTTGAAATACTTAAGACTAAATATTTACGCATAAAAATGTCAAAATATTTACGAAATATATAAAAGAAAAACATATTTTCGCAATATTTGTACCAGGGAATAAATCTTGCTCGCACCGGCCCATAAGCGGTGCGAGCAAGCTATGGTGAGCCTATGGGCTGGTGCGAGCAAGATTTATTCTCTGATTTGTACTTTTTAATATAATACTCTCCATTTATTATGATCCATTTTCTTTGAGCAAAAAAATTTCGTCTCACCACATTGCTGAAATATTTACAAAATATATATGTATTTTTTAAAAAATACCTAAAAGATTTACGCATTTTTCAAGTAACGGAAATATGTCTGAAAACCTAGAAATTATTAATAACAATTTGTAAAAAAAACTATTGTGAAATTTTTGCGATCTATGCGAGTTAGGGAATACACGCACAAAATTTGACTACCGGTCGTCATCAATTAAAATAATTTAAAATGAATACATATCCGCCCTCTGTTAATTAATCTCACTCACTCTTCAAGTCCCCGATATATCCAAATGACCTCTGACAGTTCGGACTCCACTCTGTGTATTCCGTCAAAACGAGTGGATTTCCAGTTATACCCTGATCCGTCAAGTATCTGTCGTACACCGTCATTTCCTCGATAAGCTTAAGGTGCTTGTAAACGATCCTGATTTGCTCATCGTTTAACGGAGCCTTTAACACGGTCAGGTTCGGACATTGAGAGAATACGTGGTCATAAAATTCACAAGATTTTACGACATATCCACACGAAAAGTTTTTCAGCGAGACGAGCAATGGTTTCACTTTTTGATCAGAATTGGAAGATGATAAGCTAGTGTTATCATCATCTTCAAAAATATTGTCCATGGGTTCCTCCCAATTGAACTCGTTTGATGCATCCCACAATTTTAGCGTTTTTAATGCCGACATTTTCTGGAAACATTGCGGAAACGATTCGCCCCGTAAGATCTCTTGTGACACCGTTAACGTAGTCAGTTTCGGAAACGATATCTTTTTAAATGGGAATATTGCATAAACTTTTAGCGTGCTAAATGTCGTGCAGGAATTAGAATTTGGAAAATAAAGATTTAACGTCTTGAGGGCATTGGAATGTTCACTAATGGCGACTTCCAACCCATGAAAGGATACATTTCGACCCAGACACATTTCAAAATGGACCAAAGTTTTTCGAAAGTCGCGAATTTGCACTAAATGACCGTCCGTTAAGGTAGATTCGCCCTGTCTGAAAGGAATTAAGTTTTAATGTAGCAGTTAATTAATATTGAACCTCGTTTAAATATGTCACACCTTGATTTATAAAATGCCAAGTATTCCAATTGCAAACCGCTTGCATCGTTTAAAATGTCGGAAATGACGTCTTCGGAAATGTATGCAGGCAATTTCAGCGTCTACATAAAAGTACAAAAGATACAGTATTAAACCAAAATGGAGGTCGTTCGGCGTATGCACCCCGATTTTGACTAAATTTGTATCAATCGATCACAAATTTAATAAGCATGAAATTTGCAAAAGACACGATCTGCCAATGGGCTCTGGCCGATTGAGAGATCGCAAATTTCATATTAATTAAATCTGTGATCAATGCGTTTTCTCCTCTGTGGATGCAAATATCTTTGCTAAACGTGGTAGTGTGCACTTTCTCACCCCACAATTTTCACTCGACAATTGAGAATTGTTGGATGAAAATTGACACCGAATCGCCAAACGTGGCCATTTGGAGATCGTGTCCTTCGAAAATTTCATATTAATTAAATAAGTGATCGATTCACACTAATCTGGTTAAAATCTGAGAAAATACGCTGAGAAACCTTCATTCTTAGCATTGTAAAGTAGTGGTCACTACATTCAAGTAAAACTCTGGTCCAACCTTTAAATTGGGAAACGCCGCAAACACTTCCTCCCACGCTAATGGTAACACTTCATCCTCCCATTGTTCATAGTGTAACGACTTCAACCCCAAATTACACGGGACGTTGGGATCTCGCTCCACATTTTTCAACTGTTCCACATCAATATGGTCGTAATAATCGAAAAACACGTAATCCTCGTCGAAATCCTCTTTATGCAAGTACTCCTCACACTTTGGTGGAATATTTTCTTGAATCACGGCATAAAAAAGACAATCTTCTATCCTCAGGGATTCCAGGCATGGCGTCCAATAATACAAAACATTTCGGATGGTTTCCACCTCGTAAAAAATAATATTTCCGAGGTGCAGCTCTTTCATCGTGGGGCCGCATTTCAGCCAAAATCTGTGCAAATTTTTCTCCCTTCGTTCATTCAATATCCAGTGTTCGATGTGATAATTTCTGAAAAATATTTCCTCCACGGATAACGTTTCGATGTAGGCGATAAAATTCTTAAAGGAAGATTTCCTCGCTTCCATTTCTCCCCGGCCACGAATGAGGTTGACTTTGCTGCCCGATTGGAGAAACGGGGAGGCAATGTTGTCCCAAAATTTGCACACGAGCCGAACATTTTTAAGATTTCGGACAGAAAAATGTTGAAATATGCGATCCAGTACCTACATAAAACTCAGATATATTTATAAATATGACGCTCTTTACATATTTACATAATCAATAAATTTACATACCACGCTGTTAAACAAAGGATGTTGTTCTCTCCGAATGTTGATAAGCGCCATAAATATTATTGTGAATTAAGTTTTTGAGAAAATTTAGTTCGGAAAAACCAATGTCCTTTAAAAACTGCTGTTCCCACGAACGGAACTGCGCGATAGAAACGGATGTGTACAGAAACGAGAATAAAATCGATAAAGAAATCTGTTGCATGCTGATACGTCTTGGAATTTCATGCCAATAAAATGCGCTTTATTGATAAAAGTGTAAAAGTGTATTGTACCCATTGTACATATAAACAACAAATTTAGTTAAAACGTAAGATAACAATTTTTACACGGTAATTTGTAATTTTTGGAAATAATTAATTTAGAAAACCAACATTTTCGTTTCATGAGAAATTTAACGGAACAGAATGAAATATAACAACTGATTAATTCGCGTAAAATGTAATTCGCCAAGTACAACAAGAATTGAATTTAAAAGAGGAAAACTAATGTGTGGTCTAGTCCGTTAACCAAACCACAACCACAACTTGGCCATTATTATAGTCTGATGGCACACATTTAATTATTATTTGAACAGGATCCGGAAGTATTGGTGCTGGAAACTGGTGTTGGTGTTGGGGCTGGTGCTTGAAAGCTGCAGGAGGGTTGAACCAACTTGTAATACGCGTTGAGCTTTTGTTGAAGGTAAAAATTTGCAAATCTTGGATGAATAAATAGCGCCTCTAGCTCCGCTTTGTACTCGGAACATTGCAGAACATCAATTTCATGTATCCAAACAGGGTCTGCCTACAAAAAATAAATATATTGAGTCAGTCAGTTCATGCAAATCATGCCAGAAGCGTCGGGCATACATATAAGCATGCAAAATGCATATGAGGAAAACCAGATATGAAAAATCTCTTACGTTTGACAAAATCCTTTGCTGTGGGTTTAAATCATCATTAAAGGTCACATGCGGAGAAAATAAAAGTGCAAAAATCAGTTAATCATCAGTAGGTTATGTTATCAAATGGTATATTTTTCTTGAAATTGATTTGTTAAACTTAATAAAAAGCAGTAAATGACCTAACCTTCACCAGGTGAGTTTTATGCCTATCTCGCATCGTCATCTTAGACGAGACTCTGTGCGTGAGAGAAAAATCAGAAATTTCGGATGGAAGTAGCCCGAGCCAAACCTAGAGGACAAAAGTCCATCATTTAAAATTCACGTTAATTCTTTCTTATGTAGCATTTTCACACTCCACGCCAAATTTATAAATTCATATCTTACCAGATTCGGAACAGTTAACTCTTCCGCAATGGACCAGTCGTTGGCACACTAAATAACAGAATGCGGAGGATATATGTGTATATTTTATGATGTAAAAATGAGGTTAAAATGTTAATAAGCTCAACCTTGGCAATGCTCGCCTGTTTGAAAGAACCCCATCGGATGACTGAAGCTATTTCTACTCCATATGGGTCACAGTCCACAAATGCAAATACAGTCAGGTTAAGGGCATCTCGCAGCTTTCGAATCATTTTCAATGTTACTAGATCAGGGTAACCTTTGCCTAGAGAAAGATCAAACGTTACATATGCCGTCATTAATTCAAAACACAAGTAAAATGTATTCACAATCATAGCATTCATATCATTGTGCATGAATTGGTGGTGGAAGCAGGAGGACATAAGAACATTGTTCCCCCAGAAATTCAGCAAAATCGTGTCTGCCCACAATGCTAATTATTGCTAATGTCCCCGCAACTTCCGCCGCCACTGTGCACATCATTTGATGGTATTATGTATATTACCTAGGTATGTATTGTCAAATATTACCTGTGATCAGAATTGTGGGACCAATTTCTTCAAACACTCGTTCATCAATCAATCGTTGAAATACTGCGTCTTTTTCCACCACAATAATTTGCTTCGCATCGGACTGAATCTCACACATATCTGAAATTTACCCATTATCATTACACTGTGCAAATACATAAACACATTACATATACCAAAAATTATGCATAATAAATATTTATTAACGATGCACACATATTTACGCACCATCCACCCCAGAAACACTTGGAATCAGCATTCCTGACTTGAAATGGGCCAAATTAATGACATCGCCAGTTGTCGTCTGGAACTTCAAATTCCCTGCCATCAACCCCTTTGATGTCGCTTCCAGTCTTAAAGCGTCCCTTGGCACCTGCACGCAATAAACACCACATAAACCAGTTATAAAACTTGAAATCCCTCTAATTAAATACTTAAAAAATTATACACTCACCTTCAAAATATGACACAAATCATAAATCGCTGACTCCAATCTATTCTGACTCTCGTACAGGGAAACATTCTCATAGTACAAGTCTCTTATCGTACAATTCATCGATTTGATCACCATCCCGTGGATTTTCGACATGAGATGAAACTGCAGAGCGAACTTCCTCTGAGATATTTTAGTCCCGAATTTGACATACATGAGACCATGTGGAAGTCTCGGGAGTATTTGTTTGTCCGCCTTTGTCCTCCAACTCCACCCCCCATTCGCCACAAAAGACTCTGTTAGCGTAAAGTCGGCCGCCGGATTGTACTGCGACCCGCTAGCCACCAACGTTGGAGAAGCTTCGATCCTGTTTTGCACGAAAAATGGCTTATCCCCCCGAACTATTTGTTTCACCATGTTCACCACCCTGGTTTCAATGTTCCTCTGAACTTGTTCCCGGTACAGGGTCGCTCTCTCGTGACTGGAAAAGTTCAAGGCTAAATTGTTCTGCCATTGTGGTGGATAATTCCCCCCAGAGAAATAAGGTGAGGGTGCTGGGGGCAGGAGAAAAGTCATTTTCCGAAGAGATTTCTTCAGAAGTGTATTTAACGGAAATAATTTTTTAAAAAAAAACTGGAACTAATTAGAATTATTTAACTAAAATTAATGACTGAACTTAAATTTTGTAAGATGTGACTAGAAAATAAACGGATGAGGTGGGGTTGCTCGTGTATAATGAGAAAATTTTCATGCAGGGGTCAATGACCGCTCGCTCGCTTGCTTTCTGCTGGTGAAAAAAGCAGTACACACAACTTGTTCGTTAATGTTAATAACATTATGTTATATCAAAATTTATTGCAAATTTTTTGAAAATTTCTGTAATATTTCTTCAGAAATTTTAGCGATAGCTAATTAATTATTCTCTTCCTCTTTTGCTTGCCACGGGTAAAAAAAGCAATAACACACAACTTGTTCATTAATTTTGTATCAAAATTTATTGACTTTATTCAAATTTTTTCAAAATTTATGTAATTTCCCTTCAGAAATTTTAGCGATAGCTGATTTATTATTCTCTTCCTCTCCTGCTTGCTGCGGGTGAAAAAAGCAGTACACTTACAACTTGTTCATTAATTTTATATCAAAATGTATTTCCTTTATTCAATTTTTTTCAAAATTTCTTTAATTTTCCTTCAGAAATTTTAATAATAGCAGATTTATTATTTCTTGCTCTAAATATTTAGACATACATTAATTATTATGTAATTGTTTTAAGGCTCTCCTATTTGTCTGTCTACACTTTGTTGAGACGCTGATTGGGACTCTCTCCGCTCCACGATTTGTCCCATACTTTTATAATAAACGTACAAAATTCCGACCTTGTAAATTAGATGGGCTACGGAGACGAGGAAGAAGCCGTTGAACATGTGTGGTTGAACATTGACGGGGGACCAGTCTATCGCAACGTATGCTAAGAGTAACAAATGAACTAAGATAAGTATCACATAAGCGACGACCCAGGCCTTTTGGACGCCCGAGTACTTAACGGTTAAGAGGATGAGACCAAAGGCGTTTATGACTATGGTTGCAATGGAAATGTTGAAGCCCATCTCGTCCGGGGCGGTGGTGTAACCTGGATAAGAACAAATTTCCAATTTTGTAAGTAGAGATATACAGATACTTAAATATACATTATTAAACAGAGTTAAGAAATAGTCAGTGTTTCGAGTGTAAGTGATCACTTGCAAGAAATAACGGGGAGAAAGTGGTTTTGTGCAGGTATTTTGACCAGCAAGAAATGCGAAGTGCAAGAAACGACGCCCTGCCGCTATACTTCATACGGCGCGTGGCTGGATTGCGCATATTTCTTGCACCTTCTCCCAGTTTCTTGCACCTCGCATTTCTTGCATTTCTTGCATTTCTTTCTTTCCAGTACAAGAAATCTAGCAAACTCGTAAGAAGAAACGAAACACTGGTGATAATTACCCAAATAAAACTTGGCTTCATCAAGGTACGCAGTTATAGGGTAATGGAAACATCGGTGGATATTTGTAACCTGCAGGAAAGGTAAACATTGATTTTCACGCATATTTCAATTATAAAGTTTTTTTTATATATTTTGTCTCCTTACAATTTCAGAGAAAAGTAATACTACAGCTAATTGAACAAGGTTTTCCCTGTAATAGTCTCGAAGAGCTAGAATCCCCTCCCCCACAGGACTAATTTTGGCTCTGCCCTCTTCTGTGGAGAGATAGTAGGAGGCTTGAACCCCAGTGATGGCACAAAACCCAAAGACTACAACAACATTAAATCACTTTTAAACTAAATTTATAATAAAACATGAAAATAAACTTCCTTTATAAAACTTCAGGTATGAAAACTTACTCATGGTGCCCCAGAGGAATGCAGTGATTTTTTGTATTGCTTCCATTACTGGGTAACTTCTCTCCCATTCTTCTTGGGTCTGAGGGGATCGAAATTCATGTAAATGTGGTTGGCCATAAATAACTATATGAAATATGTTTCTTTTGTCACTTACAAATGTATGAAGCACTGCGGTGTAGGATGTTCTTACGAGCGTGGCCATGACCCAGATTAGTGCGAAATGCCGGTTACCCTGTAGATAGATATATACACACATTCATTTACATACATAGGAATTTCATAAAAATTGAGTTTTCATGATAATTTTTGACTACCTTAACAATTACAGCTATCCATAACAAGATATCCGCTAGTATTTGAACGAACAAAGTAACTCCGAACAAAACCCATTGTGGGTGATCTGGAAATTCAATTTTGCAATTTTTCTCAACCCTAAATTTAGATTGTATAGCATTTTTTTTGATGGATCCACTCACTAGCAACTTCCGTAGGTAGATGACCAGGGGCATGACCGTGCAGCCCGTATTGATATTTCGCTAACGAATAAGCCAACGAATGGCTGGCAGCATTGCATGATATGATCTGCAAAATTCACGCCGTTTCGTAGATTTTAATTTTTTTGCAAATTCTCAACGAGGCGAGTAAGTAAATAATTACGAGTGTGCTTACCGTTTCAATAATGGCCGCTAGGATAACAGCATTGGACATCGAGAGCCCAATCCGGTACCACGGGCCAATTCCCATCTTTCCGAAATGCATATACATATATAATAATTGTAACACTTTACACAGTCAGTTTATCCCTGAGGCGCAATAAGTTCATTATCATATTTACTTAATTTTATTACTATTTATTTTCTTAATAATGAACACAAATCATGAACACCTTTAGTAATTTTTTATCACCACGTGTGCCACAAATTATGTAACGTGGTTATCCCATTCCATCACTTTAAACTAATTAAATATTATTTGCACTTTCAGATCAATTCCAAGCTTTAATTTCGACATCAATCCTCCCCAAAAAAATCAACTTTCACTTCCTCCTTGACACCGGATGGAACCCTTTCTTCTCTCCACGGCAGACCATCCTCTAGGCACGCTGGCAGTAGTCGTACTCTGTTCTGTTTGGTATTTTCCTCATGCATTCATTATTATTTTTGCTCGTAAGTCGTAAGTGTACTACAGTTAAGTAAAATAAGTAAGTATGCGCTTAAAAGTGTAACCACACACTCGTACGTTTTTTCTTTTTTCCTTACAGTCTTTTCATCCACTCTCATTCTCTCCACATCATTCTCACCACGTTGATTTCCTGCATCTCATCTTTCGAATTTCTCAGTCACAAAGTATGTATGGAAGAGAACAACACAAGGAAATGGAAGGCATGCACATACAGAAAGAGAGAAGCGAGACGAAGTGCGAGTCATCGTACCGTTTATGTTGCGAGTGACTCGTCTTCTTCTTATCTCTGCTCTGGGGGACAGACCAACTTTTTCCGAGCACATTGCATCTCCACATATTTGTACTCCGAGACAGAGACACTCTGCATGATTTTCTCTAAGGATAAATTAAGACTATTCAGTTGGCAATGACTCAAAGCGAAGCAATTTGGACCAGCGCCCTTCTCCGTATGCAGATTATTATATACGGGTATGTGTAACATGGTATCGTCGTCGTGGTCGTAGTCGTCGTCATCGTCGGAGTTCCTTTATACGTACAATTGCAAAATATTAATCTCGATTATTTCAGACTTTCCATTTCTAGGATGACGATGAACTCGAATCTCGAGTAATAAGTGGGACATGATTAAGCAGCAGGATTGATTTCGGGAACTATTCATCAAAAAGTCGGACCATATTTCCAGATAAAGATCTCCTAACTCGCATTCCGACCGGTAGTTAAGTCCTATTTCCACCCGATTAGTAGATACGATTAAATGTTGTCGATAAAGCGAGTGAGAGAGAACGGAGCCTTATGTAATTCGATGAGCTATCTTCTTCTTAACAAGATTACGTACGTACATTGCCTACTTTTCCCAATTCGCAAACAAAATCAACTGTCTGTGTCTGTGTTGTTGGTTGGACGGATATTGATGGAGGTATTTCAGTACTTTATCCCATACCCAACCCAGTTCATCTGTATAATAAGAGTGAGCCACAGATTAGAAATATTTCTAGTTAGTCTTTTCATCTTTTCTAAGCAACAAACTAAATACGATTCAAAGTATGCGCAATCTTCTTCTATGCATGATGATCATTTCCTTCGAACTGAACGAGAAGGCAAACTTTTTCGAAAGACGTGGTAGTTGTATTAAAGAAGTTTTCAAAAATATTCACTGTCAACAGTCAGTGAATACATGCATGCATTGAGAGAATTCAGTGTTTCGGCTAGAAGTAAGTAACCATCTGCAAGATATAAGGGCAAGAAAGCGGTTTCTTGCAGGTATTTTGACCTGCAAAAAATTCAAGGCATAAGAAACGACGCCCCGCCGCGCATACTTCGTACGTCGCGTGACTAGATGGCGCGTATTTCTCCCACTTTCTCCCAGTTTCTTGCACCTCGTATTGCTTGCGTGGCTTGCTTCGTCGGGCAAAAAATGCCGCAAAACCCGCAAGAAATGAAACACTGGGTGAAAGTAGTAGTCACTGCTGACCACGTGTTTCAGGTGGAAATAACCACGTGCAAGGAATAACGGGGAGAAAGTGTTTTTTTGCATGTATTTTGACCTGCAAACCCGCAAGATCCGAAACCCTGCGAGACATGCCTGACTGCCGAATTCCCTAATATTTGATCTCTCCCAAAGGAGGGCCGGGTTCGAGATTGACACAACAAGCGACCTTACCTTACATACATATATTAATACCGCGGCTTTTGCGGTTCGGTGTATGTATCTACATAAGTTTGCCTCGTTATATAGCCGAGCTCAACTTTATGCATGTTCCATTAAGCAAGTTTCATGTCTTGACATCCCATCTCGTAAAAAATTGCTCTGTCCAATTGTATCTTGAAAAGTGATCTCTTCAAGGTTTATTATTATATCTGTGTGCAGACAACGGGTCTTAAATCTTGCCTCTAGTTTGACTTTGAAATTGAAATTTAAGGCTGTCAAGTCAAGTCTCCCCGTACGCTGATTTTTCGCCATGATTGCCTGCCTTCCTTCACGCACCGATTCTTCTTCCTCTTGAAAAATTAAAAGTTGAAAGATGCCCCTTGTTGAAAGATTGTTTCGTTGATGTGTCATTGAAAAATATTTTTCCAAGCAATTTGTGAAAGATCATAGGTTTAATGAGTGACTACTTTGATGTTACACATGCCATAGATAAGCACATACTTTGTCGGTCGGTGAGGCTGAATTTTTGGTGGGTGGTAGTGGTGGTGGAAACGTACCCGTTGAATGCTGCTTGGAACACCCGGTTATGAACAATGAGACATTGTGCACATGTCATTCGTGAATAAAATAAAATAAACAATTCGTGCTTGGAATGTTCTTCCAAATTCCGAGTGGCATCATCATCCTCCCCTCACAATTAGTTGGGGTCTATATCTAATTAAGTTCCGCATTTATGGAAAACAATTCCTTGCTTCTGCTTTTTTTAAAATTACGGGTTGACGATGGTTTCAAAGTGGTAAAGGGGAAGAAGACATGCATAGGTGAAACTGACTCTACATACAACAAATTATTATTGGGAGACAGGATTCATTTAACTTTCAGGCACACACTCATTAAAATAGTTGGTGTGGTGGTAAAAAAGAACGAGGAGAGTCAGAGAGTAGAGCAATTTTCTAGTGTAAAGAAGATACAAGAATTTTTTAATGTGGTTATGCAACTCGACTCTTACTATAGAGGTCTCCCAGCGTATGCTCACACAGATTTTGGCTAAAATTAGCGTAAATCGATGATAATATGGAAGTATGCAAATTGGATTATCTGCAAATCCGCAGGTTTTTGCATCCAAAGAGGAGAAAGCGAGCCCTAAAGTCGACAAATTTTACACTTTCTAAATTTGCTGCTCGTTTTCTCCTCTTCGGATGCAAATATCTCGGCAAAACGTGCCCATTGGGAGATTATGCCTTTTTGCAAATTCCATCCTAATTAAATTTCGATTGACGCTAATTTCCTCAAAAACGGAGAGCACACGCTGGGAGACCTCCATTATTAGCAACGACTCATCCACTTTCTTCTTCCCAAGTACTTTTCTTCCAAACATGTTTCCCAATTTTTGCAACAAAACCAAACCAAACGTCACAAATTAAGGAAAAGTCAACACAATTCGACTTATATTGCGCAAACCTAAACATTTATTTTGCACTTTTGCTTTGATTACGTATTTATTTTCCATATTTTTCCTCACATAAACAAACACGTCTCCTTACTTTAATTTCATTCCATGAAATCTTACATATTTATTTCAGGTTTAAATCATGACAGGCTAGTTGCATATACATAGAAATAAGTATACGAATTATACGATATATGATGAGGGATGCCTAAAAATAGAAAACTTTTCCTCTTAATTTTTTACGAATTGAAAGGTTCAGTAGTAATGGAATGGGAATATGTACCAATGTACCCGCATTTGAATTCTTATTTACCGAGACAGAAAGTGACTCCTACGCTTAACTCCCCGTCATTTGATACCCCATTCTTTATTCATTCGCTGGTTTAATATCAACAACGGCTTTAACTAACTATAACGACCAGACTACGTACATACATACATACATAACTTATGTAATGTTCTTTCTTCTGTCTTTGCTTTGATGAGGTTCTCGTTGTATGTACGTATCTCTTAAAGAACAAGTCTCTTCTGTGTGCACAGACGTGATAAATTTTGCAAATAATCATTTACCGTGCAATCCAATTTGCTATATACGACACTTATTAGACTAAACCCCACTACGTACATAGATGATTTGGGGCATCATCTTATTTCGTTCGTTCCAAATACTCAGAAATCGCGATATCCTTGACCTTCTATGTACATGTGTATGACAAGTACTTATCTAACAAAAGTGATTTTTTTATATTTTTCACGATCATGATTTTAACTGAAAGGCTGAAAACAATCCTGAGTATGATGAATCTGGTGTCTACTTGTCTAAAATTCATGTAAATAGTTAAGTGCCCAGTGGGCGCGGAAATATAGGAACAATGTCCCCACGGTTATTCGATGTCCCCATACAATATTGTGTATTTCATGTTTTATAAATGTTTATGTTAATAAATTCATATGTCCTCATACATAATCTGTCCATTTTATATATAAATCCCTCCCTCCCTCCCCTATCCTATGTACAATGTTAATGTCCCCACATGTTCCCCCAGCTTCCGCGGCCACTGTACGAGTGTGTACTAAATTTTTACTGCCTTAAAACTCTACCATCACGACTTATGTATGTATAATGCGCTGTCTTTTTGTTCCGTGACATGAGCGTCTGAGTTATTATGGGACTTGCGGTTTTATGTTCCACATTATTTCAAATACTCATGAGCAACAGAAATTATACACACACGGGGACATTAAATTCGTTCAAAGTGAAGAAGAATTAATAGTTTTCGAGCAGTTCATATACATGCTTGAATTTCCAATTCCAATCCAACTGTGTCAAGGTGGATTGCTGGGGACAGAAAAACACGTGGAAAGAGTCATCAATCGACCACTAAGCATATCTACGTACGTTCTCAGACAGACGTTCTGTCCTGTTCTGCAAATCTTAGCACTCATTTCTCGTCATGTCTCGCTTTCAGAGTCATGATATTCAAGTGATTTTAATCAAAAAGTTATGTACCGTATGCAAAATAAGAGTACAGCAAAACAGCAATTAAACTGATCTATCTATGCAGATAACGAACACGTGCAATTTTTTCATTTATAGGATTTATTATACCGTTTATTTTGCAATGTCTCATCTCGCTTAAAAAACATCTTCTTAACACTGTTTTTCCAATAATTTAGCGCAGTACGAATTTACTACGTTACACATTTCTACGTAAATATATAACGTAACACAGCACAAACAATATCTATGTAACGCAATGTCCTACTATAAAATTAGCTATTAAAAACCCACGAAGAATGTGAAAACATGATAAGTATTTTGTGAAACGACGACAAATCTAAAATCAATCATGATGGATTTAGAAATGTATAGATAATAAATTTAATTTACTTTCGAAACTACGTACGTAACAAGTTTTACGATTCAACTACTTAAATTAATAATTATTCATAAACTACTTGACTCGTAGAGTACGCTGTTTGTTCATGTTGGTAAGCATTAATGAAATATAGCTGGTGAGAAGGTCATCCATCTTGTATCCGAGGGAAGTTTCGCATAAGAGTTTTGAACCTCGGACCAGGTTTCCGATCGTCATGTGAAAGTACTAAAGGGTAAAATAAATATGTAAGATAATTAGTAAAAATGCGTAATTTTACCGTGTAAATTTTAATTACCGTATTTCCTGATGACCAATTCGAAATTTTGGTGAAGGGATGAGTGACCAGTAATTCCTGAAAATTAGAAAAAAATAAGAATTTAATTTTACAAAACCTTAAAAGGGCTAGAGTTTAGTATAAATCACCTTTGTTTGCGGATGAATTAAGCTTACACCCTGTTTATTTATTGCGATAAGTAGTAATTCGGGATAACTAGGGTCTGGAAAAAGTCATAAAAAATGTTACGTTACGTATACTGTTGATTGATGTATTGTTCTCAAGAATGAGAATTTTATTATCTTACCCGTAGTTTGCTTAACTTCGAAAAATGCCGATCCGAATGTTGGCCATCTGGTCATACATAGTTTAATTAGAATTAATTAGCAATTTATAGATATATTCTAAACACTATTAGCTTAAAATTATTTACCGGTAAATAATTTTCAAGAAATTGACTTTTGCATCGTTCGAGTTCATGCCTTCGGACAAAATCATACAATTTTAGTTAAATTCCTGGATAAATTAAATTAAGATATATATTATTTACCTGCATCTTGATTGTATGCACCAACAATTGACCTTTTGAAAATACAAAATATTTTAAAATTCGACAACTAAAATTCGAAAAGTTGTAAATCACGAGAGTGATCTGCTTGTATACATACCTTTTCCAGTCATTTGTGCTTTGGAGCTTTGCTAAATCTGCAGGAATCAACTCTCGAAGCATTTGCCTGTTTTTTTGTATCAACAAAATTTCAGAGTTATTAACATGAGACTGGCAATCTTAATTATTATAATTGTTATCTCACGGTATTTGTTGCAGCTCTTGTTTGCTCTCTGCAAATCTGACACGATAAATGAGAGCACCTAGTTTTGATGCCTCCTCTTTCGTACATTTGTGGTAGCCTATAAAATTAAAATACTTGAATTAGCAAATAATCCGTAGTTTGATAAGCTCTCTTAAGGTCAGATAAGTTACCTCTGAGGTACTTGGGTAGTTCTTGGTGATAGTGAAATATCCAATCTGCCATCTTATCTTTCCCTGCATGCAAAACAAGGTGAATTAATTATTCATAGATGATACAAAGTGATTTCACTACTGTTTGCAGTACAACTTTTGTACTGTACATAAAGTTCATGTCGGTTATAATTATTGCTCAAATCAATCATTCTTTACCTGGAACCGTATTGCTCCACAATTTTCGCATGAAAAATACTTGATATGTAAATTGAGGTATCGTTCCTACACAAAGAAAGTCACGCATTTTAAAAATTATCTGTAAAAAATACGTGTGATGCGATTATATATATTTTTAAGCGTACCATCTCTCGAAGGTCTCGCCCTTTTTATCCAGTCGGTTAAATGTCTTACAAAGTCAAAGAAGAAATCCCCCTCGGGAACGGAAATTACTTTATCTGCAATTTTGACAAACAAGCTGAAACCTTCCGGAGACCGGAGGGTCAATCGTTCCGCAATATTTGCACAAAATTCTTTCGCCCTCGTGCTGCTGTCCACTTCGAAAGCTTCGTCGGTATCCTGTAACAAAATATTACCACGTTTAGTTAATAATCCGTGTATTTAAGGTAAATAAAATAAGAAATTAGGAAAACTCACGTCAGGAAAGTAGACTTTATGGAAAATCTGTGTAGTCTTGTGTTGAATTGCTTCCACTTCGACTTGATGCGGTGGATATTTTCTTTGACCAACTTTCATAGTTTTTTGCAATCTCTGTAAACAATCTTGTGCGATCGGGTGGCGTCGTGTCCTTAAGAATTGCGTCAACTCTTTCATCAACGTTTGAGAACCTGGAAAAATATCGTAATAGTTTTACACAATTGTTTTAAATGCTACACTAATTTCCAGGGGTGGGCAAAATACTTTGTAAAAGTACAATATTTTGAGCACCGTTGTCCGCAGGATTTGGATTTCGAGGGATGTTACACCCACAAAAAGACAAGAATCTGCATCGAGAATATAACAGTCTTACGAAAATGCAGGTTTTGTGAAGAAATTCGCTTTTTATCGCGGTCAAAATACATTGTTTTCGCGATTTTTTAAAAACAAAAGTATTTCGACAGCGATAAAAAGTTAGTTTCGTAAAGTAAAACCTATGTTTTTGTGTGACTGTTGTGTTCTCAGTGCAAATTCTCTTCTATTTGTAATAGCCCCTGGAAATCCAAACCCTGACAAGAACGGAGCTATTTTAACAAAAAAATTTGTACACTTCTACTTTAACTACTTCTTTTGGACAAAAATTTAAAAATGGCAAAGTTTCATTTATTAAAAATCCCCAAAATTTATCTCACATGCAAAAAGCCCTGTCGCTAGCCACATTAATTCCCATCCTCTCTCTTCACTAAACTTGTTTCTATTATCCGTCAACTGCTTCATCGCCTGGCAGTAAACTTCATCCCGGAGAATTTCTTGTTTTAACGGGGGGTCGAAAATTTGATCGGTTAGCTCATTCCCAATTTTCGAACGTTTATGCGGAATGTCTCCCATGTACTTCATGATGGAGGTAAAAATGAAATTGGCATCCTCCACGAGCCCCTCCTTATTTTGTAACTTTTTTAGTAGTGGTTGACGAATCGGTTCTCTAGAGTGACGCCACAGCTCGTCTCGTCCAGCGCGTCGGGCAGAGGAAAGTGTAAGCGTTTTGGAGATTGTGCGCTTCGGAGCTGTATAAAAAATAATTAATTAGTTCAGTCGTGAAATATGTACGAAAATAATATTGCTCAATTTGGTACTGCGACAAAACGGCAATTTTGGCAAAATGGCAAGCCGTTTATTGCCACTTTGCCTGGCAAATTTTCATACCGGGCTGCGGTTTTTTTGTACCGCAAAACAGAAATTTTGGCAAAATGGCAAGCCGTTTATTGCCACTTTGCCTGGCAAATTTTCATGCCGGGCTGCGGTTTTTCTACCCAGTTAATGTATACAAAATTGCAAAAGTATAGAACGGCATGTCCTTTTGTGTGCACCGATTTTGTCCCAAAATGCAAATACTTACCTGGTCGGAAATGTTCAATTGAATACTCTTCAAGCGTGTGTGGTTTCTCTTTTAAAGTGTCGACCCCGTTGGCATAAGAGTAAGCAAATCTTTTCCCACCGTCTTCCGTCTTAAATAGTTCGAGAATGTCGGGAGGCGGTTTTGTAGCTAAACAAATTTCGTTTGTCATACTAAATAAGTAATTTTTACGTTATGCAAATGAGTTGAGTTGTTTTACCTGTGGGGAGAACATAAACCGTTTCTGAGGGGAAATCTCCCTTTTCTCCGGAACGTTCACATCTACATAAAGAAAAACAAAACTTTTGTATTGGATTTTTATTATAATATGGTGATTGCAAATTAATCGTTTTTATGCTAAATTCTCACAAAAATTATTATGATAAACTTAGCGTTTTTTAGTGTAAAAACCTTAATTCGCCATCTCTGTAATATATTTTGTAAGAATTAATGATAAAATGCACCTTCCAACACTCCATCCAGAACTGAGAACAGTTTCGCCACAGTTATCATCCTCCAAAATTATTAAGTCGCCCTTCAAGAAACTTAAGAAACTGGATCCTTCATCTGAAATTATGATATCGAATTTATACTGATGCTTATAGACATAAGTTTGGTAAATCATGTGATCTAGTAGAATTTTCTTACTTGGTGGCTTATAGTCTTGCATTGCAATTACAAAGTTGGATCGCCTTTTCAGACCGTCCAAGAAAAAATCAACTAAATCCTTAATGTCTTCGGAATTTGGACTTTGGAAGGTAAACTCTACAATAACAAGTTACATAAATATGTGTCACACACTCAAATTATTAATAAACATCCATTAATTTAATTTACATACCTTCCCCCGTTCGTATCGTGGAAAGGGTGAAAGTGGTTCCAAAAATCTTATCCGTCTTTTCTGTACTAATATTTGTGATTTCCGGAAACGATAGTTCCAATAAAACTTGTTCTTGGTCATCAACTACGTAAATCCCGGTCCAATTTATCGCCAATATGACATCGTTCTTTGGTAGATTTGGACCAGAATATCGAAACGCTGAAAAATATTACATTATTCACATATTACAGATTTACACATTGGGTATAAGACATTTGTGTAAAGTTCGACCTCTTTATTACCTTCATAAAATCTTGAGAAGAGTAATGGCCATTTGAACTTTGCATAGGCGACGATGTCCTCCTTAACGCGGAGGAGATCCATTCGATCTTTATTTAACCCCGTCTAAAAAGTGCATATATTGAAGAAATTAGATATGCATTTCCTCATTTATTGTTCATTAAATACAGGTTTATTACCCGTCTAAAAGCCGCAGTCACAATTTGCACCCATTTTTCCACCGATTTTTCTGAAGCTGCAAAACAATTTATGATTTATACATTCAATCTCAGAAAATGTAAAATTTTAGTCGCTACCATTTAGACTGAAGTCTGGAATGTAACTGGTAATTGCGGCGTTCAATTTATCAGAGACAAGTTCCGTTCCATGTTCGACGTAATACTGTAAAGAAGAAGCGAATTTTTATAGCTTTTGATTTAAATTTTGTTTTCTATTTCAGAAAAAAAATGTTTCTTAAAAATGTTTTCAAAAAAGCATACTTGTTGTGCCGCAATCATTCCCAAGTCCTCTTCCTTGTCACACCTATATTCCCCAAACTTTATGCCTCTCACGACCTGTTGATAGATTAGATTCGTGGCCACTGCATCTTCAGAGGGGTCGTGCCACGGCGAAAAGATTTCCTGTCAGGATAAGTCGATTTTAGTACAAAATTCGTTTCAGGAAACGATCTATTTATGCTGCATATTTCAAGGTTACTCACTTTACGGAAAAACAACCTAAAAATGTGCGAGAAAAAATTAAAGGTTAAACATTAAATAAACCTCGACATAAATTTTAATGAGCGTTATTAATAAATCATTTTTTTACGAACCTCCAAGGAGCATTTCTCTCCTGTTGAGTTCAAAAATAATAATTTTAGAAAATATAGAATGAAATATATTAAAAATACATAATCCTAGATTAGAAACCCCAATTTATGAAGTAAATCACCACTTATTTACCTGAGCTCCTTGTTCTTTAGCATACTGTTCACATTGTGAAATGGCATCCATAACGTGTTCATTTCCGCTCCCAAGTGATGAAACCTACAGAATTATAAGGGGAAATTTACAGTGAAATTCAGCCCTTCATAAAATATATTCAATTTCATCAAAAATATTTCTTCACCTTATCAAACAACGCAATGTATAAACTGAAGCCAAATTGGTCCTTTAAAGAAATTTTGTCTGCTAGTTGATTGCATAGTTCTGAAAATAAATGCAACATTTTTAGGAAAAACATAGTTTACCACATTTGAATTATTACATAAATATGTAATATTCAAATTTATAAACGTACCACTCGACGTTGTTGCAGAATCAGCCAGGAGATTTTTCGTGTTGCCGTCCATAAAGGTAATTGGCAAAATGATGGGTTTTTTGGATTTTGTTGCCTGCAAAATATAATTTAATAAAAAACTCTGCAAAAATTAAATTTCCGATTTCTTCTCACCTGTAACTCAAGCCAACTCGGAGGCTGATTTCTTGTCCCATTGTTAAACGTACGTTTAAGACGTTCCTCACAATACGGGGCGTAACCCGGAGGCCCTAAGAAAAATATGGTATGTAGAGATTTTAAACAAATCAGACAAAAAAATTGTTTGAATATTTTTTGAAAAATATTCAAAAACTTACCTTCTCGAATAAACGCTCTTAAAAATTTGACAAATCCTTTGCTTTCCGAGGGTGCAAAGCATCCAACGCAAAGCGAAAGTAGAATCCATCCTCTTGCATGGGACGACTTTGATGGGTTATTTGTAAGTTGTTTGCAAATTTGACAATATATTTCATCTCTCAGTTCCGCCCGCAAAATCCCGTGACCAATTATGAAACTGTTGAAATTGTTGAAAAAAATATGTATAAATGTTTCATATTTTAATTATTTATCATTTTAACAAACTTACTGGAGTTTTTCCAAATTGGAAGTCGGCCGTGATTCCAACCAGGACTAAAAATTTGGAAATTAAGTTGGAAATTTTGATTAATAAGAACAAGAATCCACAAAAAATAGTAAATGGTACAGAGGTTAACGCCGACGCCCCGTATGGCGTCAGTGGCATTTTACTCGTTCCGCCCCCCTAAATTTGATTTTCTATTCGTTTAACAGTTGGACGCCGCACAACGACGAAAAATTACCAAAATTGGCGCCGCCCCCGCCGCAAAATTGGTCGGCGTTGACCTCTGAAATGGTATACTACTACAAATTTGCATACTTGATAAGAATCCGCTGCAATATCGTCCCCTTCAAGCCTTCGGCGTACATCCTCCCCAAGCTTATTCTTCCTTTTCAATGTTAGCGATACTAACTTGTGGCGGATAGATCGTGGCTTCTGCTTAATGTTATAGCCGTCCTATAAGATCTTAAATTAATATTTGTGCAAACAAAATATCGTCAATTTAATTAAATTACCACATTTTCTAGGCCCAAATCTTGAAATTCCTTGGACCGTGCAAAATTTCTGCCAAGTGTCGCCGTGACTTTAGACATTACGGAGGTTGTGTCCCTTTCCATGGAATGGTATCGTGGTTCAGGCAAATCTTGGTAATTGGAAACAAAAAGTTTAATTTTTTGATTCGTCCAATATTAAGCAGATAACTAACAATGGAACCATTTTTTTAAGCTACACCGGGATTTTGAAGTGAGTTATATCAAAAAATCAAGCCAAAAATTAGGAATCACAGGACACTTATCATTCCGTTGAATGGCCCCTTTGGAGAAAAAAATTGTCGGTAAAGTTCAATTTTCGAGTTAATTCTCTCTCGATTTTTCGAAAAACAAGGCTGGCGCGTGACTTTGCCCCCCAATATTTTTCTTTAAAATGGCCATTCAAAGGAAATATGAGTGTCATGTGATTCACAATTTTTAGCTTGATTTTTTGACATAACTCGCTTCAAAATCCCGATGTAGCTTGAAAAAAGGTTCCCTTGTAAGAATTTGTGCAACAAGTGTTACCTCCCATGAATCGTAACACGGTAATCCACAAAGCTTGGGCTGCCAGTTGATCCGCTGTGACAAAATTTCTCGTGTTAAAACTTTACTTTACTCAAATTTAATTTTTAAAAAATACCAGGTGTGACAAGTGGTAGAAGAGACGCCTTCAAAGGTCTTCGGGAATATTGATGATTCGTATTTCCCGTAAAATAAGTTGCTGCAAACTTTTGAAACTTGAACTCTGACAAATCTTCCATATCTCGGGGGATTTCGGGCGCTGAGTAAATGTCTTCATCCGCTTTGGGAGGGTTTGGCAGGTCTCGAAACGCACTCGGGGGAGCTGCTTCGGATGCATTATCAGGAAGAAAGTCAAACATGGCTTCAACTAATTTTGAGTCATCCACAGGTTCTGTAAATTTGGAATGACAAAAATTTATATGGATCTATCCGTTGCATGTTTGTGTAGCTATTTTGCATGTCTAATGCTACACGAGGAATACTAAGAATGGAGGTCTTCCAGCGTATGCTCTCAGATTTTGAGCAAATTAGTGTCAATCGATTACAAATTTAATTAGTATCAAATTTGCAAAAGACACGATCTCCCAATCGGCACGTTTGGCAGAGACATTTGCATCCCAAGAGGAGAAAAGGCGCAGTAAATTTTGAAAGTGCAAAATTTGTCAACTTTAGGACGCATGTTCTCCTCTTCGGATGCATATATCTCTGCCACACGTGCCCATTGGGGATCGTGTCTTTTGCAAATTTCATCCTAATTAAATTTATATGATCCATTGACACTAATTTGCCCAAAATCTGAAAGCATACGCTGGAAAACCTCCATTTTACATAACTATAGCATAATTTATTTAAATAATAGCATCATTTTATTCCTATCACGTACCATCTTGTTTTCGTGCCGCATTTTCAATCGCCATCTTTTTCGTGTCAATAATTAATCTGTCTTCACGGTCAATCTCAATTTCTTTTCGTTGCAGTGCCATCAATCTTTCTCTGTAATTTTTCTCTGCAATTTCCTTGTAACGTTTGTTCCCTTGCTTTTTCAGTTCTTTTTCTTCTTGGTCACGTAACCTGAGGGCCTCAAGTTTTCCCCGGTGTTCAAACTTCATTCGTTTGTATTGTCTCTGGGCGATCATTCGGCGGATGTGCGACTGAATTTTTAGCGCAGCCCAGCGCTTTCTTCGGACTTGTCGACGAACCAGGTAACCTCGACAGACGGCTTGAAGCCCGACCACGTGACCGCGCAAGTGCTTGAATCGATGGGCCAGAACCCTCGAGCGGATCAAGGCTTGCAACCTCATCTGAAAATTGTTCATAATTTTGCCATGTTTTCAGACATAATACTTGCGGATTGAACACACTTAAAAATCATGTAACCCGTTTGAAAGTAAATGCACTCTTTCTATATTAAGCAAACCATGGGTTCGATTTGTAGTGTAAATGCGCTTGTCAGGAAATCGGGAGAAAGTTTTCAGGAATTTTCGAACATTTTTAGGCAGTTTTAAACATTTTTGGGAATTTTTAGCATTTGAAGAAGTTTTTAACTTCCGGGAATTTTAGAGCATTTTTTTTTACAGACGGTGTGAATTTTTCAGGATTTTTCATGGAATAAAGCAGAAATCGAACCCACGAAACAAACTATACTACAAATTAATCCAGAGTAACGTTAACTCAATTAAGGTAAAGTGTAGTCTGGGTCTGGGTTTAGCATAATAATTGAGAGTGCATTTACTGTTCAATAGGGTGATACTATTATTAAGGGTAAGTTTGAGGGTCAAGGTCAGGGGTCACTTACCCAACCAGTCCGCATCTTTTGATACCTCTTCTTCTGCAGGTAACCTCTCACATTTCTTTGAATTATGACCGAAGCTGCTCTCATTTTTAGGAATCTCCTTCTGTAATACCAACCCTTAATGTTCCTCTGCAGAATAAGGATCTTCTTTGTGAGGACTCTAAATTATTTAAAACCAGAAAAAAATACAAAAATTAAAATTCCAAACTCAAAACTCTAAAGAAAAATCCCATAAATAATTCGTTACCTGTCTCGCTCTTGTTCCAAGAAAAGATCGTGCGCATCTTTCAGGAACACCTGTTCAATTGATGAGATTATGAGAGTGTTATATTTATGTAAATTAGTTCTGAAATTTCCTCAGAATATGATGACATTTACATATTAAATATGTAAATACAATATTGTCAATTTAATTATGGACGAACTCACCTTGGTTTTGCCCAATTGATAATCTGATTTTCCCAAGACGGCCTGACAAATTCGGGAGGACGCTGCTCGGCAGTCCGTCTTGTGGGCGGGGGGCACTCCGCTAATTAAAAATCTATACCGCTCCACAAATTCTCGGAAGGTGTGTCGAATAGGATAACCTGAAAATCATATCAATATTAATTTATCCTTATAATTGCAAATTGTATATGACTGTAATTACTCTTACCTGCTCTACGAATTCGAATCGTCTCCATCATACCAGAATATCGTAGCTGTTAAATGGAGTAATTATTTAGTTAATTTGAAGCATATTTGTTTGCTTAAAATTAAATTGTATTATTGCATTCGCAGTGGCCGCGGAACGGAGTGAGGACAATGTCCCCACGGTTATTCGATATCCCGATCATGTGCCAATATAAACCGCTCTCTCCCCTATAATTTTAATGTCCCCACAGCTTCCGCGGCCACTGCGCATTCGTAAATAAATACCTGTCTGCAACAAAGTTCACGATCAAACACCATCGGTTTCTTTAGCTCGTTTGGCTTGATACCTGTTAAATATTGTAATTAGTAATTAGGCAGGTGAGAATTATGCATGAAAAACTGCCATAAAAAAATCTCAGTACATACATCGAACAAAGAAGGGGGCACAGTTGCTCAGCGTTTTCATAAGAGAATCGAGCGATTTCTTAAATTGGGATGAAAGCGTGGGGGCCCTTTTTCTCGTATCGTTCCCCATCGCGATATCATCATGGAATAACATCTGAATAAATTTATTGTTCGAAATTTCGATAAGACCGAGCAAATCGGCGCTAAATGTGTCCCTATTCTTCTCCAGGAAACCACGAACGTCGTAGAAAACCACGCCGGCAAAATGGTTAAAGCCGAAAGAGGCGTTTCTGAAAAAAATCATAATGATTTACATATTTCATATTATCTAATTTTTGAATTATGTTCTGACTTACATGTCAGATTTAGGTTTAAGATAGTTCTTGTTAACGGAATGGGTCTTGTGCAGCTTGGCCAACATGGTGGTATCAGTGCCTTTGGGAAATTTGGACTCTTCATCAACTAAGCTCATGATGTTCAATGGTTTTATAGCAATGAGATCCAGGGCTTCTTGATTATCGATAAACTCTGAAAAAAATAATAAAAAATCCATGTAAAGAATAATGCTTGACACTAATTTCATGCCTGTGAATATCTCTTGTTTTAACTCAGATACTGGCAAAAAATAACTGTTCTAGCCCAGTGGACACGGCGAAAAAAATCGTTCGCGAATTTGGAGTGACCCCCGAATCGCAACAAGTTCGTAGCAAATTTACGAATTGGCTGTCATTCTGCTCCGATTTCTAAACGATTTTTCACTTGCCCACCAGGAATTTACTAATACAAATAAATAACACTTTTTTTATGTGCTTACCAATATGTTTCCAAGAAATTCCTTCCAAGTTGTACTCCTCTTGTTCCAACCTACCATTACATCATCATATTTGTTATGCATATAAAATTTCCCAATTATTATTTGCATAGTCGAACATACTTGAAAATATGACGAACAAAGAACTGCTGAAGATTTTCGTTAGCATAGTTGATACAGAATTGCTCGAACGAATTATTGTCAAAGTTTTCGAAACCGAAAATGTCCAAGACTCCGATGGACGAGTGAGAACCAGCTTTCGGGTGGAAAATGGCAGAGTTTATTTTGCTCACAATCCAGATAAACATTCGACCGTAGATCCCTTTGGCGAAGGCATCTCGAACATCAGTCTAAATTTATAACGATGACATTTTTTAGAAAAGTAAGATTTGATATTTCCATAAAATTGGGCAAAATACGTACCGCTTGTTCTCTGGACATGGTCGAAACCACGGTTTCTCCATGTGCAAAAATCGTTTTGCTTGTGAGAGCTTCAATCAGAGATTTCTGAAATTTAGAGCGATAAATGTCATTAATTTAGTCTGAATCGATTGAAAAAATATTAATTTTATTAATTACCCGATTGACTCCAAGTAAAGTAGCTGCTAGGTCAACGTTAACCATGTCAGATATTTCAGTTGCGTCGAGGTTATCTAGAATTCATACATAAAATTAATTCATATCCACACCCTAGTAAAGAATTGTTATTATTTTGCATACTTATCACAGCAGCCTTAGTTTTGATATTTCCTAAATGAAGAAGTGCTGCCAGGATTTTAAGCACTTCCCAGATTTCTGTGTATGAAATAAATGAAAGAAAAAATTAGTAAAAAAAGTATTTGACTTTTTCATATCGGATTTTGCATGTAATAAACATCAAACGTGGGCAAAATACTTTGGCAAAATAATGCGTACTTTGACCTCCGTTATTCTCAAAGTTTGGATTTCTAGGGTTGTTACACCCACAAAAATGCGAGAATCTGCACTGAGACGGCAGCTTAGTCTTACGATAATACAGGTTTTGTGAAGAAATTACATTTTTATCACGGTCAAAATACGTTATTTAAAAAAAATCGTAATAACAAAGTATTTTGACAGCGATAAGAAGTTAATTTTTTCATAAAACCAGTGTTTTCGTAGGACTGTTGCATTCTCGATGCAGATTCTCGCCTTTTTGTGGGTGTAACCCCCCTGGAAATTCAAACCCTGGGAAGAACCGAGCTCAAAATACATACTCTTTTTCGCCAAAGTATGTTGCCCAAGTCTAACCAACATGCAAATCTTTTGTCTTGTAAAGGAATCTAACCTCCATCCGAAAACATGAGGACTTTCATGGCGGACCGAATATCTGCAAATTCTGCGGCGTCATCTCTCCCCTCGCACGTGATGCATCCACCCCCCGTCAAGTATCGGTACGCGTTGGGTTCGCCCAGCTGTAACTTTGCCTTCTCCTCCTTATTCAATCCGGCCAACATGCAGTAGAATATATGGTAATTTCTCTCGTCCGAGTTTTGTGACACGATTCGAGACTTTTCGAGCAAATACTGCAAAGAAAAACAAGAGTAAGATTACCAATTTAAGCACGTGTCCAGTCATGATAAGCATGAAATTAATACTTATCCAGCTAAATATTTATGTACCTGCTCAATCTTGGCCCCTTCAATGACTCCAGTTTTGTTAAAATGGATATCAATATATTTCCCGAAACGGGACGAATTATCGTTTCGAATTGTCTTGGCGTTCCCGAATGCTACAAAAATTTAGGAAACTTATTAGTCATCGTTCTCATTAAAGAATTAACTCATAAACAGCCGTGCTTAATTACCTTCAAGGATCGGATTGGCTTCTAAAATTTGTTGCTCAATCCAGCTATGCTTCCCACTTATAGCGGCCAAATACTGCAAAATCAGTTTCGTACTTTCCGTCTTCCCAGCCCCACTTTCTCCGCTGATAACTGCGTTTTTATGGATGAAAAAAATTAATTAATGAAATATGCATCCCGAGTAAAAATTGGAACATCCTTCCTGCAGAAATATTAGGCAATTTTCTGCCGAAAAACTGTATGCAAATTGATTTGTGCAGAAAACTATGCCGTTCTGCAATATAAAACTCATGCAAATCTTCTGCAGGATTATGTACCAAAAACTACGCAGAATAAAACCCATGCAAATTTTCTGCAGGATTATGTAACAAAAATTATGCAGAGTAAAACCAATGCAAATTTTCTGCAGAATTTTGTACCAAAAATTTTGCAGAATAAAACCCATGCAAATTTTTTTGCACGATTATGTTCCAAAAATTATGCCGAAAAATTATGCTGAATATGCATCGAGCCTTTGTCAATTACTGCAGAATTCCACACACTAATTTCTACTCGGGATTATTAAACAATTTCATATGCATTGCGATTACTACACTTACCGATACATTGGTCTTGTCCATACCGCTTCATATTCCCGTAAGAATTATCACCTAAAATTAAACCAAGATTTTTAATAAATCATCCAAATTTGGCAAATTTCGCTCCTGGGGATGAATTCCATAATAATAATTTTTACTTTACTCACCAATGGAAAAAATGTGCGGTGGCAATTCTCCAATTTTCTTATCTTTGTATAACTTGATTTGTTCTGCTGCATATATGGGAAGAATTTGATATGGATTTACGGCCACTAAAATTGATCCAGTGTAGGTCTGCATACGTCCCCAGAAAAAAAGTGGTGGTCATGAATTTATAAGATCTCTTTTGTACAACAAAACGTGTCTACCCCGTGCTGAGCGGAGAACGATGGACTAACCACGGTATAAATAAATAAATCCGGCCATTATTCGGTAAAATAATTAAGTTATCAACTTTTCTAAGTGAACAACAACGTCAGGGCGCATTCAGTGGCCGCGGAAGGGTGTGGACAGAGGGACAATGTCGCCACGGTTGTTCGATGTCCGCATCATCTCCCCATCTTCTATAAACCCTTCCCTCCCTTATCCTACAATGGTAATGTCCCCACATGTCCCCACAGCTTCCGCAGCCACTGGGAGAATTCAGGCTACTCAAATGTATGTACATGATGCAGTGGCCGCGGAAGCGTGAGGACGAAGAGACAATGTCCCCACGGTTATTCGATGTCCCCCTCATCTCCCCATCTTATACAAACCCGTCCCTCCCCCATCCTACAATATTAACGTCCCCACATGTCCCCACGACTTCCGCGGCCACTGTCAGTGTGCGTCTTTTTTAGTCCGAAAAAGTTACGGAGAGAGAGAGACGTGCTTCATAGTTCGATTTGTTATCGTAGACGTTTTTTTAAGCCGTGATTGCCGTGGCCGTGAGCAAATGCCCATTACGGGGTAGACACGATGATAATGAGAAACTGTGAACTAGAGATTTTCTCACATAAATGAGATTCTCATTGTAAACTTAAAAAAATATAAACGAGCTACAGTACATACGTATATCAAATTTTCATTGTATCTGATGAGAAGATTGCGTAGAATCCCAGCTTCGTGCAGGCTGTAAAGAAAGAGGAGATGCGAAATGATAAGGAAATTTTAATTGTCGCTCTAAAATCTCCAATAAATATTGCAAAAGATATGCCCAACTTACTCGCCAAGAGAGATCATGTCTTCCACTCCTAAAAGGTTAAATCATAAGATTAAGACATGTTTTTTTTAAATTTTATTCTTAACGTAGGACTCGATGATTGATCGTCAAATTCAGCACATTTTTAATTATTTCTCGCCTTTGGGAACTTATTTTAAATTCTGGACGACAAATTTGTAGTCAGTGAGTTCATTAATGGAATGCCGGTAAGTTTTTTAAGCCAGTTTCGATGAGTTCCAATTTTTCTGAAGGCTTCTCAACCTTGAGATCTCCTCCTTCAAAAAGTGTCAAAATCTGGAGTGTATATTTCTAAAAAATTGGCAACTCCCTGCTCTATAAATTTATCGTCCAGAATTTTAAAATAAATTCCCAGAGCCGAGAAATGATTTAAAATGTGCTCATTTTGACGATGAATTATCCAGTCCTACATTTAAAAAAACAAGTATTTTGCATATTCCTTACCTTGAATGGATGTTGGGTGCATCGCTTTGATACGACGCTCTGGAGTAAGCCATACTTCCTACAAGGAAAACATAGTTTTAATTTCATCAGTCAGGCTTCAATATCTTTAAAAAAATCAATTCTTTAAGCAGCATTAATTCATACAGGTAAAAAGTCATAATGGAATTTATAACCCATTTTAGACTGACAGTAATTTAACGTCAGAATTGACTCCCATACATAAAGTGTGCCTAACACAGAAAGTGTCAGAATACCAAATTACTTGCACAGTTGTCGCTTAATTTTCTCATGCGCCATTTAAAAACCATATCACCGGCGGAATTTGTGTCACTCACTGTTGTCGACACCGTCTTAAAAATGACATAAATTCATAACACAGAATCGATGCTGCAGTGCTTGGTTGAGTAAATATTTACATTTCTCACCAACTGTTAACTGTAATAAATAAGTAGGCGCAAATTCAGCACCTTCTTCATCATCATTAAGCTAATCGAATTCAGTCAACCAGACAGATTTTGTATAGACTTTTTTTCTAATGCAAAATTACAATTTGGTGCAAAATGCCATATGCATGAGGACGATTTGACCGAGTTTCTGCAAACTTTGAAAGAGTATGAATGTGTAAATATGCATGCGTCGAGAGAGGATTATTTGTTTGCAAAGTTAATACTACCAGGGAAAATATTAAAATAAGCACTAAATCTCAGCTTTAGCTTCCGAAAAAAGTAATCAGGTGCAGTTAGTTAATCACAATTTGGCACATGCATATTACACATATTTACAATGCAAACAAAGTTAGTGCATACATAAAATAGACCTGTTTCGTATTTATGAAATCAGTGGCGGCGGAAGCGTGGGTGGGGACAGAGGGACAATGTCCCCACGGTTATTCGATGTCCGCATCATCTCCCCATCTTATATAAACACCTCCCTCCCTATTATCCTGCAATCTTAATGTCCCCAAATGTCCCCACGGCTTCCGCAGCCACTGTATGTATATGCTCCATAGTGATGATAATAGCAAAAGAACAGTGGCCGCGGAAGCGTGGGGACAGACAGATGGACAATGTCCTCACGGTTATTTGCTGTCCCCATCATCTACCCATCTTATATAAACCCCTCCCTCCAATGTCTTACAAGATTAATGTCCCCAGATGTCCCCACACCTTCCGCGGCCACTGTACTCCCACATCCTACAATGTTAATGTCCCCACGGCTTCCGCGGCCCCTGTATGAAATATCTGTCTCGCAGTCTACTAGCTCTTACATATCTGCTTGTAAATACTTGTCCTTTTGCAAAATGATGATGATGCCTAACGGGATTAGTTCATTCAAGCCTTACGTATGATTTACATAAGTAGTTAAATTGATCATTGGTTTGGTAGTAATCAAAAAGCACACAAAATATTGCATAGCATGACACAAATAAAGTACGAATTTATTTATTATGACAGCCGGGCCGTCAAATATTAATAATAATAAAATTGAAATTATGCTTTTCTTGTTTATCAACTGCCACTTTTTAATGAAAGAAGAATGATGAGTAAATAGCACACTACTTGCTATTCAGGTCGGGCTTTTTTTTCTTTACAGTGACAACAAAACAATTAATGGCTTGACCATCCCACAAAAGTCAGTCGTTAGTCGCCAGCCAGGGACCGACCAGCCATTAAAGTTTTAGTCGTCCTCTTCCCTAATCCAACTTCTCATCTACTTAAGGTTTGCATAAGTTTTATGTTTTCGGTGTAAAAAAGAAGTAAGCAGAAGGATCATTGGTCCCTATATGAGATCATTTTTTTCTTGTCAAATACAGACATGGGCAACAAGACGATTCCTATCAGTATCATTATTAAGAAGCGTCAGCTACTACTACCGCTTTATGTTTTCGTTTTGTCCGTCCGTCTCCAGAACGCCTTAACATAATGAAACCCCGTTTTGGCATTTGTACTTCTAATTTTTGACCGTCTAGTGAGGTCCCTGACGTCAAAATTCAGGTCAAGGTGATCCTGGCTTGAGGTCAAAGGGTAAATTGAACCTTAGTCATTTTCAAGTAAATCTCAATAGCTTTTTTAACTCTACTTCTTTACACTCGTTTACAAGGTTCTTTTTGCAATGTACATACATATGTAATATGTAATTGCAATATGATTCATCCCTTTTTGTTTAGTATGCGGTAGGAACAGGGCATCGATTCCGATAACGGAAACGTACCCAGAACAATCCTGCCTATGACCAAATATTATTACTTTCACACTTGGTTCAGTTCAGCTGATCTAAATCATTCTTCCATCCGACCGACAGGTTCGATGAAGGTAAGAATTTAATGATGCAGTGCAGACTTTGCTTGATAGCAGAATGTACCCATAAAATTGGCATTGGCATCACCACCACATGTCATTTCATTAGTGAATGAATTGTTCTGTGCGATAAAATGATCTCAATTATCTATTGAAAAATTCGACAAGGCTACAACCAAGCTAAGCTATCATCCATCCTGCTATGTACTTCCATCTATCATCTCCTCAACTCATAATGGAGGTCTCCCAGGAGATGCTCTCAGATTTCGAGCAAACTAGTGTAAATCGAGGACAAATTTAATTAGGATGAAATTTGCAAAAGACACGATCTCCCAATGGGTACGTTTGGCAGAGATATTTGCATCCGAAGGGGAGAAAATGCGTCTTAAAGTCGACAAATTATACACTTACCAAATTTATTACGCATTTTCTCCTCTTCGGATGCAAATATCTCTGTCAAACGTGCCCATTGGGAGATGGTAGATCGTATCTTTCGCAAATTTCATACTCATTAAATTTACGATCGATTGACACTAATTTTCCCAAAATCGGAGAGCATCCGCTGACAAACCTCCCTTGTGAGTCAATTGAAATATTTCAAACACAATATTTAAGCTTTTGAAATGGTGAGAAATTGGACACCCACCTTACAAGCGTTCTTTTTATACCACCCTCAAAAACTTATCACGAGTTTTTTATCCCCACAAATCTATGTATCTGTACGTGCTTAATTCGACATTCATGATTTTCACACTTTAATTTTTCACACAAATAAAAATCCTTTACCTTCCCATCATCATCGCGAACTTGAATTCTCCGACCTTCCGCAGAGACAACTTTTGCGCCGATGGCGACATCGAATTCCCGGTTCGACACTGGCTCAATCCAAATGTAATCGCCCTGAGGAACACAAAAAAAATCAGTATTTATTACATAAGTTTGTTATAAACGCTAAATTATCTCCTACCAAAATGAACACTTGCTTATTCTCAAGCTCTTTCGAAGCAGCAAGTTCAGGATCAATGAATTGTCGCGTCATCTTTGTTCAAGTAAATTTCGCAAATTTACGGTATTTAGTTAATTATTAAATTTGCAATGATAGTCACACTGCACACATTGCAAATTTCACTCAACAAAACCAACCACTCAGGAAACAATGGTCCTTTTACTGTCGTGCATGCAAAAATGCCACTGCAATGCAACTGCCCACGCAATGAAATAAATGTCAGGTAAATGATTACTCACTCACTCACTCACTTTGTACGTGTGTAAATTTGATTAAGAGAGAAATATCTGTACCACGCTATCCAACAAATTAAGTTTTGTTCTCTGAACGCAATGTGACAGTGACATCGATATGAATAGCAATATCGCACCTCGCTCTTATCGGGGAGGTGATTTGCGATATCTCGATGATATTAAATACGAATGGCGATAATTGTAACTTACATATATTCTTCTGCAAACATGACAGAATTACGTATACACACACACACACAATTTATGTATGTATGCCGTCCATCATACGTAATATTGATAAATATGTAGCAAAATTATGTATGTATACCCTTCCGTGAAGCACTTTTAATTACACGTTCGGATGACGACATTAGGAATGCCGGACGATAACGATGAATGCCAAAGTCATCAAATCCTCCATCACGGTAATTTAAAAATGGGATTAATTCTTACTTTTCGGACGGGAAAATTATTAATAAATCTCGAATAATGTTTTATCCTCCATTATTTCATACATGCGTCAATCCAGGTGTTATTATTGTTATTATTGAGACATACCCCTCTTTTATTGGAAGAGGAAATTTATCCGGCTAAATATTACAGGTGCATAATACGTATGTACATATCAGTCGCCGCGAAAGCGTTGAGGGACAATGTCCCCACGGTTATTCGATGTACGCAAAATCTGCCCATTTTATATAAACCCCTCCCTCCTCTATCCTACAATGTTAATGTCCCCACGGCTTCCGCGGCCACTGGTACATCCATTTGATCCATAATATGTATGACTAACAATACAGGTAGCCAGTTAAAATCATCGTCTCATAATTGACCCCTAGATAGACGAGGGCTCCCACAAGGATCATAAAAGAAAATTGTTTCAAATTTTATAGTCGCAAAAAAAACCAAAACTGCAATTTTCATCTCAAAGTTATAAACCACAACCTTGCATCCCATCATCCAATCCAAGGTGCATTAAGACAAGAAGGAGCAAGGCGGCTAAAAATCAGTGAACCCGATCGAAACACGTAGTAGAGAATCCGAAGAGCAGTTCTCCCAAATAATAAGTCTGACTCATTATTACTGCATTTCCTTCTTAGGTACGTTACATACCTGCATCCATCGGTTGCTCTCTGCTAGAGAAATTCCTCACCAAATACATACATACATAGTTATAAATATTTGTATCAAAATCTGGCCAAAATACTACCCCCAAAGACAGTGGCCGCGGAAGCTGTGGGGACATCTGGGGACGAGGGGTTTTCATAATATGGACAGATGATGCGGACATCGAATACCCGTGGGGACATTGCCCCTCTTCTGTCCCCACCCTTCCGCAGCCACTGCTTTCCAACATGATGCATGACGGGATCAAACTAAAACATTTTCTAGCTACCAACTTGAACTTTAATCCTGTACACACGTTTGTGTTTAAAAGGTTATTTGCAACCCCGTCTGAAATGTCATTTCCAGAGTTCAACAATGTGATTTTTTTCAAAAGACAGGAAGCAGCGGATGTGCCTCCAAATAATCGCTCAGTACGTGGCGTGGTGCTCCACCCATATTACTCAAACTACTGTACAATTGTTAGTCATACGGTGACAGTATTCCCCTGCCATATCCGTCCGGATATACATATGCTATGTTTAAAAATTGTATATACAAGTCGATGTCGATACGTACATACGGTAAGCTCTGTGTTACCTCACGTATGCCCATGCAAATTAAATATAGGACTTTAGCGAGCCCAAAATACATTATTACCAGAGTCCGGATAAATATGTTCTTAAAAACCCCGAAATATTTATGTAAAATGTTCAATCAAATCGCCAAAATATGTATGTATATATAACATATTTTTAATTCGCTTTAAAGTGCCCCAAATTTAGCTTATTTGACTGCAGAAATGCAAAAAAAATGCTTTTATACATTTACAAGTGACAAACTAAAAGCATTTCAACATGCTCTGGCATTATTTCTGCAATAATCGGAATTTTTTAAGAATTGTGAATTTCTGAGGTTTCTCTAAAAGAACATATATTTTTAGAAAAAATCGCTGAAATATGTAAAAACATATTTATGTGTATTAAAAATAATATATATTTTTGAAAAATCGCCGAAATATGTAAAAACATATTTATGTGTATCAAAAAATGCACATTTTCGGCAAAATCGTCGAAATATGTAAAAACATATTTATATGTACCAAAACCTGAAAATATGTAAAATATGTGAAAACATTTTTTTGACCGTGTGACCTATGCCTGACCAGGAACAATATCCCAAAGTTTCAACCCGATCGGGTTATTATTGAAAAAGTTTAAAATACATACATATCCGGACTCTGATTATTACACAATCCTACCTACAAATTGACGAGTTGTTGTATTTTGATAAGTATCAGTTGGGTGCATTTCTTACGTAATGAAATTAAAGGGTGCCTTTGTTCCTCGCTAAACTCTCAGGATTTGTACCTCTACATGTGTCATCCATCAGTACATAAGTATGCAAATATGCAAGTACTTACTTTACACTCAAAAGTTTCAAACAAGCACTAAAAAGTAATCTTATCTGACAAGATTTAGACCACAAAATGGATAAGTTTCAGAGAACATGACATTTTACACGGAATCACTGTACACAAGATTGTTCAACTCTTAAAAAATTCTTTATTTCGTCCGTCGGTCATCCAGACCGGTATGTAATGCAAGAAGATGCTCAATAATTACGAAATCTGGTTTTAATTCAAAAACAGAGTAATGCATGAATGAAGAAGGAACCTTATACCGAGCGCTATTACAGTGGCCGCGGAAGCCGTGGGGACATTAAAATAGTTCGATAGGGGAAGGAGGGGTTTATATAAGATGATGGGCAGATGATGGGGACATCGAACGACCGTGGGGACAGTGTCCCTCTCTCTGCCCCCACTCCGTTCCGCGGCCACTGCTCCATTATCCAAACTATTCAGCCACCAGTAAAATAAATAAACCTACATATTTACATCATCATCATCTTCCAAGCAAGGTAGCCCGCAGTAAAACCCGTTGTACGTAAAAGATTACTGAAAAGAAAGAAGCCTTGCGACATTGTTTGATTCAACGAGCCAGCCAGCTCTTCGAGAAATTAGCTGCAAGAAGACTACAAACTTTTATGGCTTATTGAGTCAAGATCAGTGCAGAGATGAGAATGAGTAGTGAGTGAATTAAACAATACAGTAAATTCTACTTTAAGGAGCAATATTGCGTAAGAACTGAAGGTTGTTGTGGTCTCGTCGGACTCGGTTGGATTGGAATTGAAGCTTTTACAGGAATTATTTCTCAGTCAAGTTCAACCCTTCCTCCTCTCTCGCCAAGTGTCCCGTTACAGCATCACTTCACTTTTATATGAACAACCAACTTCACTAAATTACTTACTATCAAGTTTGATTTAAGGTCTGATTTTATGTAATGATTAATGCAGTCGAAATATTTATATTATCCGAAATCAAAATTTCATTCGAAAATGCAAACGTTTATTTGTGTGCATCATTGGTCTAGATAAATCTTATTTTTTTAATTATCAGAGGGCGGATATGCATTTATTTCCAACTTTTTCATTAGATGAAGGTCAAACTTTGTGCGTGTGTTCCCTAGCTTGCATAAATTACAAAAATTTCAAAATGTTTTCATATTTTGTTACACAGGCATACAAATATTTCCACTATCATTTATAAAAAAATACTCTTAAAAATCCTTTACATATTTCTACAAAAATTCATATATTGTAAATATTTCAACAATGTGAATTTTTTTGCTTATAGAAATTGAACCGAAAAAAATCAAGAGCATTATTATAAATTCAGAAATACTGCGAAAATTTTTTCGTACATATTTGGTAAATATTTTGACGTTTTTTTCCAAAATTTAGGAAAAAATAATTATCAGAGGGTGGTATGCATTTATGAAAACTCGCTGAAATATATGAATTTAATATAAACATTATAAATGCATATCCACCCTCTGGTAATTATTCGAAATTCTTTTTAGCCGTGGATTTATTTTCTACTTAAACATTTCTAATCAGCGAATGAATCCGTCTGCATTTCTAGCAAGCAACCACTTTCAAAAACTACCGAAATCCCTCCTACATCATTATACTGTCACTTGGAATAAACCGTTGAATTAACAGAAATTTAGCTGAGCTGAACTGACTACTGGTTCATGACGCCGAGATAATAACGCAAGGAAAGAAAAACATCACGATTCCGGCCAAAGACAACAAACACAAGAAACATAAAAAATTAATCACGTCCACAAATTTCCATTTCACTCACTTCTATTCTCCCAAACAACAATAAGCAAATTGTAATTTATAATCAACTATACGAATAATGCAGCCCACATCACCGCACCGTCAGTCACCATGCATGTACATACATACATATGCAAATGTGCAGTGTTTCGGGTGCAAGTAACGACCTGCAAGAAATGACGGGAGAAAGTGGTTTCTTGCAGGTAAATATTTTGACCTGCAAGAAATGCAAGGTGTAAGAAACTACGTCCTGTTGCAATTCTTCATACGGCTCGTGGCTAGATTGCGCAGATTTTTCGCACTTTCTCCCAGTTTCTTGCACCTCGCATTTCTTGCGTTTCTCGCTTTCCAGTGCAAGCAATGTAGCAAACCCGTAAGAAACTGGCAAGTAACCATATGCAAGAAATACCCGCAAGAAAGTGGTTTCCTGCAGGTAAATATTTTGACCTGCAAGAAATGCAAGAAACTACGCCCCGTCGCTATTTTTCATACGGCGCGTGGCTAGATGGCACATATTTCTTGCACTTTCTCCCAGTTTCTTGCACCTCGCATTTCTTGCGTTTCTTGTTTTGCACTGCAAGAAATGTACCAAACCCTACGAAACACTACGAATGTAAGGTACATACACAAATCTATTATGCTTTCTCTCTTACTTATAGAGAGCTATAAAACCAGAGATTAAATTGAATTAAGGGACAAATTTAGAAACAAGACGTATTCATTCACTTACTCTCGTGACAATGACCATTTTGAGAGATTTCTTTTATCCGGATTGAGTACTTATTCTTCTTCTCTCAAGAGATGCACAGGACAGTAGTCGTCTTGTAGCACGAACGATTTGGTTCAATGAGCTTTACATACACCAGCTTTGAGCCGAATTAGGCGAAATTATATGACGACAAGGACGACCCCGCATCTTATTTGATCCATGCATTGCTCCTGAATTTTACGATCCGCTATTGTCGTCGTCGTCTCACTTTCTTTTCATGTCGTCTTCTTATTCCTCCAAATAGACGACGAGATTTTTATGGGTTTCACACTTGTTAACTTGACACCAACACACAATTTCACATGTAAAGTTCCGCTTTCCTTGGTGGAGTGGAGTCGTACCTTGAAATCCAATCCGTTCGTTTTTATCACCTCTGCAAATAAAATAAAAAAATCCGTGTGTAAATTAATCCGTTGCAAGATGAACACATCTAAAAATAAATTATGAACCGTAGAAAACTAAATGTAGCGATAGGGTGAAACAAAATATGTGACCAGACCCCCTGACCCCTGGGGGTGGGGTGGTCTAATTGACCTCAGATCCTTCCCCTGAGGTCATATATACATATCGCAAACATGTCTAGATTATCTAGATCCGTTCTCCCCTGACGGACGGACAGACGGACAAAATTAATAGGTTTCTTCACACTATAATAAACATACGACTTGCTAAATCCTATTCGAAACTTACTTTTCTCTGACCTACTCAACAATATGGACTAATTAGTCATATTATAAAACCAAGTCTAGTCACAAACCCTGAGGTAAATAGCTATCAAACTCAACAACCGGTGTGACCTTAATTACAGGTGCCCAGTCAATCCATACATACACAGTCAGTGGCCGCGGAAGCCGTGGGGACATGTGGGGACATTAACATTGAAGAATAGGGGAGGGTGACGTTTATATCAGATGGGCAGATGATGAGAACATCGAAAAACCGTGGGGATATTGTCCCTCTGTCCCCGTACTTCCGCGGTCACTGTTCTTTTGGCATCACCATCATTATGGAGTATGTACATACAGTGGCCGCGGAAGCCATGAGGACATCTGGGGTCATTAACATTGTAGGAAAGGTGGGAGAGGGGTTTATCTAACATGGGGAGATGATGCGGACATGGAATAACCGTGGGGACATTGTCCCTCTTTCCCCCCACTCCTTTCCGCGGCCACTGTTATACATCATATACGAGACAATAATTAATTCAGACTACAAACACGTCGGCAAGATATGCAGATACAGTTCTCACTTTTTATTAAATTATTTAGTCGAGTGTTGCAGACATAACCAATAAAAGAGGTGGACGTAGACATGTATGTACACATTTAATGTTAACATCGGCATGAAAAAAGATGACATGATAATTGTAATTGCTCCCGTAACGCCCGCAACAAGAAAGAAAATGTGTCTGGGTTCTTCTCAGCTGCCGTCATGTGTCAGTCAGTCATCCTCCGAAGGAAAATACAAATTCATCAACCTTCATGTAAAATATTACGTACGTATCATCTCTCTCACACTGATATGCAGATAGATATGCACTGCTCGCACAATTATGATAGCTCCCTGAAAAATCCATCTTCATTAATCGCCAAATATCTGACAGGGTTTCGTTTCTTGCGGGTTTGCTGCATTTTTTGTAGTGGAAACGCATGAAATGGGAGGTGCAAGAAACTGGGAGAAAGTGTAAGAAATCTGCGACATCCAGCCACGCGCCGTGTGAAGTACAGCGGCGGGACGTAGTTTCTTGCGCCTTGCATTTTTTGCAGGTCAAAATATTTACCTGCAAGAAACCACTTTCTTGCAGCTATTTCTTGAAAATGGTTAATTGAACGAAATTTTCTGTTTCTTGTGGGTTTGGTTTGCTAAATACATTTCTTGCACTGCATAGCAAGCCACGCAAAAAATGCGATGTGCAAGAAATTGCAAGAAATACGAGTTACAAGAAACTGCAAGAAATTTAGGTGCAAGAAATTGGGAGAAATTGCAAAAAATCAGCATCATCTATGTAGCCACGCGCTGTACGAACTACAGCGGCGTTTCCTGCGCCGTGCATTTCTTGCAGGTCAAAATATTTACCTGCAAGAAACCACTTTCTCCCCATTATTTCTCCCAAGCGGTTCCTTGCACCCGAAACACCAATATTTTGAAGATAGACAGAAAATTCCCCCGTCTCAAACGATCAGATCTGTCAAATGTTTGGAGCGATTCAGACGTCGAGCGAGCTACTTCTTCTTGCTTCGTTAATCTTGATTTGAAATTTTAAATCATTTATGCTTAATAATCATCATAGTTATGTCGGAGCCTGATGCTGATTGCCATTGTGCGAGGAGAGGAGAGGATGAACCGTTTCGAATCCTACTCACAACATCTTTTGTCTTAATAATAAATATCTCTTATGAGATGGAAGAAAGAAAAGTATGTCAATTTGCACATTGCATATTCAACTTCGCATCTCATTCGCGAAATGTTTTATTTTATGGTGCATATAAATAAATAACTAACTAATGAACTCATTAGCTTATCCTATTTACTGTAAGATAACTATTTAATGTATTTTATGGGGAAAGCATAGAATACAGTTGATGCAAATATAGTACGCTAAATGGCCGCGGAAGCTTGGGGACAGAGGGGCTGACAATGTCCCCACGGTAATTCGATGTCTGCATCATCTGCCCATGTTATACACACCCCTTCCTCCCTTAACCTACAATGTTAATGTCCCCACATGTCCCCACGGCTTCCGCGGCCACTGAGTATGCATGCGAACAGGGTACACTAATAGATTCCTGGTAATAGTTTAACCTGTCTGACACACAAATAAACCATTCTTCCACAATTAAAAATAATGTGTACGAATTGCGCAATAAATAAATTTTTTGCAAGTTTTTCCTCAATTCAGAACTTCCTATTTATTTATATCTAAAACTGCATGTCCGACTGCAATCTTATCTTTCTTCCTGAGTCGCTTTATTGTTATATATTTGTCATTAAATTCCCTTAAGCGAGTAAAGTAAAGTAAATAAAACAGCTCATGTACAAAAGTCATAAACCAACCGGTGTGATTTTCCCAGCGTGCGACATTAATTCAATTAGTTGGTAGGAGAATATCCTACAAAATGACTTCTCGGAATTGCCTGAATGGTGTACATACACCGATTAAAATACAGCACACTTCCCACGCGGTCAATGATACATTTCCAACTCTATTTGTTTCCAACTTTTCATTTCTGCTTGTTTTGAAGGAAAATTATTTATCTGTGTGATTTATACTGTTACATTTGCCGATTTATCCACTATTACATTAGCCGAATCAGCCGAATTAATATATTAATTAACACCAGTTATTTTTATTTTGGCGTAAACATCATACGAAATTGAATAATTTGAACGTCAAAATAAAAATAAACGGGTGTGAATTAAGATATTAATTCAGCTGATTCGGCTAATATAATCGCGGATAAATTGGAATTCTTGCAACAAATTCAACAGTATTAATACCTTAATCAATATTGATTCAATTGAGAGCTAAATACATAATTTTGGACCGAGCTATTTAGATAAATTCTTAATTTACTTATTTTTGAATCTCTCTATCTCCATTTATGAATCAGAGCTAAATATCTAATTTCCAAAATTGCGGAAGTTCTCCATTGTCAATTGTTTGTTGGCTTTAGCCACCCAGCATGAGTCACTCATTTTTACGCTAAACAATATTACCTTGCAAACAGCACCCAAACGCGAGACGAAGCAGAAATGCGTTACTTTTTTTTGCAAAAAATAGTCAGCAGTTAGTTGTACAAAAGTGAAATGAATTGTTATCATCAACCTCGTTTCCACGAGGTTGATGATGGCTGGTTAGTAAACCAAGCTAAGCTATTAGCAAGCAAGCTCAGAATTTATGCCGGAAACGGAAATTGCATTACACTCGCAATTATTTAAGGGAGACAGTAAAATTAAAATTAAAGGAGCAGTAAATTAGCCTTTAATATAGCTAAATTTCGCTTCATAATAATACCAAAGTCAGTATTAAATTGTCATTTTTTGTACAGTAAACAAAATTTCATACATGTGTTTCCAGCCAAAAATCAAGAAAAGCTTCTTAATTATTGTGAAAAAAACGTGAAAATGTGAAACTCACATAAAAATTAGCATTAACCTGAAAGTTAGCAGATTACTTATTACTATTTACTCATTTTGGCCTAGTTTTTTCGTCTCCTTCATGATTTTGACATTTCACTTGATTTGATTTCACAGACGGAAAAGAGCATTAAAATTCAGTTTACTTTTTTTGCTACCTTTTGTGCGCTTCAATCGGAGCCGTGAAATCGAATTAAGCCCAAAAGTTTTTCTAAAAGGTGCATGCATGCTGTGACACATGCCTTCCTAATATCATCCCTTCTTACGGGCAGTGGCCGCGGAAGGGGGCGTGGGGACAGGGGGGGGGGCAATGTCCCCATCATCTCCCCATGTTTGATAGACCCCTCTCCCACCTTTCCTACAATGTTAATGCCCCCAGATGTCCTCATGGCTTCCGCGGCCACTGTATGTACATGCTCCATAATGATGGTAATGCCAAAAGAACAGTGGCCGCAGAAGCACGGGGCAGAGTGGCAATGTCGCCACGGTTATTCGATTTCCCCATCATCTTTCCATCTTATATAAACCCATCCCTCCCCTATCCTACAATGTTAATGTCCCCAGATGTCCCCACGGCTTCCGCGGCCACTGTTACCCCTTCCATCGCATACGTGCATACCTAACCTATACACGACGATTCTCTGACTTTTGAGAAGTCTTTAAATTTAAAGAAACTTGACTTTATTTAAGGTTGAATTGAGATTTTGAACAGAAATGAGCGTGTCCTTGTGTCTTTCTGTATGCTCGACTCGTCCCCTTTTATTTATTACGGCGACTTCATTCTAATTTCCTAAACGAACCTTAACGATTCTCCTACTTATTTATTTTTCCCTTTCTTCCAAGCTTTCTGATCCATTCTTTTCGCCCAGCAGATTACAATAATTCAGACTTATAGCGTAAAAAAAGAAAAAAAATGCGACAAGGATTCATTGTCATTAAGAGAGAGACCATTCATTTGCAGACTAACAAGAAGGCAACAATTGTGTGTGCTTTTCGCCATTATTGTGAAAAAATACGGGCGTTCTTCCTCATCAAGTTGAGTCAATATAAGGTGTGATGGCTTGTCCAATTGCCTCCAATTATATTCAGGGTTTCATTTCATTCAATTGTGCATATTGACGATTGTTCGAAGATCTTGTAGTTTTTTCGTGTAATAAAGAAGTTGTGGTGAGTGAGTTCAATGTCAAGAAACGAATTCTATCCCGTGTAGGTATGCACGCCTACGCAGATAACTTACTTATTAAGGGGGGAAAATCCTTTATATAAGATCGGTATTTATGTCTGTCTGTCTGTCCATTCGATAACACGTGAACGAAAAGACGTACAAACTTGAAATTTTCAAACCACGCAAACTCTTGACCTTAAGGTGTAGAGCGAGTTCGAAGATGGGCACAGTAGGTCACAAGGTCACGGTGGAAGGTCACAGGTCATGATTTTATTAAATGAAAAGGATATCATGTGAGAACTCAAATCGATAGTATTTTCAAAGTAGAACTATCCAACGTAATAAGACATTCTGACCTACGACATCCCTGGACGAGGGTCAAAGGTCACAAATGTCGAAAATATGTCAGATTTAATCTAATTTTCTACCGGGAAAGAAATATGATATTCATTTTGGCGTGATACGATGGTGTCACCCCTTGGTTGCATGTGTTTGAGGTACATACATACATATCCAAGCTTATTTTGATTATTCATCAGGGCCATGTGACAAATACACTTCGCAAGAAATTGAAAACAATTGTCCTCGCTTTTTTAAGTAGCGAATAACGAATTTGGAAATAAGTAAGTAGGATTTTTTTTCATGCAAAGAATTGTAATTCAAATAGACCAACAACACCAGAGTATTGAACTTGACAACAATTCAAACAGGATTTCAGCTTCATTCAATCTCGTTTTTAAGTCAGACCAGAGCACAAATTCCTTAAGTAAAAAAAAAAGTAGAGGTGTGAAGGTGATAAAATACTAAAATGTATTTTTCATGTTAAATGTTCAGTTCATCATGACTCCAAAATCATATTAATCATATTACGAATCAAATTCCTACACAGCTCTTCGACGAGTCGGGGATGATATCTATCTAATCAGTGGCCGCGGATGCGTGGGGACATGTGGGGACATTAACATTGTAGGATGGGGGGAGGGACGGGTTTATATAAGATGAGGAGATGAAGGGGACATCGAATAACCGTGGGGACATTGTCCCTCTATCTGCACGCTTCCGCGGCCACTGGTTCGAACCCAGTTCCATCATGTTTTTCATTCCATTGCAACAGTGGCCGCGGAAGCCGTGGGGACATGTGGGGATATTAATATTGTAGGATAGGGGATGGAGGGGTTTATAAAGACTATGGGGACATCGAATATCCCTGGGGACATTGTCCCTGTCCCCACGCTTCCGCGGCCACTGCATCTAATTAGCAAATGTGGTACACACTTTATTGCAAAGTTAATTAATTAATTAATTGAATATTTTAGTGATGACGAATGAATAAGGTTCATTCCAAATGTCAAGCAAGATGGATAGAGATTGCCGGAAAGAGAATTATCCGCCGTGGGTTGCCTGTGGGTGGTCAATTACCAATTAGAAATTGAATTAGCAACAAATTACAGACTATGTGCATGATGAACAAACTGAATAAAAAACAAAATCATGCTGTCAGAAAATGTTACCCGTTTCTTTTAAGATTTAACAAAATATGAGATATGAATATAAATTAGAAGCTTATTTTTTATGACCTAACGTACAGAAGTACCTTCATTCGTCTTGGATGGAAATTTGCTTCGGTTTTCAACATATCACCAGCCGAACATTCAAAAATTGGGGATAAAACAATAATTTTAAATGGAAAATTGGGGGGAGGGGATACTTTTTTGAACTTTCTCCCGTCGCTCGTACCCTCAAAAAGGTCAAAAATTCGACTAGAAATCAACCCTTATTTACATAAATACCCTCGTATTTCTCACGTATTATCATCGAGGTCAGGGTGCGACTTTTATGCTTGCTTAACACTTTTCAGGTACATTTCACTGAGAATTTTCACACTTATCTTCTTCTCCTCTATTTGAATTTGAAACACATTTGAGAATTAAAAACATGCAAATTTCTTTCCCGTCTAAAAATATGAAAATATATCAATTGTCTTTGTTACAAAATCATGAAAACAAATTGGATAACCGCCTACGCAGACTGGAGGCCATTTAAAATCCAGCCTTTCACTTTATCGTATTTTTTAAAAAGAATATTCTGTTTTATTGTCGACCATTTATTGTTTTTGTTTCAATTTAATAAGAAAAGCAATTTAACCATTCGTCCAAACAATAATAATAGGAACTCTGTTATTTAGGTATTGTCGTGCAAAAGCGGAAACACACTTATTTACATACAATTTACATGCACTGTTAAAAATCTGGCAGAGTCACATATGTACATACTCCGTCCTGGGTTTGATTTGGTAATAACTTTCTACCGTATTGGTAGTAGTTTTCTTCTGAATGGTACATAAATTTCTCATTTCCACATCCACAATATTACTAAACGGTACCGTTATTACCAGAGTCATATTTACATATGTACTCCGGTCAGTAATGATTTAATACCAGTTTTCTAAGAATATACATATGTACATCTTCATGAATATGTAGATTGTTACTCTCTGATTTATTTAAATTATTGTAAAAACCTTTCCCAATTGAAAACACTATAAATTGTAATGCTCAACATTTTGCGGAGATGATGTGCGGTTTGAGGCGAGTTTTATTGCATCCGATCTTCTTTACATGACAATTTCAATACAATATTATATAAGATGTGCGCCTTGTTTACGTGATGTTTACAAGTATTTTTATTATTCCTTAGCCAAATAATTATCCGGATCACAGAAGTCAACCAAGGAACGCCTAGTGTGTGGATTGGATTGTCTAAATTGCTTTCAAAGGTTTTCTGTAACATTACATACACATTATCACCACCACTTTCGACTGAAAGCATGAAATGGGTGATGTCATAATGTATGTAGACAGGCAGGGCAAACTCCTCCAACAATGTCGTCGCTGCTAGCCGCAAAGAATTCCATGCAATAAACGGCAATTTTGACATGTCTTAAACGAACATTTGGCTTCTGACTGACGCCAGGTTGGACTTGTTCGTTGGTGGATGTGGATGTTGAAACTTTCGACTTGAGCAAGCTTCCGGAACGATATTTTGTCTTACATACGCTACCTGCGAACTTTCAGTGTATGCATTTAAGCAGAAGTGGAGTGTCCATTAAGCCAAAAATTCTACCAAAAGTACTATTCGCTGCTGTTATTTTCCTCCACAAGAGTTATGTTATGTATACGACTATCATAATAATGGACCATTTTCCTTAGTGAGAAACTTCACTTTTATGATTAAGTAATATTAAACTAAAATTGTGACATGACACTGACTCAACCCAATTTAGAATTTGTCATGCATATTTTTACATAGAATTGATTTACCACAGATATCGAGTATGTATTGCAAAATGGTGAAGAAACTTACCACAAAAATAGCACGTTTTTAAAAGATCACACACTAAATTAATAAGATTTGCACAACAAATTCGCACAAATTAAGAAGTTTGTAAGTACACTTATGTCCAACTAAGTAGACAATATCATTGAAGAACACTATATTTGTTTGGCATTTTAATTGCAATTAATTAATAATTATACGGTGCACAAATCTAGAGATGCACAATACATCATCTGACATATGTAATTGTACCTGATTCACACAACTGAACCAACTTTTTTGTCCCGAAACCTTTCAGGGATCAGAAGATCAAATCCTCATTGTTACGTATTTATGAAACCCTTCTTCACAATAATAATAAAGCGGTCAATCACACAACACAAAATGAACTTGTCTCACTTAATATTTATTCTCTTAATATGTAAATAGGTCTCAATTCCCATAATATTTAGATCCCGGCTTAATTGCGTTTAATGCATAGGCGTCACACGAAAAATTATTATTATCGATCGAAATTTGAACGAATATTTGATCGAAATTTGCAAAAATCTTATCACTCAAACAGCAACCACCACCGTTTCACGATACATAGATTCGCAAAAATTGCGTCCGTCCAATCCAATCCGGTATTACAAAATGTCGAATAGATAATAATATTGAACTGCAACAATGAAGATGATTCTACATGTAGATACACACCTGAACCACTTCTGCTCCTCACTTCCACTCTGCCTCTCTCCCAAGACTGAAAACCAAACCACAATTCAAAACTTTAAAGCGAGTCAGAGTCAATTCAATTCAATTCATGCAACATAAGGTGCACTCGCAGTCAGGTAACACAAGGGATGAAAGGGGTAAAGTTTTAGCAGTGAGATGAGGTGAGGTGAACAGTATGTGACGATGCTGGCTGGTCTGGTTGGTTACCTGCCTATCAAAAGGAAAAAGCAACCTGCTTCATCACCACATTACAGGCAAAGAAGAAGGGTATCGGGGAAAAAATGAGATCCGAAATCCAACTGTTGTTCAACGCCCCATCATCCAATCCATCCACCATGTATGCATTATGCATCCCATTCTGATGAACATTACAAGAACTTAACGAGTTTGGTTTGTAAGTAATAAGCATTGTTGAGAAGGTACAGGTAAAGGTGTATAGCGAGAGAGAGACATTCAACAATCCCGTCCGCACGGAGGTAATTGTTCTGGCAGACTGTTTTAGACCAATGTCACTTACAAACTGTGACTGTGAAGCGTCCTTTTCCACTAGTGTTTCTTTAAGCAATGTTTGTTAAGCCATACTTTTTACCTGGTTGGTTTGGTGGTACTACGGTGAGCGTAAAGTTATGCTCGGTCACTCACACCTGCCTGGCTCGTCTTCCATCCAACCAACAGGTAAACCCGTCCATCACTTACGTATTACCACCAGGAGCAAATGTGTATATATGTATGTTGTGTGTATAAGCCCTGTTTTATTTGAAAAGAGATGATCCAATCCAATCCACCAAACCGAAAACAACGTGGTTTTGCATTGCATTGCAGGAGGGTATAAATTGCTAAAAACGATGCTAACTAACTAACTAAAGTGAGGGTCTTATTTCTTTGTATAACAGTATCCGGTGCAATACTTTGGTTTGGTATGAGATTTTGCCTGCTTGTGGTACTCTCATCACGCTCTGCGGGCGTATCATGAATAGTAAACAATTGTTAGGAGAGGAATCTTACTGCTAGTTTGTTGGATGGTGGTGATTACATAGAATCCTTCCTTTCCTGGTTAAGTGAAGCAGATCTGAAGAGATTTAACATAACACGTAATGTGTAATGTACATATTGGCGAAGTTTGTGCAGATTTTCATGAAAGGGAATCCAACAAATGAATGGACAAGGAATAGCTGAATATTCTAAAAAGTCTCGTTCTAAATAAGAGATGGACGCAAATGGGAGAAAATCTCGGAAAGAAACCAAACCAATGGAGGAAATTACTAAATAAAGGATGGACGGACGGACAATAAATATCTGTGCTATATCTGGACAGGTGCATTTTAGGGAGAAAACGCACGCACACAAGGTTTTAGGGATGAAATGAATCCATGAAATATTAAGGCAGTCATTAAACTTCCGCTCCATCAAAATTATGTATAACACAGATATTTATTTAGTTGAACTATATTGGATTGGGCTGTTAGATAGAAAATTATTTATTTTTTAGCTGGGTTTACAGGAGCATTATTATTTGGTTCACTATTATTTTTACCTGTGCATTTCAATCCCCTCTTCAACCTGTGTCCAATTTCCAGCTTCCACCTTCGCCTATGAATCTGAATTAATGCGTAATACAATACCGTGCTCGCTCGTATCACTTTTTGTCGCTTTTTCCATCCTGAAATTATGGTCGTCGCATTAAAACAAATCCAGCCAAGCAGCAAAGTAACCCAATAATAAAGGGTCCAACAACTAAAACCAAAACGACCGGAAGTTACAGCAAAGCAAAGCAAAGCAGTGCCTGGACTGGAATAATTTCGATACGTCACGCCGTACGTACGTAGCTTATATGTACTTGCTTGAACCTTATATAGGTTGGGCAGGCACCCTCCAAAAACAAGCTAATAAACCAAAATCCATCCTTATTTTATGACCACTTCATTAAAAGGGTTTACTCCATTCTCCTCAATATTTTCTACTATTTTGACATGTTCAGAAACAGCCAGGACATAAAATGCGGAGAGAAACTTATTGTATTTATGGACTTATGAACTCGTCATGGCTGGCAGCAGTGGCCGCAGAAGCGTGGGTGACAGAAGAGGGACAATGTCCCCACGGTTATTCGATGTCCCCATCATCATCTCCCCATCTTATACAAACCCCTCTCTCCCCTATCCTAATACAATGTTAATATCCCCAGGTGTCCCCACGGCTTCCGCGGCCACTGTATGTACATGCCCCATAGTTATTTATGATACCAAAAGAACAGTGGTCGCGCAAGGGTGTGGACAGAGGGACAATGTCCCCACGGTTTTTCGATGCCCGCATCATCTGCCCATCTTATCCTACAATGTTAATGTCCCCACATGTCCCCACCCCTTCCACCCACGGCCACTGGCTGGGAGTACATGGTAAAATAAAATGACGATCTCGAGTCATGTCTCACGCAATTAATTTCTTTATAGTCGCACCGTTGTCATTTCGAGAGATGATGATGCCCTTTTATAGCAAATAGTATGGGAACGGCAGTAAATCGAATGTGCATGGGAATTCGGAGAAGAATAAGAATTTTGCCGTCTTCTTCTTTCGCATCACTTTTGTTCTGCTCATGTCCTGCGGTTGCAAAATTCTTTTGCCCTAATCGCTTATAAAGGATTGCAAAGTTGTGATGGGAGATTTTAGAGTCTTGTTTTTCACCCTCCAGGCCACTTTAGTTCATTGTTCAGTTTAACAAATGCTTGGTTATGGTTGGTCTTGGTGGAAATTTGCGTAAGTCTTCAAAATCAAAAGGTTTATCAAGTTCAAAATTCAATATGCAAATGTGTACGGTATCATTCATTAAGTATGTTAATTATTGTGCTTTCTTTACGTGTGGCATGTTCATTATTTCGATGAAAATATGATTTTCACGCTGAATCAACTGTTGAATGGTTACATTTTGCATGTTATTATGTGATGTTTTTTCACATTGAAAAGAAAAGCGATAGGAATGTTATACAATATTTATCTCATATCTTCTTTAAGTTATATATTTAACACATAGTCCGGAGAGACTTTCGAATACTTATTTTACAAGTTTCAGCCTATTAAAGAATAATTTCAAATAAAATTAATATCTATTTCAATTTGGCTTTAAAAGGTAGTAATTATAATTAATAGCCATTTTCCAGATAGATGAAATTGAAAAAATGTAAAACCTACATACACAAGTTTACTTGTCCTTCTTTCCAGATGTTAGATTGTTGTGAAGTTTAAGAACTTCCGGTTCTAATAGATCTAATAACAGGTTTCCTTCCGTGTCGAAAAAACAGGCGACAGACTTTTCAAATTGAACCGTCTTCTCGGTCGCGTTCTTTCCCTTGAAACAGGACAAACTGAGGGTGTACATGTCGTCGAATCTGGGAATCAAATTGTACAGCACGTTAATTAATAAGTCCTTATATATCAATGACACGCATAGCAAATTATTGTCACCTCTTCATGTAAGAACTAGCCTCCCAAGTTTGCGGTTCATTTCCAGCTGGATCCTTGTACACCGCCACGGCGAAAATTCCCTTCTCCATGTACGCCGTGTAAAGGGTCAAAACGCCCATCATGACGAAATATGCGGAAACACAGAGGAGCAAGACCGGCCTGCAGAATCAAATCAAAAACATTTTATCCAATTTTATAACGTTCTTGTTCATCCTAATTCTTGTCCTTATCCTCACCTCGACTGCGGAAACGGGTACAAATAATCCCACAACAGGGCCAACATTGCGATCGCGACCGCAATACTGCAAATTCCTAGCCGACCATCGACCAAGTTGAAATTCTCGTCGAATCCCAACTTTTTGATGAGAATGTCGCGAACCGCATCGTCCAACGAGTTCTTGACGGCAGATCCATCCCACTTGTTGACCTTGGGGGGAGGGACGATCTCATCGTCAACATTGGGCGTAGGACTGCTCGGCATTATTCAAATATTTTTTTAAGTGACAATCTGTCAAGAAATAAATACAACGAGTTTTTGACTTGGTACGTGGCAAAGGAGAAAGCGATTTGGGTTTCGTGTCTCTGAGTGGAGAAGGCAGATTGTAGCGTCTCGTTGGGCAGCTTATGTAATATTTGCAAGTAAATAAATTGAGACGTGCAAATTTTCACTTTAATTAAAATGGTTAATGATCCCGATTTAATTAACCCAACATCATGAGAACATCTTAAATAAACAGCTTCTTAAATATAAATGAAGGTGTTGATCAATGTATTTGTTTAATTTGACATAATTCAAAGCTTATATTTGCAGATATCAAAATTGAGACATGCAAATGTTCACTTTAATTAAAATAGTTAATGATCCCAATTTAAACCAACAATATAAGAACATCTTAAATAAACGCTTAAATATAAGAGAAAGTCTTGATTACTATATTTATTATCTAATTTCGACGTACATACATAATCCAACTCAAAATATGGCATTTATCGACGTTGAAATGATCCAAATAGTTGGAGAAAGTGGGGAAATTGAGACTGCTCAACTTTCTCTTCTTTCTATCCATTATCGAACAAACCAACCATGCCAACGAAACTGTAAAATATTCTCATGGATGGATTTTACACACAATTTTCTACATAATTCCAAGAATCCATCCACAAGGGCAATTTTTGAGCAGAAATTGCGTCTCACTTTCACTTCACGTAAGAAAGACAAGAACCACTTATCAAACACGGTAACCTACACATTTTCAAAATTACTAATGCATACACGCTATTTTCAGGACTACTAAAGAATGGACCAGTACAGGTCATGGAACCCGCGTGGAACTTCGAACAGCGAATATGGAAAGTTTGCCTACTCAAACAGCTTCATTGGACCGGCTCGAAGTGGTGGCGGCGGAGGTGGCCAAAAGTTCGGACGAGACGCTTCTTGGGGACATCAACCAGATTGTCACAACCACCCCCAAAATCAAGGACGAGGACATCACCAACATCTTCCAGATTGTCCAAATGCTTCCGCCGGGCATGATTCCACCCAACAATTTGACGTCTTTGTGGGGGAAGAAGCCGCAACTGCCGCGTTGGGAGGGAAGGACCAGTATCAGGCCGTTTTTCCTACACAACAGCAGTCTTCTGGAGGTGGAGATGAAGGTAAAGGATTTCCACCTCAGAGATCTCCTCAAGAGAAGTATGGAAAAATGGGGATGAATTTGGATTCCGTTGATCAAAATGTGACAACTGAAACTTTCGTTGAGACAATGCCAAATCAAATTGAAGAGTATAATGTTGACAGTGGAGGGGATGCGTCCCCACAAGCTCAAGAACCAACCAGTTCTGCTCCTATGATTCAAACCGTAGGTGTCCTTACCCCTGAGAATGGAGGTCTCCCAGCGTATGCTCTCCGATTTTGAGCTAATTAGGGTCAATCGATCACAAATTTAATTAGTATAAAATTTGCAAATGACACGATTTCCAAATGGGCACGTTTGGCGGAGATATTTGCATCCCAAGAGATGAAAACGGGCCTTAAAATCGAAAAATTTTACACTTTCTAAATTTTCTCCTCTGCGGATGCAAACATCTCTACCAAACTTGCCCATCGGGAGATCGTGTCTTTCGCAAATTTCACTCTAATTAAATTTGTCATCGATTCACCCTAATTTGGCTCAAAATCTGCTCGCATACGTTGTGAGACCTCCATTCTGCGTATAATAATATCGAAATTATCATTTAATAAACTTCCTTCCACAGGAAACACCCAAAACCGCTAAAATTCCCCCCAAGTGGAAAGGTCTTCCCACCAACGCCATCCAATACGGTCGTCACATTCGACCCCCAAATGGGTAAATATTAATGTCTGCCTTATATGACTGAAACAGTGCCTTATTAAATATGCCTTACGATGGACTGAATGTTTGCCTTAAACATTAAATTGTGTAGCCTTACATATCTGAAAACGGCCTTATTTTCCTAATTAATATCCTCAAATACGCCCCTCATAATGATCAACTTTTGTTCACTCCAGCTCTCCACTCTGTAGTAGAAAGTACATTTATCTGTAGTTTTCTAAACAAACTTTACAATGACCGAGTTTGAAACCACAATTCTCAATATTTCTGATACGGAGTCATCAGACGAAGACAATTTACCACCAAGAAAGAAGGCCAAATTCAAAAGAAACTTCTTAGACTACTTTAAGGGTGCAATTTATGAAAACTTAACAATTGCGGAGGAAATTCTGAAGGCCGAAGGAGAGTTTCGTTTCAAATCTGCCAATCAAACCGAATGTGGCATGAAGCATTTTTATAAGTGCAAAGTATCCAGCAAGTGTTCTGCTAAGCTATATCTGCTTCTCGCTGGTATGTAAATCATTGGCAGTCAATGACCTAATGTAATCGTAAATTATATATTCTACTTTTACTCTCAATATTGTATGATATATGTATAGAAGACGGACAAGACGTAATTCGTTATCAGACCAACACTGCTCATGACCACCTACAGAAAAATAAAACAAGCGGAGTTCAAGGTCCAACGCGACAATTAATGGTCGAATTGCTTAAAAATGGCATCTCAGGTCCCTCTCAAATCCAAGCAAGTATTCGTGATTCCGGTCTTCCAATACCAAATCGAAAGCAAATTTCAAATGCCAAAGCCTACCTAAAATCAATTGAGGCCCCACGAATTGTATCATTAGGGGACCTTGAAAAACAACTATCTGCACTCCTAACAGAACCTACTAGCCAAGATCAAACAATTTTGGTAGGAAAGATCATTGACTTTGAAAAGAAAACATTCCACTTCATGCTATCTACGCCAAGATTGATGCAAGTTCTCACATTTGGAGATTGCTTACATGCTGATGGGACCTACAAATTGGTATGGGAAAATTTTCCAGTCCTTGTTCTTGGGACGTCGGACAAAAATAGAAATTTCCACCCAAGGCACTTTTTTCAGTCGATTTCTATTTTTTTTCAACGTTTAAGGCAAACATTCAGTCAATCGTAAGGCATATTTAATAAGGCCTGGTTTCAGTCAAATAAGGCAGCCATTAAATACCACCCCCCCCAAATGCCCAACCGTCTCCCAGCCAATTGAGCACGATTCAAGGACGACCTCCCATGAAATACGACACTGAAACCCAATCTGCTGGTGGCGACACTTTAATGATGAAACCCATGAAAAAACGAGTCCCAACTTCCGCCACGGCCAAATACTTGAACAAGGTGACATCTTCTTCAACCACTGCGGTCATGATGCCGGGGAAGAATGTGCGGAATCCTCCCACCCCGGCGGAAGCTCGTCTCTGCGGAAAATGTCCGAAATGTAAGGACTTCCTGCCCCGCGTGGATGGACCGCTGGTTATGTCGTTCCCCTCAAATTCTACGGCAACCTTGCAAAAACCGAATCTTCGCAAAATCCACACTATGGGACGACAAGACGCTAAAAATTTCAAAGCTGTCCGATACGGGCATCATGCACAGCATCATTAAAACATTGTTGAGAAGAGATTCATCTATGTAAATGTGGAATCCAACGCGCATTAATGAGTTTCTTATAATATTTACACTAAATCAATTTAATCCATAACGATCACTAAAAAAGTATCCTTGTGTAATTTACTTAATAAATTAACGTATAGCATTCAAAGATTTGTTGCATAATAGCACATGGAAATTTTTCATGGCTAACTTTTCCTCAGACATGTTCATATATATCTTGTGTTATGCTGAATGCATTGTTGCTTGTAAATGTAAACTGTGCATTGCATAATATGAAATTCGCATTTTTCGCATATTATGCGAATTTTATTACGGGGTGCCTGTTAAAAATAAAGCTAGCCGTGCCTGTCTGTATCTCGGATCATGAAGTCGATCGAATTCCATTCCAATTCTACTATTAACGATTTAAAAAAAAGGTACCTAATATCAACCGTGCTGAAAAAATACAATTAAGATTTGCAAAGTTTTTTGGGGTCGAAGTAGAAATAAATACCATCAACAATTATGCTTGATGAATAATGAATCTAATGAGTATTTTAAGATTACTTATTTTATTGTAAAAGTGAATTTCGACTTTGAACTTGCAAGTTACTTTTTTGCCCATATTTTCATTAATTTTAGCCAAATAATACGTTTTTAAAGAGTGTCTAATAATTTAGTATGAAATAGTATGAATCGATAAATTCGATACTGAATCTAGAAGCTTTAATAAATACTTGACACGCTATTTAAAAGTGAGCAAAAAATTGAGCCCGAGTTGCATATTTTGCAGAATTTCCAGAATTTTGAAAGTCGTCGTTGAGAAATTAACGCCCCAATTATTGCTAAATCATGAAAAATAGTGCAAATACAAAAAAATGGTCATATTTATTTGATCATTTATTAATTTACCGACTCGCTAAAATTCTTACAACCGTCCACAAAAATTCCATGCAACCTTATAACTCGCTACTTATGTAAACGTGAGGAACAAATTGACGTCAACTGCATACATACCATACCTGTTCAAAAATTTAGTTTTCATTCAAAAGTCAGTCATCCCGATTTCTGGTTGAAGATTTTCATTCACATTCAATCATTTTCTTTCAAACTCATTTCATTTCACTTCATCGGACTTCATTTCTTACTTCGCCCCATGTATCAAACATAGGGTGAAAAATGAAATGAGTGAGAAATCCCTTCATTCACAGTCATTCATCTGAAATGCTTGAATCTTTCACTCATTTTCATTCAAATCACAGGAAATTCATTTTCATTCACTCTCATTCTCTATCATAATCAGTCACATGAATGAAAGTGAACAGGTATGATACATACAATTATTCAGACAGCATAGAACGATCGAGTTTTCGAACGTTTTTGAACGTGACCCGGCCGTGCATCTCACGCGTGGAATGACTTTTGGTACGCGATCGCCTCCTTTTTCGCTGTGTTCTACGTCCTCCGCCCCACGTGTCATAATTAAGTTAATTATTTGTTCCGAATAATTGTTCGAGTTAATCACTGGAATGAGTTTCAATTTAATGCTGACAAACAAATATCAAAATTGAATTTTAATTAAACAATGAACTATTAAGTATTCATTAAATCCTTGAAAACATCAATTTAATTCATATTTGGGCAACTACAAGAAATGCTCAAATTTATCAAATTTTCTTAACCCACAATTTTAAAGTTTGAATTTTGGGAACTCATTCCACTGTAAAAACCAATTTTATACATATTTTTCTGAAAATCGAAAAATCGCAAAATTTATCAAATTCTTAACAAGTATTTATTTAAAGGTGAGGAACAAATTGAGCGTCAACTGCATACAATTGTTCAGACAACAGAGAACGATCGAGTTTTCGAACGTGTACAGCGACCCGGCCGTGCATCGCACGGCATGAAACGACTTTTGATACGCGATCGCCTCCTTTTTCGCCGCACTCCGCGCCACGACGCCCAGCTTCCACTTGGCGACGACCTCCTTGTTCTTATCGTTCACATCGCCCGCCACGGCGAGCGGAGTGACGGCCTCGAACGCGCAGCGGATCCCGCACAGGGGAAACATGAGATTGGATCCGGGGTCGTAGTGCCAAATGCGGATGACGCCGAACATGAGGATGGACACGATGGCGAAGAGGAGGTTCGGGAAGGTGGAGAGGTACATGAAAAATGCGTCGTTCATCAGGATGGCGATGCACTCGATGGAACGGTACTGCTGCACGGTCGTCTCCAATCCTTGGGATAAATTGTAGCTGAATATGTATAGAAAAAAGGTTATCAGGTAAAACAAATTTACATACACAAATGGATTGCACAGTTTGCACTTCTACCATGAAAATAAATTCCTGAAATTTTAAAAATGAAAATAAATCTCTGTCATTTTTGGCATGAAAATAAACTTCTTGGAATTTTTGGTGTGAAGTTCATAGCAGTTTTCATAAAAAATTTCTTCAATTGTTTATAAATCCGTGGAATTTTGGGTATGAAATTAAAATCTTAGCATTTTTAGCATGAAAATAAATTCTTGGGATTTTTAACATGAAAATATATCTGTATTTTCCGTATTTTTTGCATGAAAAAAATTCCTGGCATTTTTTACCTGAAAATAAATCCCCTGGATTTTTAACATACATTTCACATTTCTGTGAAATTAGAATCTTGGCTTTTTTTAACATAAAAATATATTCATATATACAATTTTATCATGAAAATAAATCTCAGGCATTTTTACCATGAAAATTCCTGTTATTTTTTTACGCGAAAATAAATTCCCAGGATTTTTAGTAAATCTCCCCACCCCAAATAAGACATGCCATAAATGCCTGAATTCATAAATTCCACTTCTACCCACCTCATCCTCCTCAATTCCGCCACGATCCAGGACATCCCCAAAAATATCACTGCCCAATTGAATGACCACGAGAAGAAGAAGACCGTCGTCAAATAATACTCGATCGCCATGAAGGGAATTTTGTGCAAAAACGGGATGTAATAATCCCGAAATCCTTCGCACGGGAGGAAAAGTGAGCTCACGAAGTGGGGCGCACACGGGCTCTCGTCCACCAGAAGGATGTGAATTGTCGGATTCGCAGCCAGCATGATAAGTCCCAGGTACACGTAGTACGTCAGGTATTTCTGCGACTTGGACTCCGCCAACGTGTACGACGACATGGTCGACACGGGCCAATTTTCTGACATACCGGAAGTGCCATTTTTGTCAGATTTCTCCGACTTGAAATTATGAGGATCTAGATTATATAGAAATTTGGGAAATAAATATTCCTGTTCAAAACAGCCTACAAAAAAGTAGCACATACGTATTTTCTAACGGGTAAAAAAAGTAGTAAAATTTTCGAAAAGGTATATTCTTTAAATTACAAATGTTCTTAAATTCTAATTCTGCACCATTCATTCGTCTGCAAAAACTAGTGGGGGACCTCAGACACACTAAAAAATCGTCGCTTAGAATTTCGCTTCGTTTTTCGCTTATCGATAGTATGACCAAAAAGATGAAAATTGCAAAATTTTGTTCCGACTGGAGCTAACCGACCTTAACCCCACTTCTGAGAGAAGTTTCTGTTCGTTTACCCGGGAGCTCGCTTATCAGGAAGTAAGCGAAAAACGAAGCGAAATTCTAAGCGACGATTTTTTCGTGTGTCTGAGGTCCCCCAGTGTAAAATGTGCAATTTTTTTTCTGTTGAAGCACACTGACAAGGGAGGTCTCCCAGCGGATGCTCTCCGATTATTAGCAAATTAGTGTCAATCAATCACAAATTTAATTAGGATAAAATGTGCAAAGACACGATCTCCCAATGGGCCCGTTTGGCAGAGATATTTATTTGCATCCGAAGAGGAGAAAACGCACAGTAACTTTGAAAAGTGTAAAATTTGTCAACTTTAGGGCTCGTTTTCTCCTCTTCGGATGCAAATATTACTGCCAAACGTGCCCATTGGGAGATCGTGTCTTTTGCAAATTTCATACTAATTGAATTTGTGATCGAGTGGTTGTAATTTGCTAAAAATCTGAGAGCATACGTTGTGAGATATCCACTGCGAATTTTCTAGTTCTACTTTCTCCCCAAAATTTGCCAATTTTCACCCACATATTTCCCCCATATTTCACTTACTCTTATTTATACTCGTCCTCCTCATATATCCCAACAAGCAATTTACAAACTCAATCATTTCGCCCTCCTTCCGCGCAAACTGGGCGTAGCAAATCGCGCCCAGCGTATACGCCGCGAGCCAGACCATATTCAAGATGCGCAGCACTAGCGGAAAATGGTCCCTGCTCATGGCTTGGATCAGTCGCACCGCGGAAAACAGAGTCATCACGTAAATCGCGGTTTTATGGAGGTCAAAGTAAAACCGATGCCCGCGGCCCGCCCGCTTGACACACTTTTCTTTCGGGTCGAAATCGAAGGGGAAGAGTTTCAAGCCGCTCCCCACGTCGAGAAGGTGGCACACCGCCGAGACGCCGGTTGGGGTCAACATCTTCAAGTCTTTGGAACCTCGGAATCGGCTGGGCTCACGTTTTATAGGAATTTTCAGTCGCACAGTTTTTGCTAAATTGCCATATTTTCGCGACAGTTAATATGTATGACAATTCACTCCAATTAAAATGATCACCACCTATTGTGCGCATTTCTTTAGATAAATACATATTTAGCGTAAACCGAACAAAAACTATGTGTCTAATGATCACAATGCGCAAATAAATTAATGGCGTTTTTAGCATAAAAATAAATTCTTGGCATTTTTATCATGAAAATAAGCTCCTGGCATTTTTAACGTGTAAAAAAATTCATGGCATTTTTAGCATGAAAACAAATTCATAAAATTTTCCAGCATAATAAAACTAAATTCCTAGCATTTTTACCATGAAAATAACCTCCTGGCATTTTTAAAGTGTAAAAAATGCATGGCATTTTTAGCATGAAAACAAATTCATAACATTTTTTAGCATAATAAAACTAACAATAAGTTTCTGGCATTCTTACCTTGAAAATAAGTTCTTGCTGGCATTTTTAAATAGTATGAAAATAAAATAGGATTTTTAACATTTCAAAAATTCCAGGAATTTTAACCATGAAAAATATTTCTTGGCATTTTTAACATGCAAAAAAAATTTTATCAATTTTACCATGAAACTAATTCCTCAACATTTTCCACACTTAAGTAATTCCACACAAGTTTCCACTTTAAGTCCCCCACAAATAAGACATGCCATAAATGCATAAATTCCATCATAAGTACAGTTCTACTTGCTACATACACGATCCAAGACATTCCCCCTATGACGCATTCAGCTTAAACCGATCAGGAACTGGTACAAAAAATTATGGACAAATATTGAAAGAGTGATTCAGCCAAAAATTACTTTTCCCTGGAAAATATCATCATTTCCCGTCGAATAAAGCTGCACAATCTCGGCCCGTTTTTTGGTACACGGATGAATTATTTATTTTATTATGATGGCCCCACCACCGTAACAGTAAAACAACAAGTTATTCTGTTATTCAAAATCTGTAAATCTGAGAAAAACAGTTTTGACCTGCTGTAAATATGTAAATTTAGTGGGTCATTTATTAAAAACGATTTGAAATAATTTAAGCAATTAATTTATTTGACAAGGTAAACTGTGTTTACCTTGTCATTATTTTACTCGAATATTTTACGTACGAAATTCATACATAATCAAAATACGACGTCAGAAATGTGATCGTGAGTAAAACAAGTAAGAAATGGCCAATAATATTGTTGACAAACTTATTAAGTCTTCTGCCATCACAATCAAAAAGCCAGACAGCCTCACAATCACAAGGCTGAGTGGTTAATCATGTGACCAATATTCTAAAAATATCTATGTATGTAGCTATTTCTGTAGATTTGGGCCCCGGAAACTTTCTTCATAAAATTTATTTCCAGACTTACAAAAAATTACAATCTATTCACAGACAAAAATATTTTCAAATGGTATGCTTTACATATTTGTATTTTACTTATTTCGAGATTCCCGAAATACTTGCGTAAGTTTCATGTAACAAAATAAATAAATACGTAGAATTTCAGAGAAAAGACTTATCCAAATTATGGAATTGTAAAGTTTGAATTGGATTAATTGTATTATTTAAATTTCACAATTTTGCCGACCACAATATAAATCTAACAATAAGTTTAATTAAATATATTTGTTATACATATTTCATTCCGACTTTGAAATTTGACTGTTTTTTAGAAACTACGCAGATTTGGCTTGAGAATTTCCTGCGGAAACTTTCTTCATAATATTTATTTCCAGATTTTGAAGAATCACGATTTTTTCACTACTAAATTGACCTACAAAGGGTATATATACTTTTATTTTACTTATTTCGAGATTTCCTAAATTCATACATACGCAATTTTCATGTAACAAAATAAATACGTATGTAGCATTTTAGAATAAAGACTTGTCCAAATTATGCAAACGTAAATTTTGACTTGGATTAAATTTATTATTAAAATTTCAAAATTTTTCGACGAAAAAACATATCTAAATTACATATAACTGTTTTACATAATTCCTTTTTTACTTTGAAATATTACAATACATTGTTGCTTTCAAAAGTCTACCGATATGTGCTTCATACGCATGCATACTGAGGATGAATTGAATATGAATGAATGAATCCTGAATGAATGAATCCTGAGTATGAATGAATCCTGAGTATGAATGAGTAGTGCATGTAGGTTTAAATTGCGTTTTTAAACGCGCATCCACCATTTAGATTTTTAGGCAGGTGTTTTTTAAGAGAAAGGGATTGGGGGATTTTTTTCCCTAAAAAATTGAGATTTTGGGGAGGGTGAGATTCTTCAGAGAGAAATGGTTTTAAGGAGAAAGCCAGATTGTTTTAAGGAAATTAATTGAGAATTTATGGTTATGAACGTAATTTCAATAATTTTAATATGTAATCCTTGGTTCTCATTTATGTACATTCAAATCCAATAGATTATGGAAATACAGATATGTATTTCTGTGATGTGCTACTTGTGTTCAGATTGAAAATTAATTTGGTGCATTTTCCGAACGGAAAATCTCGAGTATTCCATGCTGGAAGAGGCAGGAATAAATGAGTTATTCGCAATATCGGATTCCCTTCTGACCCCCCGTGACAAGTCGGAGCTTTACCTGGCATTCTTCAATCAGCAAACTTTTACGACGCGATGCATCCGGTCAACTTAATGCTTTATTGGAATTGCGGCCAGATAAGCCGTGTCATTGGATATACATCCACACAATGGCCGCGGAAGCAGTGGGGACATAAACATTGTAGGATAAGGGAGGAAGGGGTTTGTTTAAGATGGGCAGATGATGCAGACATCGAATAACCGTGGCGACTCTGTCCCAAAGCTTCCGCGGCCACTGGATACACATGGAAGTGAAGAGTTGTCATGATATTTCGGTCGAGGAGATCCTTGAGGATTTGACTCTGTTATTTTTACTGGTTGGATGAGATGACTAGTGGCCGCGGAAGGTGTGGGGACATTAACATTGTAGGATTGGGGGAAGGAAGGGTTTACATAACATGGGCAGATGCTGGGTACATCGAATAACCGTGGGGACATTGCCCCTATGTCCGTACACCCTTCCGCGGCCACTTTCTGTAAGAAGGGATGATACATAGGAAGGAATGTAGACTGCGAGACAGATATTTCACACAGTGGCCGCGGAAGCCGTGGGGACATTACAATTGTAGGAGGGAGGGGTTTATATAAGATGGGGAGATACTGGGGACATTAAATAACCGCGGGGACATTGCCCCTCTGTCCCCACCCTTCCGCCGCCACTGGACAATGAACCCTTCCATAATCCACGCAAGGAAACGAGCAAGCAGCAGAGAGAAAAGCAATCAAAGGAAATGATGTGACTTTTATCTCTGGGATGTCTTGTTGCTTACAGCTTTCCAGGAAAACTTGGAGGTCATCTGAAACAATTTCAACGGCCCTGTAAACTTTGGCCCTATATAGTTTCCCTTTTCTCCTCCCATGTAATACCCAATCTACTTGCGAAACGTGTCTTGTTATGGCAAAGTTCAATTTATTATTCTTTAAAATTCCAACTTTCACGACGACTTCCAGCATGAAACTTTTATAAATATAATGGCCCTCCTCAGACACACGAAAAAATCGTCGCTTCGAATTTCGCTTTGTTTTTCGCTTATCGATAGAACGGCAAAAATTATGAAAATTGTAAATTTTTTGTTCCGACTTCAGCTAAGCGACCTTAACCCCACTTTTGAGTTGAGTTTCTGGTCGCTTACCCCAGAGCTCGCTTATCAGGAAGTAAGCGAAAAACTAAGCGAAATTCGAAGCGACGATTTTCTCGTGTGTCTGAGGAGGCCCAATATTATGCCAACTTGAAACTACTTCTCCTATTATTGCTCAAATTTCATCCTTGCTCAAAGTCAGTGTTTCGCTTTTGCCGGCTAAAATCGTTTTTTGTTGGCCAGTGGTCAAAAGTGGTCAAAAGTGGTCGAAAATGGCCAAAATGGTAGAAAGTGGTCAAAAGTGGTCAAAAGTATTCTATTGGCTAATTGTTTGCGCGGCGGGGTTAAACAGACTCTGGGCCAGTATTATTTATTCTTTGCACAAAGAATAATCATAGTTCTTACAAAGTAATTGAAATATTCTGTAATAATTACCAATCTAATAAATTCAACGTGGACAAATGTAGTAAGTAATTTATACATTTGCTCGATACTTGAATATTTTAATTGCTCATTTAATTGGTCAATTCATAACTATTCCTGTGTCAATTATTAATGATGCAATGTGTAATTTATTGCTTATTTGTATAGTTAATAACCAATTTTAAAATTTTAGATCCAATCAAACATAGATAAGTAGCCTTCAACTTGCTCTGCTAGATCCTGATGAAATCCTGAATGTCAAATCATTAATTTATCATTATTCATTGTCGCACAATGCCCCATTTTTGCATTTTGGCCACTTTTGGCCACTTTTGACCACTTTTGACCATTTGCCACCTATTCTGGTAAGTGGTCAAAAGCCACTTTTGGCCGCTTTTGACCGGCGGTCTGGCCAATCTGGTTTTTGCCAAGCGAAACACTGCTCAAAGTCATGCTCAATCCGACCGTGGCGATGGAAAGACTTCGAATAAACAGTGGACAAAGTTTTGGCTACATTTTGTATAGGATGAGACGAAGAATTGGAAATGGAGTAAGTCCTTAAAATCTAGGGGCTATTGATTGGGAAATAATTAAGCGTGATGGATTTGATTTGAATTTCAGCCCATGTTAATCAAGTGGGCTGGGCATGTGTTTTTAGCGGGCCAGAAATTCCATCACGCTTATTAATTATTTTCTGCATAATAGCCAATGCAAATTACAGTGCTACAAATCAATCTGTCGCTGGGTCAATTTGTCGTGGGGTCAATATGAACGGGTCAATCTGTCGCTAATAAATTTGACCCTTGACCCGAAAATTAGGATAGTTTACGATAAAAAAATTTCCAAAATTGGTCAAACATTTGCAAACCAATCTTCGCAATTGTCTAGCTCAATTACCCACTGATTTTAGCTATTGGTCTCTTTTCATCGTCACCCTGAGAAATGTTGATTTCCTGATCGAAACATGACTCTAGTCGAGTCAATTTCGGAGACCCTTCAATCTTTTAGTACCTTAAAGGTCTTCACAATAAAGCAATATTCAAAGTGACGGTGAAGTATGTAATGAATGACACATATCGAAACAATGGCCTTAGAATTCAAGTAAGTCAGACTGGTGAAACTGAATCTTCTCTTGAGGGAATATTTGATCAATAAATCAGCAAACCTGATACATACATATTATTTCTGTCCATTATGTAAATTCAGTCTTGCTTTCACTGGGTGGAAAACAATGGAAGAGGAGGGAGCACCGCACCGCATCGGGTTCTTACATATTCAGTCCACCTACATTTAAAAGGGACAACCCCACCCATAGTTTTGGCTCAAAATGTATTGCTTCCACAAGGGAATTGTTTTCCTGAATGGTTTTAACCTACTTTAAAATTGGGACACCAAACATACATTTTACATATATTTCAGGGGCTTATATTTACTTACGGTAAATAAGTACGGTATATGTAATTTAATATTATGCAAATAATAATAATATGATTTTGTTAGAAATCATCTCATTAATTGTGAATTTAATATCAACTTTTTAGCCCGAGTCAGGCATTACGTATCCGTCATGATTGTCTATCTGTATATATGTCTATCGATTACGCGCTTAAAACATATCCAATCGACTTGAAATTTTGCATAAATGTAGAATATGCAAAATCACGAATCAAGTTTATGATCAAAATTGTATGGAAATATAAAAAAATTGTAGTGGTCGTTATTAGCATAATTATTAGCAACAGCCTGACTCGGGCTAAACAAGGTTGCCCTGTGACTCGTTTAGATTACGATTACAATCTTTAAGCCGTATTTATCAAACTGATCCTCAGATTACCATCTCGTTCTTGCAAACTACTTTACCACAAATTCTGATCATTTCGATTATTATCGAACCTGAGAATTCAAACCGTTTCTTGCTACCTTAAAGCTCATGAAATATGAGAAATCAATAATATAATGATGATGCGAACTATGTATGTAGTTCATTCGTAGCATTTGAATTTATTGCCGACCTCGTCATGATAAAGTGTAGCAGCAGCAACGGCAGAATGAGGAGCAGTGTCAACTGTAAAAGAGTAATGACTTTTGGATGTAACGATTGATGATTGATTTTCTCATTCCTTTCACGTTTTTTATAAAACAACTTTTTGCTGCTTAATATTACCCAGAAGAAGAAGTGTGGCTCTCCTGCTCTGCTGGTCTTCTCAAGGATCGGAGAAAGCAGACATAAATCCTTTCTTCCTCCCTGCCAGCCAAGCAGTCAGTCAGTTAGTGAGTCTAAGGCAAGCATGCTGCTACATATGTATGTGCGGAAGGCGGATATGTATTTATGTCCAACTTTCCCATTTCTCTGAGGACTCTCGGTTAAACTTTATGAGTGTTGGTTAATTAATTAATTAATTAATTCAGTGTCAAATTTTATAATAAATATGATGTCCTCAGAATCCATGCATTCTTCTTCAAATTTATGAGTGTTCCCTAACTTTTATAGAGCACAAAAATTTCAAAATATTTCTAGCTTTTCAGATAAATATATTTCTGATGTTATTTGAAAAGTACGTAAATTTTTTATATTTTTCCAAAAATACAAATATTTTGTCCATATTTCAACGAAATGTGAGATGAAATTTTTTCCCAACGAAATTGGATCACAAAAAATCCATACTTAAAATTACACATTTTTTGAAAATTCTTATTTTCATGTTTTCATATGTCAACGATGAGAGATGAAAATTTTTTACTCAAAGTAATTGAAATCACAAAAAATCCATATTCAAGGTTTTGATGGTCTGCATTTATTCCGTATACCTAAGTCAAGTTTTCGAAAATTCATATTTGCATGTTTTTTCCTACATGCTTCGTGCAAGCATATTTCGGGTATTTTTCGTAAATACATATCCACCCTCTGCACATGTACCACTGTTCTGTTCTATTCTGCCCTTCCATTTCTTCCCTGCAAAAGGGTTAAGGAAACTGTGCCATGCATGCGATGGACATAGTTCGTTCGTGTGAAGAGTATAACTTTAGAATTTGCTCAACTTTCGCTCCGACCAAATTTTCTCCAACACGGGAACCAACAAAGACCTCGAAGTGAAAGCCAACCCACCAGTTCAGTTGACTCCTGGGTTTCAACAACCACGTTTGTACCGTCAGTCCGTGCAGGGAGAGGGTCATCTCGACCAACCAACTATGCCTGGTGGATATACTTTCCCCTCAGCGTGACACACTTTCTCCCCTACTTTCTCTCACCAACTAACTAACCTCACCAGTTTTTTTAACACTACAAAATTAAATATCCGTACATTCCTCTAAGCAATAAGTCGTGCAGCAATAAATGCAGACCTTGACAATGGAGGAGACAATTACGAAGCAAAAAGATATGAGTGTCCTTGCCTTTGATCCGCCTGATGGATTCACGGGAAAAAATATATTTCCGGATCCCGTGACCACACCGTAAGTAGTTTGGCTTTTGGCCCACTTTCAAAATTGGGAATATATTTAGATATGAATTTAACCCTTGACTAGGACTTACATGGAGTTGTGGGAGGTTGAAAAGAACCTCAATTTCCACGAGTGGAGGATGTGGATTGGAGCTCATTACAAACTTCCGGTCCACTTGTGCTTTCTCTATGTGATGGGAATCTTCCTCGGCCAGATTTTCATGCGACGCAAACCCGCATACAAGCTGAACCAGTTCATGATCATCTGGAACGTGGTATGGATACAAAATATTTTATAATTTACCATATAAGGTTTGCTCACCAAGTTGTCGGACTTTCTTATCTAAATTAATTTATTAGAAATAGTACGATAAGTTAGTGAGAAAACCTTAATCTAAATTCTTGGACTGTTTTTATTAAATTAATTTGGTAAGAAAGTCCGAGAATTTAGTGATCAAACCTTAATCTAAATTCTCGGACTGTTTTTAACCAATTAATTAGTCAGAAAGTCCGAGAATTTAGTGAGCAAACCTTAATCTAAATTCTCGGCCTGTTTTTAATTGAGTCAGAAAGTCCTCCAACTTGATGAGCAAACCTTAATCACCAAAAATAATATAATTAATATAATTATAAATAATTATTTAAGGCTCTCGCTGGCTTTTCCCTGGCTGGATTTTTTAGGTATATATTCCCTACATTCTGGTGTATCATACTAAATATATTATATTTTCATACATTCTCTTCCCTTCTTGGCTGGATTTTTCAGGTCTTACCCTGAAGTGCTGCATCTGCTATATCGATCCAATGGGTTCTACCGCATTACTTGCTCACGGTACGTAGGACGATTTTCCTACTTCTTCAGAGAGCGTATGTTGCATTGCATTGTTTTCCTTGGAGAGAGTTTCTTCTCTCAAAGCAGCTTCCCTCTCTCACTTCACTCGCTCTGTTACGCAACAACTTTCTCTCCAGTTGTGAACCAAAAAGATTAAACTTTCCCCGTTCTCAGATGAGAGATTGTAAGCTTACATTGCGTCACAAGCGGCGATATTGTCGCTCAAAAGGGTTCATTATGATTAAATTGTTTCATAATACTCGGGGTTATTTACATATTTTCGACTTTCACCGATGCAAATAGAATTAATTTGGGTACAGAGAGAGAGAAAGAAATTAAAGTGAAAGCATGTATTGGAAATGTCGTGCAAACCGGAGGCTAGGATTTATTGGGTTGGATTGCAAGTACACTCTTAGAAATCGGGTATTAAATTAATACCAAGTGGTATTTATATATATAACTTAAGGAAAGTGAGATTGATGCCGTAGCAATAGCGAGGTATTGAAGTTTTACCATATCGCTAGCAAATTTTTACGGACCGGTGTAATTAAAGATTAAACTTTCCCCGTTCTCAGATGAGATTGTAAGCTTATTTTGCGTCACAAGCGGCGATAGTGTCGCTCAAAAGGGTTCATTATGATTAAATTGTTTCATAATACTCGGGGTTATTTACATATTTTCGACTTTCACCGATGCAAATAGAATTAATTTGGGTACAGAGAGAGAGAGAAATCAAAGTGAAAGTATGTATTGGAATGAGAAATGTGTGTGAATGTCGTGCAACCTGGAGGCTATAGGATTTATTGGGTTGGATTGCAAGTACACTCTTGGAAATCCGGTATTAAATTAATACCAAGTGGTATACATATGTAACTTTACGAAAGTGGTATTGATGAGTAATACATATGCCGTAGTAATAGCGAGATATTAAAGTTTTACCACATCGGTAGCAAATTTTTACGGACCGGTGTAATTAAAAATCAAACTTTTCCCGTTCTCAGATGAGCGTAAGCTTACATTGCGTCACAAGCGGCGATAGTGTCGCTCAAAAGGTTCATAATGATTAAATTGTTTCATAATACTCATTATTCAACGTGACACGGGGTTATTTACATACTTATTTTCGACTTTCACCAATGCAAATATAATTAATTTGTGCAGAGAGAGAGAAATCAAAGTGAAAGCATATATTGGAATGAAAAGCATGTGAATGTCGTGCAAACCGGAGGCTAGGATTTATTGGGTTGGATTGCAAGTACAAGAAATCGGGTATTAAACTAATGCCAAGCGGTATTCATGAAGATATGTGACTCTACCAAAGTGGTATTGATGAATAATACGCCATAATAATATATATGTAGCTCGGTATTAAAGTTTTGCCATATCGATAACAATTTTTTTACGAGTCAGTGTAATTTTAGCACCAAACGGTAGCAGTTTAATACCGAGAAATCAATACCTGCCTGAATATACCAGATTTCTAGCAATGTAGAAATCCAGTATTAAACTAATACCGAGCGGTATTCATAATGCGTTATTAAAGTTTTGCCATATCAGTAGCAATTTTTTTACGAGTCGGTGTAATTTTAGCACCAAACGGTACCAAGTTTAATACCAAGAAATCAATACCAGCCTGCCTGCCTATGTACACCAGATTTCTAACAGTGTACACCCAGCATGCACACATTTCCATTTAACAAGGATGCTGGTTCACTGACGTTTTTCATTAAACGCTTTGTGGCCTGAATCCGTTTGAAATTAGAGTGAATTTCTCCCACATGAAATGAAAGTCGTCGTCTGCAGTGGTGCATGCAAAACAGCAAACTTTCACTAAACAACAAACTTCCAAGAGAAAAGTCTCAATTGTCATTCTACGAGTACCAACCAGCGGCTGGATGGATGGAGCTAGTCTGATGATCAGTGGCCGCGGAAGGTGTGGGGACATTTCCATTGTAGGATAGGGGAAGGATACATAGGTTTATGGAGAGATGATGGCGACATCGAATAACCTTGGGAACATTGTCCCTTTGTCCCCCACGCTTCCGCGGTCACTGTTCTTTTGGTATTATCATCACTATACAGCATGTACATACAGTGGCCGGGGAAGCCGTGGGGACATTTGGGGACATTAATATTGTAGGATAGTAGGGAGTATATAACATGGGGACATCGAATAGCCGTGGGAACATTGCCCCTTTGTTCCCACACTTCCGCGGTCACTGCTAATGATCCGCCTCTTCGTCCTGTTTCATGCAGGCAGCATTATTTTCTACACAACTTTCGTCCTTTGACGAAAGTACAAGTGCTGATGAAATACCCGTTTGATTTCTCTATTCCATCTTCATCAGTGATTCTTGCAGCGATTTTCGAGAAGTTAGCGAACAAAACTTTCACCAAGTTTTGCTTTGCTAAACATGTCGGCGATGGGTGATCTTTGTGCCAAAAGTAAAGTCTAAGCTGTACTGCTGACTCTAATGCTCACATTCGGATTAATAAGAGTGAAAGCATCGGAGAGGAAATTATCTACGTGGGTACTGCAGAGATACGTGATTCTTGAATTTTTTCCTGTAAGTAAGAATTGTGGATTAATATTAATCCAGGATTAAAATATACATAAGTAGTCGGGGATTAATTATTATTCAGTTTTGTAGGTAGACTATATACTAATGATTAAGCGGTAATTGCGTTAACATGTTTTTGGGATTAAGGATTATTAATCCGATTAACTCATAAAGATATGCGATCATTGATTTTTTTCAGGATTAAGGATTAATATTAATCCTGGATTAGCATAAGTAGTCGTGGATTAATTTCATAAGTACTCAGCATCGGATGATTAAGGATTAATTGCATCACTAAAATGTTTTTCGGGATTAAGAATTATTAATCCTTAATCCCTATCCTTAATCCGTTAATCCGACGTACATATGTATCTCACTCATGTAGTTACGTAGTAGCCAAGCTGGTGAAAGTCCGCCTTGGGAGAACAAGTCATTTTCACACTGGACATTTTATGACATGTGACGCGGCATTACGCAGCATTACATTTTGTCGGTCTTATCATAAGACTCTTATGTACTTATTTCGGAGCTGTATTGCCTCGCCTCAAGTATTTTCTCCTCTTCTCATTATTGGCATACTCGCTCGGATATTCTGCGTCAAAAGCTGTCTTTCCTAATAAAAGTCGACCATCCATGTTTACTCATCCATAATTTGCTAATTATCGATTTTCCTATTCTTATATACGAAGGGGCAAAATAAATAAAACAGCCGCCACCAAGTTAATACTTATTTATTCGTGCGACACCTTTTATGCTGACGTCCGTGATAGAAGAAGATTCGATAAATAAATTGACAAAATTAGATCAATGTATGGATGATTGGATTTTCTCTTTAATCTTGCAGAGAGGAATATAACAATGCGTCAGCCTTTTGGTCCGTGTTAGGAGTTTTCTCGAAAGGTAAGGTTCCAATCAGTGGCCGCGGAAGGATGGGTGGGGACAGAGGGGCAATGTCCCCATAGTTGTTTGATGTCAATACTATCTGCGCATCTTATATACATAAACCCGTCCCTTTCCTATCCTACAATGTTAATGCCCCCACAGCTTCCGCGGCCACTGTATGTACATCTTCCAAGGGTATGATAATACCAAAAGAACAGTGGCCGCGGAAGAGTTGGGACAGAGGGACAATGTACCCACGGTTATTCGATGTTCCCGTCATCTGCCCATCTTATACAAACCACTATCCTACAATGTTAATGTACCCAGATGTCCCCACAGCTTCCGCGGGCACTGTATGTACATCTACCAACGTTATGATAATGCCAAGAAAAACAGTGGCCGCGGAAGAGTGGGGACAATGTCCCACGGTTGTTCGTTGTCATCATGTTATATAAACCCCGCCCTCCCCTCCCGTACAATGTTAATGCCCCCACAGCTTCCGCGGCCACTGTATGTGCCAATCCCAATTTTTTTTATAGACTATGCACATATGTTCGGAAATATATATTTTTACCCTTTATCTATCTAGTGATGGAACTTGGTGATACCGCATTCATCGTGCTGCGAAAGAAACCTGTCATATTTCTTCATTGGTAAGTTTCCGACAGCGACATTGATCCGGATGTGATCCTCATCGTCAATTTTCTCGACCTTTTACAGCCAAATATTTACTTTGGCAGAGTAGTTGTTTGTTATACCTTGGTAGGAAAATTAGCAGGGTTTCATTTCTTAGTTCTTGCACTGGAAAACAAAAAATGCGAGGTGCAAGAAACTGGGAGAAAGTGCTAGAAATATGCGCCATCTAGCGACGCGCCGTATGAAATATGCGCGCCGGCGCCTAGTTTCTTGCGGCTTGCATTTCTTACATACTTACTGTTCACTTTCATTCATTTGAGTGATTATGATGGTGAGTGATAGTGAATGAAAATGAATTTCCTACGATTTGATTGAAAGATTCCGTCATTTCAGATGAATGACTGTGAATGAAAGGATTTTTCACTCATTTAATTTTTCACCCTATGTTTAATACATTGAGCGAACTATAAGAAATGAAGTCAGATGAAGTGAAATGATATGAATTTTAAAGAAAATGACTGAATGTCGATGACTGACTTTTGAATGAATACTAAATTTTTGAACAGGTATGATTTCTTGATTTCATGCAGGTCAAAATATTTAGCTGCACGAAACCACTTTCTTTTGCAAGTGGTTCCTTACTTTCACCCGAAACACTGCCAATTTGCCGCGTTAATAGAATCCCAACATGGAAGAAAGTTTGCATGGATGAGCAATAATAAAGCTCTTATTTCTCGAACCAGCCCTTCCGTGTCTCGTCGTGGGCATAAAGTGGTGGTGGTTGTTGTCATAAAGTAAAATGTCGATATCACGAAATAGTTAAATTGAGCGAGCAGTTGACTGAAGAATCATACATAAATTGGTTCATTAAACTTTTAAGAGCTTGCATATTTCATGCGCTTGCATGAATTCCTCCTCTCTCTCCTAATGCCAGGCTGCCCTACGTATTTACATGGACATATATACAAACATATAGATTTTACGTATCCTACACAGTGGCTGCGGAAATCGTGGGGACATCAGGGGACATTAGCATTATGGGATAGAGGAGTGAAGGGTTTATATAAGGTGGGGAGATGATGGGGACATCGAACAACCGTGGGGACATTGTCCCTCTGCCTGTCCCCCCACTTCCGCGGCCACTGTCCATACATACGTAGAAGTTGGAATCCTATGTCCATACACAGTGGCCGCGGAAGCCGTGGGGACATATGGGGACATTAACATTATATGAAAAAGGAGAGGGAGGGTGGGGTTTATATAAGATGGGAAGATGATGGGGACATCGAATAATCATAGGGACATTGTCCCTCTGTCCCCACCCTTCCGCGGCCACTGTTCATACCTACATTCGTAGAAGTTGGAGCTATTAAACTGGGAATATGTACTGTAAAAGGGCTAAGAATTGTATGTTTTTGCCTTATAATAGCTCCGCTAAAATGTCAATAAATAAACATTGACAAAACTTAAACATGCCCGTCTTTTACGTATGGATTGTTTCTCCTTCAGGTTCCACCATGCTACCGTGATGTGCTATACGTGGAGGTAATTTTAATTAATTACTAATTGTGTTTTAATCTTAATTACTTTTATATCATTTTTATTTTTGTACGTGTAGCACATTCGAATACCTCGACCCAAGCCATCGGTGGTACACAGTGAGTGAATTGAATGATTTTTAATATGGCGTTATATGAATATATGTAAAAAAATCAATATATGTAACAAATTCAATTCTTATCCACCATTTTTAGGTCATGAATTACTTTATTCATGCCATTATGGTAAGTATTGACCTTATCTTATCAAAATTATTACTGCATACATAGTAATTAGCTAATCTATAATACTTTCTCCACAGTACTCCTACTACGCCCTTAGGTATCACACTTGGCATTCTTTCATTTGCATAATGATTGATATTTGCTACATAATGAATGTTCCTATTTATTTAATAGAGCCATGCGATTCACCCTCAACAAAAAGGTCTCCATGATAATAACTGCCTTGCAATTGTGTCAAATGATTGCCGGGGTTGGAATAAATGTCTACAGCATTATCAAAATCAGTAATTAGAATTTACCAGATCTAAAATAAGGGAACGTTCATAAAATACGTAACGCATCGGGAGGGGGAGGGGGCAGTGGGCGCAGAAGCGTGAGGACAAAGTGACACGGTTATTTGATGTCCCTATCTTATACGAACCCCATCCTCCCACATTGTTAATGTCCCCACGCTTCCGCGGCCACTAGGAGGTAGTGGTAGAGCTGTTGCGTTACAGGTCAACAGCTTGCACCACATGTTAAAAACCTACTCCAAGCAACTTTGCGGGGCCTTTTAAGATGACATTAATGCCATCTTGGTAGTTAATGACAACACATTTGGGTGGAAAAGACCCGCACCGGCCAACCACGTGACCGATTATGCCCATCTTCGAACTCATCCTTACTTTTGACCCGAAGATCAAGTGTACAAAATTTCAAGTCGATAGAATTTGTTTAAAGAGACTTATCGTGCGTACAGACAGACGGACGGACAGACAGACATCTTGACAAATCTATAAGGCCATCTTGAAAGGCCTAAAAGGAGGTGCAACCCGTTACAAGGGGAAAAATGATCAATTTTTTGTGTTACGTATTTTATAAACGTTCCCTAAATATAATATGCAAATTTTGATTTCGCATGCATTTCCTTTTTGCAGACGAAGGAACACCATGTGCAAGGAAGCTGCAAAACGTACAAATGGTCTTACTGATGTACACAACGTATTTGGTACTATTTGCCCAATTTTTCTACTCGAGTTACATTACTCCAAAAAATAAGAATGACACGAAGGACCGATGCCACTGCGAATGAAAAGTTGAACATGAAAACGACATATTTGCTGCAAGATAATAATAATAACGAGGAGTAGATTTTAGCCATGTAAATATTTATGGGACCGACTTATTAATGCCAAGATGTGATGGACTACTAAATATACATACTACTTTTAACTCTTTTCTGCATGCTAATCAAAATTTGAGAGATTTTAAAATTCAACTCAAACTTACAATTAGTATCCAGAATTCCACATTGTACTTAATAAAATAATGGTATGCCTGTAAAAAAATCCCCACTTTTTCATAGTCTACCTACCTATTACCTAACCTATTCCATCCATGTTGATATCTTTACTTGAATATTTTGGTAAATCATCCTTGTAATTGACCAATAATAATAAATTTCAAACCTGACTTTACTATAATAAATAAGAACTCGAGTATTTGAAACTTGTAGTAACTATTGTTCCAAATCTATTTCATGTAAAGTGAAAGTTTTGAGGCTCATTTTATTCATATAAAATTGAAGCTTTAACTCGTCTCACTCATCCTCAGTTAAAGAATCTCATGATATTTCACGTAATAAGTAGCGTATAAACATCATTTTTTCTCAACAAACAAAAATTAACTAATTTTCGCATGATTTATTTGCTACATTTCTCTCACCGTTGACAAATTAAAATTTATCCCGTCAATTTTAACTTGTTTTATCAATATTAATTTATAAATTACTGAAATTTCTCAGATAAAATTCTATGTATTGCAGTATAACAACTAATAACAAGTCAAATACATAGCATAACGTCAAGTTCTTCATCCATGATATTAGTAATATCATGTTACGTAAAGTTACGGGATCTTAAATGTTACAACATTTGAGGACATTTCAATGACACAATATAGTTAATTTGCCTCATAAAGTATGTCTCGTTTTAATTTACCAGCCCATGATTTTTTTCCATGGGATATAGCTAACTGTCTGATGGATGATGGCTGAATATCCTCATGCTTTTTTGCACACGATACCACTCCAGTTCCAGCAGCTCTTCTAAAAACCGGTTTGATCATCTTGAATTTGATAAAATATTAAATGTTCACAGAATTAAAATCACTTTATAAAAATAGATTTTGAAAAAGGCAGAGGAATAATAATGTCTCAAGATTTCACAGGAAAGGTAGGTTTGAATTAATTAGTTTGGTTAAATTAAATTGAATTTGAAAAATTGTAACATTTTGTAGACAATCAAATGTCAAGCAGCCGTAGCTTGGGAGGCAAAGAAGCCCCTGGTTATTGAAGAAATTGAAGTCGCCCCACCACAAAAGGGGGAGGTTCGCATAGAAATTGTGGCCACCGGTGTTTGTCACACGTAAATAAATACAGAATTGTTAAATGAATGAATGCATTAATATGTAACGATCTATAAGATTATCATTCCTTATCTTTAGGGACGCCTACACTCTTGATGGTCACGACCCGGAAGGACTTTTCCCCTGTGTTTTAGGTCATGAGGGTGGCGGGATCGTGGAGAGCGTGGGAGAGGGCGTCACTGCTTTTAAGAAAGGCGACCATGTCATTCCGTTGTACATCCCACAATGCAAAGAGTGCAAGTTCTGCTTGTCCCCAAAGACCAATTTGTGTGGAAAAATTAGGCTTACGCAGGGTAAAATTATATACCAGGCAGCTCGATAAACTACGTTTTTAAAATTACCGTAACTCTGCCTAGATATCTCTTGAATTGGGTCAAAATTTCTGTAGCCGATCTTGAAATCAGTCTTAACTGTCATCTGCAAATTTTTCATATTGTCTCCGGAAATTATTTTCACCCAACTCAAGAGATTGCGAAAGTTATGGAGAATAATTGCATGGATTACACAAAGTTTTAGTGAAAAATGTAGAAACGATTTACTTTATTCGTCAATATTTCGAATGCCATCTGTCATTATTAAGACATGCGTAGTAAAAGAGATAAATTTATTGCAAGGATTTTTGGAAAAAGTTAGGTGGTTAATTTTGTGAAGATTCAGAAAAATTGGAGTTAGGGAAAATTTAAAAACGTAGGCTTGCTAACTGCCTAAGATAATGTACATTTACCCTAATTATGATCAAATATTAATAAAAATCTATGTTTTACAGGCAAGGGAGTGATGCCGAATGGCACATCGCGGTAAATAACTAATATATTTCGATAACTACATGTTATACAGATAATTAAACCCTACATTTTCTCTTTTTTAGGTTCACTTGTAACGGAAAGACGCTGTTTCATTTCATGGGATGCTCAACATTTTCAAAGTACACGGTCGTCTCTGAAATATCTTTATGCAAGGTGGACGAAACAGCTCCCCTGAGTCGGGTGTGCCTTCTTGGGTGTGGAATTTCCACCGGGTATGGGGCTGCCTTAAACACGGCGAATGTCGAGAAAGGTTCGACCGTTGGGATTTGGGGGTTAGGAGCTGTCGGGCTGGCAGTGGCGATGGGTTGTCGTGAAGCAGGGGCCTCTCGCATCATAGGGATTGATATCAATCCTGATAAGTTTGAAGTTGGTAAGTACTGCACACTTTGTAAACTAACACCAATTTTCAAATATGGGAAAAATACTTTGTCAAAATAAAATCCAGTATTTTTGAGCCACGTTCTTCCCAGGTTTTAAATTTCCAGGGTTGTTACACCCACAACAAGCCAGAATTTGCATGGAGAATACAATAGTCTTACGAAAATACAATTTTTGTGAAGAAATTGACTTCTTATCGCTGTCGAAATACATCGTTTTCACGATTTTTTAAATAAAGTATTTTGACAGCGATAGAATCACCTTTCACAATTTTCGATTTGGTAATATTAACTTTATACTTTGTTTCCTTCCAGCAAAAAAATTCGGCTGTAATGAATTCGTCAACCCAAAAGATCATTCCAAAACTATTCAAGAAGTGCTAATAGAAATGACGGATGGAGGATTGGACTATACGTTTGAGTGCATTGGAAATATCGCCACAATGGTGCAGCACAATAATATTTATTATTTGATCAATTATTATGATTATTATTCATTCATCAGCTAAAATTGTGTTCATTATTCTGCAGAGAGCCGCTCTTGAATCGTGCCATAAAGGTAATTAAACAGTATGCATTTCTTAAGAATCTTGTTCAAACTAAACTTTTGTTCTGTGTTCCATAAAAAGGGTGGGGACAATCCATAATCATCGGTGTGGCTGGTGCCGGCCAAGAAATATCCACTCGACCGTTTCAACTTGTTACTGGGCGAGTATGGAAAGGTATTTAAACAGGATCATTAATAGTTTTATATGAAATGTCCATTTTAAAAATTTTGTATCTTGATTTATGCAGGTTCTGCCTTTGGGTAAGTTTAGTTAACACGATGACGCGGTGATTCCACACAAACTCGTCAAAATCACCTCATTTGTAATCATTTCTCGGCTCTGGGAATTTATTTTAAAATTCTGGACGACATATTTGTAGAGCAGGTCGTTGGCATTAAAAAAAATATACACTCCAAATTCTGACAGTTTTTGAAAGAGGAGATCTCAAGTCTAAGAAGCCTTAAAAAAATTGGAACTCATCGAAACTGCCTAAAAACCCATCGCCATTCTATTAGTCAACTCACTGACTACGAATTTGTCGTCCAGAATTTTAAAATAAATTCCCAGAGCCTAGAAATGATTTTAAATGGACTTATTTTGACGATTTTGGTGACAAGTCCTACGTTAACAAATTACTACTATTTGATTATTGAATCATAATAGAAAAACATCTCAAATATTTTTTTTAGTGGCTGGAAAAGTCGCGACTCTGTCCCCAAATTGGTGGAGAGTTATTTGAAAGGAAAAGTTATGGTGGACGAATTTGTCACGGGCGAAATGCCATTGGACCAGATCAACGAAGCTTTCCATCTCATGCATGCTGGAAAAAGGTCCGCGTTTTATTTATTACAAATTTTGAAATGTGTGTCACAATTTTTATCTAAATGCTTTCATTATTTCCAGTTTGCGGTCCGTCATCTTGTACTGATTCAACTTATCCCGGTGTTGCACTCTCATCAAAATTATTCAAATTGGACGTTTCCTTTGAGAAATAACGTGCAACATGATACCAATTTGAAAAGAGGACTCCAAACAAATACTCAAAATATGGCCTTAATTATCTCTCTACGTATATATTCTTGATACAAAATGTTCATTAATTCAGAGCGCTTCCTGCTAAATTATAATTTAAACTAATTATGCTAACGTGTGCATTCACATTAAGAGCTTTTCGTTCGTGCTAATTGCACTCACGATGATCAAAAAGCTTTCAACATTTCCATGCAGTTCTTAGAATTCTGTACATAATTGTGTTTCACACGGAATAAAAGCTTCCAAGAATCCTTTGAATCTAAAATAGAACATGCGGAATTAATTCGACGAACACAACCCATCACTTTTGTATAACGGGAATTAAACTCAATTTATTCAAAATCATCAAACATTTCTGAATTCGAAATACATAACAACATAACATTTCTCTCTTCACTTTCCTTCTTCCTACTTACTTACAGTGGAGGTCTCTTACCGGATACTCTCCGATTTTGAGCAAATTAGTGGCAATTTATCAGGAATTTAGTTATTATGAAATTCGCAAAAGACGCGATCTCCCAATGGGCACGTTTGGCAGAGATATTTGCATCCGAAGAGGAGAAAACGCGTAGTAAATTTGGAAGGTGTAAAATTTGTCGAATTTAGCACGTGTTTTTTCCTCTTCGGATGCAAATATCTCTGCCAAACGTGCCCATTGGGAGATCGCGTCTTTTGCGAATTTCATACTAATTAAATTTGTGATAGATTGACACTAATTTGCCCAAAATCGGAGAGCATACGCTAAGAAACCTCCATTGTTAGTCTCCCCAACTTGGAACTTCTTGCATTGTAAATAAATTATGGCATACATCAATGGAGTGGATTTTAAAAAATCTACATATTTAACACAAAAAACATATTAACATGTTAGTGCAAAAATCATACATATTTTCAAAACTTTATCCAATGACTGTAACATTACTTTAATGATAGGAATTGTATAATATGTTTGCATGTAGATGACGACCTTAGTAGATTAAAATTTCACTTAATTTCATGATTTCAATTTCAAGGCCGTAATAATACAATACACTAGTTTTTTATCGGCGGCTTGAATTGAATACTTAGAAAATTCTATTATTCTAAACCTTATCCATAATAATATATTTACATATCTACGCACAATAATTACTGAAATGAGCTATTTCTCTCTCTCTCTATTCTATATAATTACATATTGATCACAAAGTTACAACAAAGACTAACAAAACAACACATCGTCCAAAAATGTACATGCATAAACCCTGCTTCAAACTCGTCAGCTTCAAATATACAAATTTACATATTTTTATCAGTGTTTTTCGGGTGAAAGTAAGTAACCACGTGCAAGAAATAACGGGGAGAAAGTAGTTTCTTGCAGGTAAATATTTTGACCTGCAAGAAATGCACGACCCAAAAAAGGACGCCGTAGTTCAAGCGGCGCTTGGCTAGATGACACATATTTCTTGCACTTTCTCCCAGTTTCTTGCACCTCGCATTTCTTGCTTTGCAGTGAAAGAAATTCAGCAAACCCACAAAAAACGAAACACTGATTTTGTTTTTTAAATATAACCATCGTCATCGAACGAATTAACATAAAATAAGCATTCACTACATCCATATACTTTCCCTACACTTTCAAAAATCCATCAAGATTGTAAATATATATATGCAGATATATACCAATTATACAAGGATTCTCATTAGTTTCGACTACAAACACTCATCCACACGGGTGACAACTCTGCTTATAAACGAAACAACAATTTAACTAGCATCGATTGATCAAATTTTTACACTAGTAAATACATACATAAAGTAATAAGAAGTTTTATATTAATAGTAAGTTAAATATGGCTGTTATTCCATTAAATTCGGGACTTATTTACTTATACTTAACCACCAAACTTAAATATTACGATCCAAATTGAAGTCTCCAATTTACAAAAAATCATACGTGTTAGAAATAGTCTGTAATATTCTCAAAATTCAAAAGTTTCCAGATAGATAATTTAAAAAGAAAAAGGTTTATTCCAGTGCTCCATCCCCAGAACTTCCGTCAATATCGGAGTCATCGTCGTCATCCAATTCATTGTCGTCTCGGTCCGAGTACAATCCTTAAACAAGAAAAGTAACACTTCATTTATATTACTTAACACATGCTTTAAGAGCTATTGGGACATTGTAAGGGCAGTTTTTTTGAGCCATATGTACATAATTCCAACCACCGCAATTTGACCTTATTTAGGTGATCGATCACCTACATAAAAAGTTCATGAGAACGGGGCTTGTTCATCACGTACATTATTTCGCCAAAAAAAACTTTCTCTCCTAAAAATTCTCCCTTTCTCAAAACTTGTTCCTTCTTATTAAACAAGAAAATATACACTATATTAAAATTAAATGTAAAAGTGACCCACACACTTTTCGAGATATTTTGGAACATTACAAGGACAGATTTTTTTAGCCACAAAATGTACATAATTTCCGCAATTTGCCAGGTGCTCATCGATCAGGCCAATAAAATGCTCATGAGAACGGGGCTTGTTCTTCACATACATATTTCGCCCAAAAAACTTTCTCCATCCTCAAAATTCTCTCCTTCCCAAAACTTCTCTGGCAAAATTGGTGACATGTTTTCATTTATTATGAAACGAGGACAAGGGAGTAAACTCTCTGGAGCAACATTATTAATAATGTGTCATTCCGCAACAGAGCACAACGAGACACGCGTTGATACGATAACTTACCACAATTGACACCTCGACATGCTTTCGTGAAGCATTCACACCATTCCCGTGGACTGATGAAGACATCCCTGCAAAAGAAAATATGTATATCAAAGTTTCGTTCATATTATGCTAATATAAAACAATGAGCAACATCACGTCATGTCACCCTCACATTATTTCACGTCGAAGCCAACCTCACTTCCATAAATTGGATATCGTATCAGTGGCCGCGGAAGCGTGGGTGGGGACAGAGGGACAATTTCCCCACGGTTGTTCGATGTCCGGATATCATCTCCCCATCTTATATAAACCTCCCCCTCCCCTATCCCACAATGTTAATGTCCCCACGGCTTCCGCAGCCACTGTTTGAAATGCTCTATAATACTAAAAGAACAGTTGCCGCGGAAGGGAGGGGACAGAGGAACAATGTCCCCACCGTTGTTCGATGTTCCCATCATCTCCGCGTCTTATATAAACTCATGTCTCTCCTATCCTACAATGTTAATGTCCCCCGATGTCCCTATGGCTTCCGCGGCCACTGTGTGTACATTTTCCATTGTGATGATAACACCAAAACAACAGCGGCCGCGGCAGCGTGGGGACAAAGGGACAATTTCCCCCATCATCTCCGTATCTTATACAAACTCCTACCTCCCCTATCACACAATGTTAATGTCCCCCGATGTCCCACGGCTTCCGCGGCCACTGTTTTGGAGGAGGAAGCAGAGTGAAAGTGGAAGTGAAAGTAAATTCTATACGGCTCCTAGTCCCACTACATAATCCCTCCTGATCCATCCACATCATCCGACATGATCAGCGATATGATTGATGACATGGATGGAATGGAGGCTTTTAGTACGACCAACAAAACGGCCAAATTTATATCGTAATTCAACCCCACAGCCGGAGGAGCGGTGTATGACTAAAACCCCCTCGACATACAGTCTTTCTTCTAATAATAATAATCTCTCATGGTGGAAGAGAAACAATCGATAAAATGACAGCCTGTGAGACAACATTTACACACCGTTTTACTCAGCGATTTAATATTATACAAATTCAATTATGGTGCGAGTTGAGTGAAAGTATCGACGTGCATACATGTGCACAGTGGCCGCGGAAGTGTGGGGACAGAGGGACAGTGTCTGTTCGATGTCCCCATTGCATTATATTCCCCACCCTTATCCTAAAATGGGATTTTAATGTCCCCAGATGTCCCTAAGGCTTCCGCGGCCCCTGTACATATACATATGCATGCATGTACTACTGGTTTAGCCCGAGCCAGGTTATTACTAATGATTTAGGTGGGTGCCGCACCGTACAACTTTTTTTCCACAGATTTTGCTTATCTTTGCTCATCTTGATTCCTAATTTTGCATATTCTTCATGTGTGCAAAATTTCAAGTTCATTAGATAAGTTTTAAGAGCGTAATTAATAAGCATTTTCTTCATCTTCGAATTTGATTCCTAATTTTGCATATTCTCCACGTGTGTGCAAAATTTTAAGTCGATTGGATCGAAGTTTTACATACGTGCATAATCAATAGATAGAGAGACAGACATACAACCATGCCGGGTACATAAGCCCTAACTCGGGCTAAAAGTTCTCAGCAAAAATTATACGCACATGCAGCAAGCGAATTCAACAGATTCAAGAACAAAGATCTTTTCAGGATAGTTCTACTTTTGAACCATGGACAAATTACCCTTTTTAAAAACGATATTTTTTCCCCTTTTACAAAAATTTGCAAGTGACAGGTAGAGAAAAATTCCGGGTCCTACGGAGGCAATTACGGCGAATATTTTTGTACCATATCCGATTTCAGTAAGAAAAAATGAGTGCACTTTTCCCTTCCCTTCACAAAAAGTCATCATCATCATCACGACGGTGGAAAAGTAGTGACTGAGCTAAATTAAAAATCCAGACAAACGTTAACAGCGAGTCTTGCTTCAATCTAAATTTCTCCTAAAATACAAACCCACCTTGAATAAACGGCTCATTTCACTTTGTTCTTTTATCTCCCTCCGCCTTTCTTCAGGTCCAGTAACGGCGGAAGCGGCGGGGGGACAATGTTCCCTCAGAAATTTATTTTTGAACAAATCCTGAATCTTCCCCTTCCTCCTTCTGTCTCACAATTAGTCACAATACTAATGTGCCCCACATGCCCCCCCACCTTCCGCGGCCACTGTTCTTGTCGAGTATGTAATTTCATTCTACAAGGATCTTGGAACTTCTGGTCCAGTGGCTGCGGAAGCGGGGGACATTTCTCCCCCAGAAATTCAGAAAAATTCTATCTTCCCCATCTTAACCAGCCCTATCTCACAATATACTAATGGTCCCCATATGTCCCCCTTCTCACCTTCCGCGGCCACTGTCCTTGTCGAGTATGTAATTTCATTCTCCAAGGATATATTCTTGTCCAGTGGCAGCGGAAGCGGGGGGAAATATCTCTCCAGAAATTCAGAAAAATGCCATCTTAACAAGGCCCTCCTCCTTCAATCTCACAATATACTAATGCTCCCCACATATCCCCCCACCTTCCGCGGCCACTGTCCTTGTCGAGCATGTAATTTCATTCTACCAGGATCTCGGAGGAAAGTAAGTGGGAGTGAAATTAGGTGTGCCAGCTAAACTTGAACGGTAAGTAGCAACGCTACATAAAAATATCGGCAAGCAATCTTTTACTTTTACTCGCGTCCGTCCTTGAACGAACACGGCGGCCCAACTAACACGTAAGATTCACTCGAGTTTGAAACTTGAAAACTTTACACAAAGTTTTAGAGGACCAAAGAGATTTCAGTGGAGACTTTCTTCACTTAGTTTGTGCTGCAAGAGGGGAATGAATATCCGAGCCTTTGACGGTTTGTTATCCAATCCTCCCCAGGACTTTTAGGGATTAGTCACACAAGACGGGGACCAAAGTGTCCGTAGGTATTAGCATCCAGGAAAGATTACCGTTTACTGCATGAGTCGACTATCCTTCGTTTCACGGCCATTTCCAGTTATGCAAAATTATGCATCCTATGCGCTTAGGTATGTATGGTTAATACTGATTTAAAGTATGAAGTACCCGATGACTCTTCATTAAAATGGTCAAATTTTTAATCATTTCTCGCCTCTGGGAATTTATTTTAAAATTTCTGGACGACAAAATTTGTAGGGTAGGAAGTTGCCAATTTTTTTAAAAATACACACTCCAGATTTTGACACTTTTTGAAAGTGGAGATCTCAAGTTTAAGAAACATTCAGAAAAATTGGAACTGTTAGAAACTGGCTTAAAAAATTCACCGCAATTCTATTAATCAACTCACCGACTACAAATTTGTCGTCCAGAAATTTTAAATAAATTCCCAGAATCGAGAAATGATTAAAAATGTCCTGATTTTGACGATTTTTGACGACTTTTACTACTTTCACTTCCACTTTTCAATCCACTCTCGTACACCTCTGTATGAAATTAGATTCAAATAATAATTATTTCCCAAAAACACTTACTTGTCGGCATCACATCGGTCCAAGAAAGGTTTGATGCACTTCTCATTCCGATCGTTTTCGATGTCGAAGAGTTCCTGGAGAGAAAGCTGACCATCGTCGTCGGAATTCAGATGCGAGAACATCCACATCACCTCCCGCTTGCAAGTCCCAGGAAAGTGAACTGTCACAAAAACACATACACACCTCGTGATGAATGGCGCAATAAATTATGTGTCATCATAACTAGATGTTAATTGGTGGGGTATATGGCATTCCCACCCACCACAGAGCACAACATACATAAATACATAAAAGATGATACTTTTTCCTTATGACAAAAACACTGAGAATGGAACCTTTTTTTCAAGCTACACCGTGAATTGTTTAGCGAGTTATGTCAAAAAATCAAGCCAAAAATTAGGAATCACATGGCACTATTTTCCGTTGAATTATTCCGTTGAACCCAATTCAAAGGAAAACATTGGCGACAAATTCCTCCACGGGGCGAAAACCAGGGCAGATATGTGAACTTTGCCCCCAATATTTTGCTATTCAAAAGAAAGATAAGTATCACGTGATTCCTAAGTTTTGGCTCGATTTTTTAACATAATTCGCCAGACAATCCCCAGTGTAGCTAGAAAAAAGGTGACCATTGTGACAATATTTTTTCTATAGATTTAGAAAATTCTGAATAATTAGACTGTGATTGGTCAAACAAAAAATTTTGTAATTTTTTCTTTGACCCCACCCAGATTTTTTGGGGGGCCAATAAAATGACAAAGGAGCCAGTTGCCAACTTATCCTGTATATTTTAGCACTGACTTTCTTTGTTAAATAAATTGTATACATACAAGTAACATAACGATCTTCTGATAAAAGGGAGAAAATAAAGGGGATAAAATTCTCCTGTAAAAGATTTAACGAGATTGGCTGCCAATCTGCGAACTTAATATTCAAACAAACTCGATCCCCGTTGCCTTACTTCGCAGATTTCCTCAATTTTTATGAAATTCACAAATTGGCAATCCAACTTTAGGAATTCTCCACGTGAGTGAGTTAATCCGGAGCATATTATTAGTTATCAAAGTAACGTTTAGAAAGTATGTTGCTCGTTACTGGAAAGTTCTTTACCTTGGCTGTTCCGATTTCTCCGGTTTAATTTGCGCTTCTGGGTATCTGCCATTACTACTGAGAACCAGTCAAGCAATCTATTCCCCATGGACTCCAACGCCTCGTCGTTGCAGTCTGAAACACGGATACAAAGGATTAAAGAGGTCTCCACATAAAAAACTTAAGTCCAATCGGAATTCAATCCAATCTCGGAGAAGCGGCGGAACGGTTATATAAGTCAATGGTGTTACAATGCGTGTGTCTTGCATGTCGGGCTCGGATTTTTTTGCAATCAAATAAAGAAAGAATGGTATATGTATGCCATTTTTTCTTTGTAATTAGCAATTTTGCAATTAGTTATTTTGTAATTGGCAATTTATTTTTGCAATTGGCTATCCATATAGATTCAAGCCGTTATTGCAAAATTTGCTAAAGTATTCGCAAAAGTTTAATGGTAACATGTTTCGGTAAGCGTGGTAAACATATTAGACTTGTTCTCTAACTCGGTATAAAATTTTGGCAGATTTTGAAAAATTACAAATTTTTCCTACCTGAAAAATGTTACATTAAACTTTGTTTAATGGAGATATTCCCGCGAATACTCTCTGATTTTCACTAAACTAGTGTCAATCGATCACAAATTTAATTAGTACGAAATTTGCAAAGGAGACGATCTCCCAATGGGCTCGTTGACAGAGATTTGCATCCGCAGAGGAGAAAATACACAGTAAATTTAGAAAGTGTAGAATTTTTCAAGTTTAAGACGGATTTTCTCCACTATTTATTATATGCTAAACCTGAGCATTGGCAAATAATATATTTTGCCAATGCAGTGATCTCTAAAAAAAATCCGAGCCAAACACGTGACACATGTTCCTTCTTCATAGTTTATACAATTAATCAATCCCACGTTAAAGTATTCTACTCTACTCTTTCGACCAGAATTAATTCAGCTATCTTTCCATTTACACCTCGTGCAGGAAGGCACACAAGTTTTAGTGCTATCCATCCATAGCTTTGTGAAGGAGGCGACAATATATTTTCCCTCTTTTCCAGTGGCCGCGGAAGTGTGGGGGACAGAGGTACAAGGTCCCCATCAACCTATATAACCCCGTCCCTCCTACAATATAAATATCCCCAGTTGTCCCCTCGGCTTCCGCGGCCCCAGCTCTTTCCGGTCCATAACATATCGGAAAGCTAATTGGATTTTGTATCATTATGACGAAGATGACATTAATAGTGCATGGAAGCAGAGGCCGCAGAAGCGTGGGGACAGAGAGGGACAATGTCCCCACGGTTTTTCGATGTCCCCATTATTTTCCCATGTTATATAAACCCCTCCCTCCCCTATCCTACAATGTTAATGTCCCCAGATGCCCCCATAGCTTCCGCGGCCACTGCATGGAAGAATAGTGACATTAGATTAGAATATGAACCATATTTTACCTCGGGTCGACGCTGGTTTGATATTTATCACGTCATTATGACTTCTCTGCTTATCCACCAGCTTTGGACTCTTGTATCCATAATAATCCTGTAAAGCAGAAGCATAAAATCAGTAAAATTCCAAAATTTGCCCTAATTTTATTACCCATTCGGAGAAGATAATTGCATTTTAAAAAGTGAGTTAGCACACAAAGTTTCATCAGAAAATATATAAGAAATTACCAACTTTCAGATTAGATTAATACGCCTTTGGTCAAATTTCTGGGCGCAAATTCAAGCCTGCGACTCTTCTAAACTCGTTTTAGTTTGTCGCAAAGTTTGTTTATCAGTGCAGCGGAATTTCATGAGATGACGCACACAAAACTTTCTCATTCTTACTTTACTGATACACTCATTTGATTTCACACGTAAGTAAAGTAAGTTTTAAGCATTTTTCAACTCAACTTCCCTCACTCAAGAAGAGGAGCAAGTTGGTAATTTTAAGTGTTTCGTTTCTTACCGGTTTGCCACATTTCTTGCACTGGAAAGAAAGAAAGTGCAAAAAATGCGAGGTGCAATAAATTGGGAGAAAGTGTAAGAAATACGCGCCATCTAGCCACGCGCTTTACGAACTAAAGCGGTGGGGCGTAGTTTCTTGCACCTTGCATTTCTTGCAGGTCAAAATACCTACAAGAAACCACTTTCTTCCCGTTATTTCGTGCAAGTGGTTACTTTCACCTGAAACACTGACAGCAATGTTTCATTTCTTGTACTGCAGAGCCACGCAAGAAATGCAAGGTGCAAGATACTGGGAGAAAGTGCGAGAAATGTGTGATATTTACATAGCCACGCGCCGCATGAAGTATTGCGGCGGGTCGAAGTTTCTTGCGCCTTGCATTTCTTGCAGGTCAAATTATTTCCCTGCAAGAAACCACTTTCTTGCCCCCATTTCTTTTACAAGTCTTGGTTTCACCCGAAACACTGGTAATTCCCTTCCCAAAACTTTTTAAAAACATTGCTGAGAACACTCTTTTATATAACGTATGACCAATCTGCATGCATATTGTGTCGACCATATGAACGCTCAATAATTGTCATAGGAAGCGGGTTATTGGCATGAACGAAGGAGAGAAGGTAGGAATTTACAAAGACAATTTGTGTCATGCCTTTGCCACCACAACAACGATCAATGGCCCCTCCAAATAAATGAATCGAACCAAACGATCGCCCTCCGTAGTCGGCTCAGGTTGGGCACACAAAGTCAAAGGGAGGAGAAAGCAATTAAATCCCGTGGCCTGGCCTGGCCTGGTCTGGCGGAATGCATACTTTACTTGGTGATGATATCTTCATCCCATGTAACAGTGGCCGCGGAAGGTGTGGGGACACCTGGGGACATCAATATTGTAGGATAGCGGAGTAAAGAATTTATACAAATGGGCAGGTGATGGGGACATCGAATAACTGTGGGGACATTGTCCCTCTTCTGTCCCCACGCTTCCGCGGCCACTGTTATTTTGGCATTATCATCACAATGAAGCATGTACATACAGTGGCCGCGGAAGCCGTGGGGACATTAACATTGTAGGATAGGGAAGGAAAGGATTTATACAAGTCGGTAGATTATGGGAACATCGAATAACTGTGGGGACATTGTCCCTCTTCTGTCCCCACGCTTCCGCGACCACTGATATTTCCGTATGTAGCAAGACAACAGCAACAAAAAACGACCGCACCACCACCACCACCAGACCAGCCTAAATCATGGTCCACTGAATTTCCCGTTTCTAATTTGCTTTTCTCCAACAACTAATTAACTTGATGAGACTCTGCTGCATACGTAAGTATGGTTGATTCATCCGAGTATAATGTGGTTCATCAATACAGATACATGAGACTACAAAATACCACGTGCATATTTACATATGTATATTCACTATAGTATAATTTGTCCCCATTTAAAACTAAATGCCCAAGTGTCATTAGTTCAAAAGTAGATCACTGCGAATATAATGCCACATTTCATACGTATATGGACCATAATTCGTCAAACTAAACGGCCACGTGTCAGTATTTCTCAAAAGTAGGCATGCATTATCACCCGTTCCACTTAAAAGTGGTATTGATTGATAATATTTAACCTTTCCTTCCTTCCACTCGAATATTATGTGCGTATTTGAAATTCCAGGCACTATGTACACCAAACTCTGGACTTTTATTATGTAGACTCGCACTTCGCATGTCAGGAAGCCTTTGTGAGACACGCATATTGGAAAGTTGGTGAATTGAGGCTTTCTGACTTCATAATTTTTGGAAGAAGATGACGCTCAAAATTCTTGTTATTACAGTAATAACAATAATTCATTATTATACGTCCCTCTAGATTCGACTTTGTTCCATAACTTATTGCGTCGCTTCTTCCTATAGAACCAGTGGCGGCGGAAGTGGGGGGGGGGCATGTGGGGACAGTGGCATTGTGGGATTATAGGAAGTGGCGCTTATTAACACTGATAAGATATGATTTTGTTTGAATTTCTGGAGGGACAATGTCCCCCTCTCCCCTTGTTTCCGCCGCCAATGTAAGAGAAGAGTGAATAATGCCGATGCACCAAACCAATAAGTATTATAATTCCTCTTGCATAACGTCTCCAACAAATTGGTCTCCCTGTCTCTGCTTTCTTCTTGGAGAAAAGAACAGACATGTACCATTCCAAATTCCTTCTAATTTGTGAAACTTTTGTAGCCCGAGCTTACACATTCCCCAATTCCCACAAAAAGTTATTTAGTATGCGGAGAAAGGATTGCAGGAGGATTCGAGTTCATGGGAAGTAAAAAAAAACCCCTGAGTGCAGCCCGAGTCAGGTTGTTAAAGTAATAATTGAGTGGAATTATACTACATTTTAATTTTTCCACAGATTTTGCTCATTTTCGAACTTAACTCCTAATTTTGCATGTTTTCTAAATGTGTCCAAAATTTCACGTCGATTGGATCAGTTTTATGAGCATAATCGATAAAAGAAAGATATGCTTTCTCTCACGTGGCCATTTTATCGTGTCTTTTGCACAAAGTCATGCTTATAAATATTGTCCAGTTGTCTCATTTTGTGTAATTTTGTGTGTAAAATCATGGTAAAAATTCAGAGTGCAGAGCCCGAGTCAGGTTGTTACTAATATTTGTAATTGAGGTGGGTATCATACGACCACTGAACCCTTTTTATTTTTCCACAGATTTTGCGCATTTTCGAACTTAGCTCATAATTTCTCCACGAGCGTACAAAATTTCAAGTCGATTGGATCAGTTTTACGAGCGTAATCGATCCAAAGACAGAGAGACGGACATACAATCAAGACAGGTACATAAGCCCCGACTCGGTCTAAAAAGTCAAGGAAATAAATGAAAAGAAAGCAGAAAGTGAATAATGGTGGCATTCATGGCTTCTAATTGACAAGATAATGACGCTGATTTTCTCATCACTGCGAAAGAGAGAAAGATCACGGGAAGGATTTTATTAAACACAAAGTTTCCGAGTGAATGGGTTCTCTGGAAATTGGTCGCATTTTAGAGATGGAAATGAATCTGGGGAAGAATGCAAATGAGGATGACGACAACGGTTCGACATATCTTTCTTATTAGCTTTTTCCTCCTCTAATTGCAAACATGGCTACGTAGTCGCTGGCTGAGGTTGAATTGATTTCACTGACGCGCACCAATTCATTCTTTCGTATATTTTAGTACTTATTACACGCATAGTAATCCTAGAGATTTTGGAGGATATCGAATTCTGCGTGTTTTAAACAGTGTTTCGGGGGAAAGTAAGTAACCACTTGCAAGAAATAACGGGAACAAAGTGGTTTTTTGCAGGTACTTATTTTGACCTGCAAGAAACTACGTCCCGCCGCTGTATTTCATACCGCGCGTGGCTCGATGGCGCATATTTTTCCCAGTTTCTTGCACCTCGCATTTCTCCCGTTTCTTCCTTTGCAGTGCAAGAAATGTAGCAAATGCGCAAGAAACAAAACACTGGGTGCACTTTCCCCCAGTTTCTTGCACCTGGCATTTCTAATTTTGCAGTGCTAGAAATTTAGCACCGCTGTCAGTATTTCGGGTGAAAGTAACCACTTGGAATACATTTATTTGTAGCAATTTTGACCTGCAAGAAATGCACGGCGCAAGAAACTGTTTCTCGCCGTTATACTTCGTGGCTAGCTGACGCATATTTCTCCCACTTTCTCCCAGTTTCTTGCATCTCGCATTTCTTGCCTTTCTCCCTTTCCAGTGCAAAAAATGTAGCAAATCCCCCAGAAACGAAGCCCTGGTTCTGCCGATCCTATAATTTCAACGACTTCATTGATTTTCTCACCTTGTACTTGGAATATCGATCTTTTGAGATCGAAGTGGCGACCGGAGTTCCACTGGCAAAGTCATTTTTTGAGAAGACGTTGTTGTCCTTGTCATCAGTGGAAGATTGGCCGAGTCCGATCTGAATGGGGGGCGGAGGATTGACGCTTTTCGACTTCTTCCCTGATGCAGAGTACGCCGTGAAAGGAAGTGCTTTCGGCTGGTAAACCTTTGACGATTTCGCCATCCGCTGCTTCAACATGTTATACTTGTAATCACCGTGCGGGAATGTGTCCAAATCTATAAATAAGATCAAAAGAACAGAGTTACACACATGAAAGCTTGACAACTAATAAAACATGAAAGAGTCATTAAGGGCGTGGTCCTAAAGAGAACTCTTGAAAAGGCTATTGGAGTATTTTTTTGTAAATATATCTGAATGCATATTTGAACCAACAAAGAACAACACTGAAAAACAAGAAAGTCAGATTTTCGTCCAGCTTAAGGTGCTATAGGGTGACGATTTGATGTGATGTGACACAGATTTTTAATCTCACTCCACCCCTGTTCAATCCGTTTAAATGCAAATTTCAAAAATGCCATCAATTTCATGAGTTTTGAGATAAATGCAACTTTTAATGATTTAATGAAAAGTTAATTTTTGCTACTGCAAAACTATCGATATAAAAAAACTGCTAATTCATTTGCCATTTTTTCACAATTAATTAATTCGCTAATTTTTTTCAAATTGATAGTTTTGCCGTGCCATAAAATTAACTTTACATTAAATCATTAAAAGTTGCATTTATCTCAAAACTCATTGAAATTGATGCCCTTTTAGAAATTTCCATTTAAACAAATTTAACAGGGGTACAATGAGACAAAAAATCTATTACAGACCTATTCCACCTTAATATTGACCACAGTTATACAATTTCCTACCAATTTCTGCTCCCAGGTGCCCACTTTTCCTTTGATCACATGATTACCCACCAGCATTTCATGAATCATTCCTTTCTCTTGGACGCAATTATGGTTGGAAAAAGTGTGTCACATTAAATGACAGGTAGCCAGCCGGCTGGATTCGTCACCAATTTCTTCCCGAGTTCCTTTCCCAACCAGATTTTAATTTAAGCCAAGGAGAGAAAAGTCCTTTATACATATTTCTGAGAAGTGTCAGAAGGGACCATGGATTCTGGGCACGTTTGCAATATAATAGTTGCAAGAAGTGCTCAGACAAGACCACCGACCAACATCAATCACTCGGACACTTTCTCTCCTTCCTCCAACATTTCCAACCTTCAACCGAGGAGTCAAGTCAGGCCAAGCTGACTCACCGACTTACTCACCAGTCACTCCAGCCCAAGGTGAATTTGCTCAACCATTTAACACCACCATTATTCCCCTCTCCTCCTGTCATATACTAAACAGGCATCTAGTTCGGTGGCATATATGCAATATTCAGTGGCCGCGGAAGGGTGTAGGGACAGTGTCCCCACGGTTGTTCGATGTCCCCATCATCTACCCATCTTATATAAACCCCTTCCTCCCCTATTCTACAATGGCAATGTCCCCCCGATGTCGCCACGGCTTCCGCGGCTACTGGTAATATTGGTGGAATGATGACAAACGGGTATGACTACATACATACGACGAAAACCAATAACCGCATGAACTCGGTTAATGACAAGTTTCACAGAGCAATCAGTCAATATGTAAGTCCAGGCGAAAGTATTTCCATCAACTTCTTTACGTATGTAGGACTATGTAGGCTTATCGCCAAAACTGTCAAAATTTGGGAATTTGTTTTAAAATTCTGGACGACAAATTTGCAGTCAGCAAATTGATTTAAAGAATGTCCGTGAGTTTTTTAAGCCAGTTACGATGAGTCCCAATTTTTCTGAAGGCTTCTTAAACTTGAGATCTCCTCTTTCAAAAAGTGTCAAAATCTGGAGTGTATATCTTTTTAAAAAAATTTGCAACTACCTGCTCTACAAATTTGTGGTCTAGAATTTTATAATAAATTCCCAGAGCTAAGAAATGATTAGAAATGTGCCCATTTTGACGATCTTTCATCGAATCTTAGGTACGCAATTATACAATTTCTCCACCTTGTTCCAGATAACCATTCCCCGAATACATAAGCTATTCCCCCCGTCAACCCGCTTTATGATAAGTATGAAAGGTACAAAAGATGTTTTCATATCGCACTTCTAGATATTTCTTTACTTTCTTTTCTCCCAAATTTCAAAGGTGTCTTTACACCCAGGGACTTGTAAGCCTTGACTCCAATCCGGCTGACATTTTCATATTTAATAAATATTTATACGAATACATACATCGTCACACCTCCGCAGACTTGGCGTTTCGCAACAAGAGAGCTGAAAGCTCTCTAGTGTACGGGAGAAAGTAGGACAAACTCAACCGGTGGACGTGGGATGTGATGATGATGATGAAGCAACAAATATCTAACTCCATCAGTAGAAAGTTTGCTTAGTTGCAACTTCAACGAAATAAAGTTCTTGTGCAGTCCAATTTGTACTTTCTTTCATCACTGCGTTGCATATTAAAACAATATTCGCATAACATAGTTATTTTACATATAGAAAATCTCATCTTTTTAAAGAAGGGGACGTTCATAAAATACGTAACGTCGCGAAAGGGTTAGTTGCAACTTCAACAAAAACTTCTTGTGCAGTCCAATTTGTACTTTCTTTCGTCACTGGCTTATGCCACATGCATATTAAAACAACAAAGTTATTTTACATACCGAAAATCTCACCCTTTCAGATAAGGGAACGTTCATAAAATACGCAAAGCCGCGAAAGGGTCAGGTTTTTGCGTTACAGGTCAATTTGCGAACTTGTTAAAAAGTGAGTGTAACCTGTTACGAGGGGGGAGTGGGGTTAAAAATTACCAATTTAGGGTTACGTATTTTATGAACGTTCCCTAATAGTATTTCTTTACACTCTGTTTTCTTTCCGTATATAAATTTTCTCATTTCACAAAGAGCTTTACTTGCAAGGAGAATAAATTATATTTAGGGACAACTTTTTACTTCGACTTGATTAATATGTGGGTCTCTCTTCCCTCCCACCCACCCACGTTTGAGGTAGGAACGGATATCTATAGATATCCGTTACATATATGTAACTGCTCCTGGCAGTGGTTTAGTTTATTTGTGGCTTGGCTTTCTCACAAAATCAGCAGACTCCTCAATTTGAGCGAGTTGAGCCAATTGTCAATCTCGCCTTGAATAATCACCGGCAACTCTGAAAGACTACTTTCACGTGTCACCCAAACAGGAAGTGAGACGTATCTATACCATGCTCTTACTTAGGCATTTTACCTCATTTACATAAATCTCATTATGCCCATTTTCGTCGATATGGGCTCTTCATGTTGAGTAAACTTTGTGCCTCAAAATATGCAAATTAGGTGACACGCACAAATAATTCGACTATAGGTACGTATGTAGGTAAATATGCACTCTTAAAAAGAATATTACTCTTTTGAAACGTACGTAATTACACTCTAAATTCGATATTCAGTAAATTATACTAAATTCACGGTAAATTTTATTCTTTATCAAATTAACGCTATTAAGGATTTTACATAGTATAATTCACTTACTATTAAACGAATTGAGAGCACAATTACTTTCCAAAATATTATCATTATTTTTAAGAGTGTATGAAACGAGTCAGTTCCCTATGCAGCAGAATTAATAGCAAGTTGCGACGTATCCCTGGGAAAATTGAGACACGGAAAGTTTAAAGAATTTCGTCATCGACTCCTTCCGGAAAAGTAAATCCACTCCTTCATTTCCTTACTTACTTAAGAAGTCCCACATACAACAAAACCCAACTTTTACCATCACCTGGTTTGGTTCGTGTCATTGTGATGGATCAGCTCAGCATCACAAATATTTCCTCTTCACTTCATCATTTCCCACCACTCGAGAAGCCACACGACTACAATCAGAGACCTGACAAAGAAAGGTGTTGCGTATGTACAGAGGGTGTCCCACTTTTAGTATACAAAAGCCATAATAAATATAGGTCAATCCAACACCTTGCCTGCTTCCGTATAACTTATTCATGCTCAACTTCATTCAAAAAGTGTGTACTCAGACCGTTCACAAAAGTGTGTAGGAAAAGAAATCCAAAACGAATAAAAGAAATGCTTTCAATCAAATTCTCAGCTCACAACAATTGAAACGTGGAGGAAACCAATGCAATTTCACATTCTATACAAAATTCAGCATTTCAATCCGATCCGAATAGCCAAAATTCCTCATAAATACTGAATACCTTCATTCAATATTGCTGCTTTCTACTTTCACTCCCTCGTTTCTAGTGGCCGCGGAAGTGTAAGGACAATGTCACCAGGGTTGTTCATCATCTGCCCATCTTATTTAAACCCATCCCTCCTCTGTTAACGTCCCCATGATGCCCCTACGGCTTCCGCGGCCACTGTTCTTCGTACACTTGCTATTATGTAGCCTTCCCCATTTTGTGAAATTTTAGTCTCTACCAGTGGCCGCGGAAGCGTGGGGACAGAGAACAATGTCCCCACGGCGGTTCATCATCTGCCTATCTTATTTAAACCCCTCCCTCTTCTGTTAATGTCCCCACAGCTTCCGCGGCCACTGCCCTTCGTACACTTGCTATTATGTAGCCTTCCCCATTTTGTGAATTCCTGTACTTCTCCTTTGCCCCAGAGGGAGGTTCACAGCCAGCTCACGTGAGAGAGAAGAATGGCCTCGTGGTGATTGTGATATTGGTCTGGGCAGCATGTTGATTGTGGGCGAGCGAGGCGCGTGTGGATGGTTAAACAGCAAGCCAATTTCCTTCTCATTTCATCTCTTACTTTCCCATGGACGATTTTTATTGTCCCTTCTATTGCCCTTTCTGTGTTGTGCTCTTTTTCTTCCTGCTTTCATTCCCCTGCAGTATTATCAGCCATTTTCTTAAACATTTTTGCCCCCCTCGTGGCGAAAATCAAAGAAGTGGAAAGGAATTATTCCACTCTTTAAGGCAATAATTCAATAAAAGGAATTGTTCCGGAAATAAATCCAAAAATATTTTTAGACTCGTGTTTCGTTTCTTGTGGGTTTGCTATATTTCTTGCACAGGAAAGGAAGAAATGCAAGAAATGCGACGTGCCAGAAACTGGGAGACAGTGCAAGAAATGTGCGCCATCTAGCCATGTGCCGTATGACGTATAGCGACGGGACGTAGTTTCTTGCACCTTGCATTTCTTGCAGGTCAAAATTCCAGCAAAAAACACTTTCCTGT